CATCCACCTCTTCCTACCAGCACTCTGAGTCGCCGTCTCCAATAGAGTACAGTTTGCGGCGTGAAACATCATCCACTACTTCATCAGCCGCACGCAACTCCACAGCAGCCACTTCTGTCACGTCACAACCGGGCCTGTCATCTGCCAAGGAGTGGCAGTCACCACAACTACAGTCGTCCGTACAGTCCACAACCAACACATCTTCCTCGAGCACGGGCGTGGAGCGCATGCCCACATCTCGGATCCGGCGGTTGTACGAGCAAGGCTTGAACCAAGACCTGCACGAGCAGCAGTCCTCGGCTCTATCCCGCATTGACACTCTTACTGGTAAGCGCCTGCTTCGGACAAAGACGCCCGACCTGTCCGCAACGCCATCTCCGACGTCAAGCTTCGTCTTCCCCGACCGCGTGGTACCAGCGACAGGTACTGTCATGTCGACCCTTGAGCGCCTTGAGCGCCGGCAAGTTCTGTCCAAAGCCAGCGCGCCTAACCTGCGGTCACTGAGCCCGCCCATGTCGGGTTCGTCTGTCGGCTCGGTAGTTCCTCCCGTCAACGAGTCAGCTGGCCTGAATGTGCTTGTTGGTGCACCGGAGTCGAAGAACACCCTTCCTGGTAGCCCCCCGCTGAGTCCGCCTGTGAGCGACTCTGGTGGTGAGCACAACGTGTTGAAGATCCAGCCCAACGACGTCGGCAAGGCCACCGCCCTGGGCATGTTCCAGAAGCCAGCTTTGCCATACGACGAGTCTCGCTTTGCCGAGCGTCAGCTTCAGCTGCAGCAAGGCCGCGAAACACCTACGGAGCGAACCCGTCCCAGCCTGGATGTTGCGCCGTCGTCGAGCTCTGTGCCATCTGCTCATCCTGCATCGAAGGCACCCTCAGTTACAAGCAACGAAGATGCCGCCAAAGCACAGACGACCTTCCTTTTCGATGATGAAGAAGACGAGGATGAGATTTATTCTGTTGTCAAGGATGTACAGTCGAGTGCATCGCGCCCACAAGTTGTCCTCGAGCGGCCGTCGGACGCAGACCACCCTGCATTCCGCCAATCTGCCATGCCGCCTCCCTTGTCCCCCTCTCGGTCCACTGAGAACTTTACGGCCAGTGCCCCTGACATGCCCCAGATTCCCGAGTCGTTAACGGAAGCGGACACAGGCGAGGAAGCCGGCGGTCCTCCCGTCGACTCTCCGACTCTAGGCCCTGGTGGTGGCCTGAGTGGCATGGTTCTTCAGCACCTGCGCTCGACTAGTAACGCGTCGTCAGTGTACAGCTATGCGCCTCAGAATAATGAGTACGACCCGTCTCAGATGCTCCAGACCAGCATTACGAGCGGCTCCCTTGATCTGAAGAATAGTCAGCCCTGGGACGACCAGAACTGGACAGCTTCTGTCTACAGCTCAGTCAGCGGTGTCGATGGCGCTGACAAGAAGGATCCGGAGCCCGAACCAGAGTTGCCCACACTCCCTCAGCAGCCTTTGCCAAAAACCCCGACGCAGCGTCCCCCAATTCCCGAACCGCCGAAAAATGTGTTTGCCGACACCGCGTCCAGCAGAGCACCTTCGCTGAGGTCTGTTTCGTCCCGGAGTCGCATCACAAGCGTTGCCGACTCTAACCGATCCAGCAATAACCTGGACGCCGATCACGAGGACGACGATTTTGCAAGCCAGTTGGCCAACGCCCGCAAGCGTGTTCAGGAGCGCCTGACGACGTACGTCGAGTCTGACAGCAGCCGCAACACTTCGCCCCTGTTGGCGCCCACGGAGCTGCCCACACAACCGCCTCCGATCAAGTCCAACCCGCTCGGCATCCTGCGCGCCAAGTCCAGCCGTGGAGCGCTCCTGGAACGCTCGCGTGACGTCTCGCAGACCAAGTCGACGCGGATGCTAGGCCTCGGCGCCTCGACTATGAGCACTGCTCCTAGCCCGTCGAAGCAGTCCTTTGAGGACAACTCGTCGCCGGCTCCGACACCGCCGATCTCGTCTGCTTCTGCTACTATGAATGAGGCGTTCTCTCTTGGGGCGCTCGAGGAGGAGCGCGAAGTGAAGCCCCGCCCGACCCAGGAAGACGGCTACTTTGGCCGCATGCCTACCTCCGCGTCTGCCTCTGCCAACCAAGCGCCTACCATTACTTCGCCATCCAATGTTCCGTCGTCTGCCACATCGGTACCGCGTTCGAGCACTGACACGGACGCTAATGATGCTGATGAGGAGACGGATATTGCTGCAGCTGCGGCCAATGACGACAACAACATGCACCCTGGCCTGCGGGCTTTCCGAAACGCCCGACGCCAACTTCAGAAGCGTAAAGAGCTCGAGATAATGGCCCGGCACCAGGGTGATGACGCTGGTGGTCCCGAACCGGAGCCTACATCAACCTTGGCCGACAAGCAGTCGCCGCCGGGACGTGAGCGACGTCCGACTGTGTCGTCCGGGCCGACGAGCGCGCCGTCGAGCAGTGAGCGTAAGCCTCCTCCAGTGTACTACCAACAGCGTGATCCTAGCCAGGAGTCTCGCGGCAGTAGTAGCGGCAACCGGTCGCGGTCTGCCTCGAGAACCTCGGGTCCGACGGAGCGTGACCGCAGTGGCTCAGAGACCAGCAACGGTGGCAGCTACACGCGCCACGCGCCACCCCGAATCCGGGCGAACCAGACTGGCCCCGGCTACGACGACTACCAGTACCACCAGCCGAGTCCCAACAGTAACAAAAACCTTGGTCCTCCTACTCGGCAGGGCGTGCCCATGCGCTCGCCTGGCCTTCCCGGTACAGACATCCGCCGATCCCCACATATGCCGCCCCAGACGTATCCTGGCAGCACCGGAAACGGCCCCTCGTCGAACAACCTTTCCGTCCAGACTGCTATGGGCGGCCGGTCACCCTCGGGCTTCAATGCGTCCTCCGGTCAGCCTTCTCCCATCTCCCCTCTGGGGAGTGCGGGTTTGCCAACCTCGCCTTACTTTCCTGGCAGCGCGAATGCTTCGGGACCGTCGACGCCCACGACAAACGGCCCTCGCATGCAGCAGCGCCCTGGTATGCCTCAGCACCACGCGCCACCGCCGTCCTCCGGCCCGGGATACGGCACGACGAACAGCTCGCTCAACGAGGCAATGAAGAAGTCGGTCCGCAAGAACGAGATCTCCGAACCCACGTTTCTCATGAGCACCAGCCGTGTCCCGACAGTCAACCTGCAGCAGAGCACATCTGCCCCTGAAATGGAGGGCAACGGGAACAACGGCAACAACAGCAACAATGGCAACAGCAATGGGTCTCGGTCTCGCAGCGGCTCGCGTGCACGTGCGCCTAGCAACGCCCCCATGCCTGCCTTCGTCCCTCCTCTGCCGCCGATCAACCCTCTCCGCAAACAGCCTGGCGGTCGGGGTCCCCGTGGCATGCTGGGTGGACTGATGGGCGGTAGCCGGAGCGACAGCCCTGGTGATGACATGGACACGATGTCTGCACTGTCTATGCCTACCCTGCCGCGCAGCGCAACATCCAGCAGCACGAACCTAGCGGCCAAGACGACCAACTACCAGCTCGGCGGTTCGGTCAGCGACAACGAGGACGCCCGCTACGATCAGCATGGGCTGCGCAAGCAGGCCTCAGAGGCTAGCGGCATGCATTCGCGGATGATGGGCGGCGGAATGCCAGTCCAACGCATGGACCTGCCCGGTGGGATGATCTAGGCTGTCCGGCCCATGGCTTCCTTCAACCCCTGTCCTCCCATGCCGCCCGTCGCCGTTTTCTCAACCTTCTCTAGACTCGCTTTGCTTATTCTTTTGCGCCTCACCATCTTCTAATCTTTTTGTATACCCCGGTTCTCTTTCGTTTTGTCATGAAAAAAACTTTATGAGTAGACGGGGCTTGTGATACCACTTTATTTCCCACCAGAACAAAATACACCAGATGTTCGCTCCGCATCTTTTCTCTTCCCTTATGGGCAACCATACACATTCTCTGCTTGTCTCTCTGTTTCTCACATCTCTACCTATTGCCCTATTGCCTTCGTCACCGACTCTCCGTCACGGACTAGCTGCCTATTTTTTTTCTTTATTTTTGTATGGTTCTTCTGAAATTTGGTGTGCTGTATCTTTTTGTCATTTTGTTCTTCAAGCAGTTTGTCGTTATTTTTCCTATCGTCTAGAACCGATGAAAGGATATGCCGTATTCGCCGGGACTTGGATCCCTGGAAACGTCAACCTATTTTGGAGGAGTTTAGAAATACGGAAAGAACAAAGCAAGCTGTACTTTATGTCTATTTTGTCGGTTTTCTGTGTACGTTTTGAAAAAGGGCCTCTAGCATTTCAAGGTGTTTCCTATTGATTACGTACTTAGCTTTCTTTCGCTCCTTTTATATATTGTCACTTTCAATCTTCACGATCTGCTCTTCGTGGTTCTGCCAGACGGAGAATGTACGAACCTTCTCTCGACCCAATGACTCTCACATGAGTGAGCTGTGTGCCGGAGATGCCTTGTCTTCATTGTGCCTAAAATATGAGTAGAATCCCGCAAAACGGAAGAGGGCGCCCGAACTGCCGAAATGGGCCGGCAAAACTCCGGGCTTTTCTCTGATATTCTCTGTATCGTCGCGTATCACTCACCCCCTCATTCGTCGTAGTCTGGGCAGTGTCTCGGTGGCTTGACAATTGTCCGTAGTTTCGCCAAAACTTTGGCGATTTGTTGGGATGGGCATTGCATTGCTTACGTTTCGGGTATTTAAGCTGCATGGGGCATCACATCGAGCTCCTTCATAAAATAAGCTACAACACAAGCCGACGTGCGTCTAGCGGCGGCGCGGCGCTAATCATCTCGCAGGCCGCACCTGCCCAGCTGCAGTTCGTTGCGACCACCGCACCGCTTTAATTTCACGTTCTTCACTTTCAACATCTTTTAATCGCAACGACACAAGTGCATTGCACCACGGTCGCACCATTATACTACCGAGCCAACGCATACGACACAAGAAAGGAGACGCCGCAAACGCACTGCATCCAAGGTGCACCGCAATCATGGCTTTCATCCGCCCTTACAAGTTTGCCGACTGGAACGACACGGCGTTTATCGTAAGATGCTCTCTTGTGCGGCAACCTCCGGTATGCCATGACTAACTGGGTCCCAGTGCCGTGCCACGCTCCCGCCGTCGATTATCAACGAAAAGACTGCGATCCGTCTTGCGCCGTACCTCTGGACGCACCAGTTCACGCTCCTCAACCCGCAAAACTGCTTTGTGCTCGACGACGGCACAGGCCATGTCGTCGGCTATGTGGTTGGCAGCACCGACGTGCACGACATGGCGGCGCGGTACGGGCGCTTTACGGACCTGATCGGCGGCACGGGCCCCGTGGAGGGCGTCCCCGCGGAGGTGGTCGAGCTGGCGCGCCGCGAGGTCGGGCCGGCGCCCGCGGACCTGGACAACCTGCAGCCGTTCCTGGTGCCCGACCCAAGCGATCCATCGGGACAGAAGAGCGCGGTCAACGAGACGCACATGCTGCAGCAAGCCTACAACCCGCGTTGGCTGCTGCTCGAGAGCAACCAGACGCCGCTGCGCAAGGAGCTGATCTCGGGCACCAAGTACCGGGCGGTGATGCACATTGACATGCTGGAGAGCCACCAGGGGCAGGGCTGGGGCCGGGAGATGATCAAGACGTTCCTGGCGTCGATTGCCAAGGAGGGGGCGCGGGGCCTGCAGATTGGCGTGTCCGGCGAGAACACCAAGGTGGTACCATTCTACGAAAAGTGCGGGTTCCGTGTGCAACCTGGCGGCGAGGCCGACGGCTGCGTGTGGATGGTGCGCGATGTGAGCGAGACGGGGTGGTAGTCGCGGGGATGCACGCGGATCCATGTCGGTCATACAAAGGAGCGTGCTACGGGTGTTTGACAAAATTGCAACATAGGACAATACAAGGCGTGTTTTCTATATACAGCTTACAGATGCGAGGGGCGTCCTTCTGCTCGCCTAGTTCCAGTCTCTATTGGCAAAAAAACGGCGTGTCTACCGCCCTCCCTTTTACATGAAGTTGATTCCCACACCCACCTGCAGACCCTTGCGGCTGTCCTCGCCGCGGCGCATCACCAGGGGCAGGCTAAAGTTGAGCTCGAAGCGCGCCACGGGGTGCGCGTACACCAGACCAACTCCCACGGCCGTGCTTGGCAGGCCCGTCGTTAGGTCCTGGAGGGCAGCCGACACGCTCTGGGCAACCTGGCTGGACGTCTGGCCGGCTGGTTGTTGTGGCGCTGCGCCCTCGGTGTCGTCCGATGCTGATGCAGCCTGCGACTTGGGCTGCTTCTTCGTCCGCAGGGCCACCAGACGGCCGCTGTTGGCAAACAGCTGCAGACGCAGCGGCGAGTCGCGGCCGGCCTTGGTGATGGGCACCAGCACGTTCACGCCGCCGGCGGCAAAGACGTCGCCGCCCACAGCATCGCTGCCGTCGTGCGGGCCCAGGCCGCCCTGGGTGAAGCCGCGCACGTCGGTGGGGCCACCGAGCAGGAACCGGTCGTTGATGCGGCTGGGAGCGGCACCGCTGCCAAAGAGATTGTAGCCAAAGGGCAGCGGATACAGCAGACCGGCGCGGAAACCGGCGCCGACGGTGATGCCGCAGTCCGTGCCAGACGAGGTCGTTGCTATTGGGGAGGAGGGCGCCAGGGTCGAGGCGAGTGTGGAGGAGGCGGAAGAAGAAGCTGAGGACGTGGAGGAAGCGGCCTTGACGTTGGGGAAAACGAGGGGAACGGCACCCGAGAACTCGGCCTCGGCCTTGGCGAAGGCGACATCGCCGCCCAGTGGGCCCCATCCGGCCAGCTCCGAGGCCGTCCGCACGAGGTAGCCGCTCTGGGGCAGCAGCGGGTTGTCGCGGCGATCACGCGTGAACGTGTGGCTCAGGCTGCTCTTGAGGCTGTCGCCGGCGTCGCGGCGCACCGTGGGCGACGCAGTGGCGCCGAGGCCCGTCAGCTGGCGCCATGACGAGCCGTACGCCACGCTGTGCAGGTCGCCCGTCGCGGGCACGCGCCAGCCCAGCCGCACGGTGCCGCCCTTGAGCACCTCCTCGTGGCTGGCCCAGGGCTTCTGCGTCGCCGACGCCAGGCCCTCGAGCGACAGCCGCACGTCTGGGTTGCCCTCGAGCGGCGCCGACAGCACGGCACTGTAGGCAGACCGCGTGCGCGTGCCGGCACTGGCGTTGAGCGACAGCGACTCGGCGCCGCCAAAGATGTTGCGCCACAGCAGGTTGCCGTAGGCCGAGCCCTCCGTGTTGCCGAGGTCGGTGCCCGTGTTGAGTCGGAACCGCGGCAGCTCCGAGACGCGCACGGCAATGTCGTAGTCGGTGGCCGCGGCGGCCGGGTCGCGCTGGCGGGCGTCGGCAAAATGGACCGTCGGGTCGGGCTTGAAGATGCCGAAGCGCTCGAGCTTGCCCACGGCCTCCTGCACGTCGGCAAACACGTCGCCGAGCGTCGTTCCCACGTTGCGCGAGTCGTCGACGAGCGACTGGAAGATGGGGTCCAAAAACGACTTCCGCGTATTGCGGGCGCCGTGGATCTCAAAGGTGTGTAGCGTCGCCGGCTGCAGCATGTGCTCGGCTAATATTGCGAGGGCGTGCTTCTGGGCGCTCTCGTCCTCCCTGGCGCGCAGGGCGGCATCGGTCTGGGCCTCGAGGCGGAGGGTGGCAGCATCTTTGCTGAGCTATGGGAAGGGAACGTCAGTTACAATGTCGCTAAAATGAGTCGGCAGAGCTCTTTCGAGGGACGCACCTTGGTCTCGTTGCTGCTGGAAGAAGCCATTGTGGATCGCCGGTAGCTCGGGCAGCTGTCTCGTAGGGCGTTAATGAGGGGGGAGGATGGGTTTCGTAATGCAGTTAGGAGGCTCCGATTGTCGTGGGAGATCGCTCGTCCAAGATCGCGAGATCGTCTGCTCGGGCCAAGAAAAAATCGGCCAATTGCGGCAGGAACGCGATTCAGCACCTTCCCGATGGTCCAGCTGGAGCACTTAGCGCCTCTGGAGCTGCCATGGTGGTGGTGATGTGGCTGATTATGTGGCGGTGTCAAGTGTCAAGATTAGTCATCATAAGGAGTGTAAACAGAAGGTCCTCTCCCATTCTGATTTCTTAGGTCAATTGTGAGTGTTGTAATTCACCGTCGTGTGGGAATTTTCACTTTGTACGTTGCTTCACATTGGCTGTCGCCGTCTAAAAGCTGGAAGAAACGACACGGTGCCATCGTGCTCTCTTTTGGTTGGTGTTTGTGTTGTCGAATTACAACCGTTTTGTTACATTTGTTTTTTTATGGCTTTGTGGTAAAACCGATTGTCTTTAGCACTTGGCATGGTCGTTATGTTCTTGTGTTATTTTATTTCTTTATGATTTTAACGGAGTCTTGTCGACGTACTATTTTGACTTGGTTTTTGTTTGAAAGTAAATAAATAAGTAAAAAGCAACTGGGAAGCCACATAAATGTTCACAAAATTATAAATAAATTATATGAGACTTGGAGCACTTGGACATAATTTACAGGGTTACAGTACATAATTTTAAGCTTTCTGCCAACGTTACTCTCTCATCAAAAGACCGGCCTCGAACTCCAAGGTGCAAATTTTCGGCCGAACCGCCTGCACCAGGTCCTGAAGAGAAAACGTCTGGTGGATTCTGGGGTTAACGAGTCGGAGATCGGCCACGAGGAAACGAGGAAACGTGCTCGGAGGAATGAAACTACGTACGCCATGGACCCGGTGCGACCGACGCAGAGCTGTGCAGAATCTCTACGTTCCGTCATATATATGTTCTAAATCACGCTTAGGTAGCAAGCACATGATTGATCGTCATATTCTCAGAAAATTATTTTCTTCTTCTTCTTCTATTTCTTACCTTCCTCCTTTTTGTGACATTCTTTTTTCCCCATTCATGCTCTGCCACGGCCGCTCGTATATGTCCCACCCCGCCCTCTTGGCTAATTCCGGGTTTCTAGACCCCTCTGGATGCTTAAATAGATGATCTTTTGAAAGCCCTTTGGATAATCGGTTAATTCCGTTCATTCAGTCTCGTTTTTTATTTTTTATTTTCGGTGTCGTACATTCTGTCTTCACTCTCTCGTTGAGAAAGCTGTCTTCCAAAATAAACGGCCGGCAATTATTATTCGTAGACTGTCTTGATATTACCCTGGGGCCGTCTCGCCGTGAGATGCTCACGGTTTTCGCTCTATTCTTTTCTGATTCTTTCATCCATTTCGCCAGGGCCATGTGCTCGCACTTCTTGGCACAACACATGCGTACGCGTTCAAGGTACGTTACGTCCGGCCGGTGTCTGTTCGGCTTCGCCTTCCTTATTTTATATATCTGTAGTCTGTCGTTTAGTTTCTAGATCATTTTATTACTTAATTTCTATCACCCTTTCGCTGGCCTCGCTCTGACTTGCCTCTTGGCAAAAACCAGTTCAAGACGACGGAGAAACGCGTAGGAAAAAAAAAAGACACAACTTATTAAAAATGGGAGAAGGTGACTAAAGGAAAGCCGAACTGCCAAGATTGGGGCAATAACTTTATTTGAAAGAACGAGACCTGTCCTCCGCATCTTGGCTGTTCTTTGTCCTATTCTCGCTGGCCCCGGAATTTCTAAAAATGGCCAGAATAGATGGACTTGATAGCCTAGCTGGAATGATGACGAGTATCTCCTAATATCTCCTGGCATCCCCTGCCACCCTGCGGCCGGCCCAACGTGATCGTGTACACTTTCCGATTTGCAGTGGCCCTCTTTGGGCATATTGGCTTCCCCCGGGAAAGGCAAACTGGGAACAAGGAAAATGGGACGCAAAAACACACACAGAAGACAAGACCACGAGGGCACAAGGCCCCATTCTGTCCCGGGAGCCAAGACGCGTACAACCAACCGTATTGTCGTGTTCCTTCGCGAGGACAGCGACTGTGACTCTTTTCCACGTGAGTATAAGACGGGGGTCGTAGACTATTTGCGGGCTCTCAAAAAAAGAAATCCTTTCTCGCCAGCGTTTTCCTTCTTTCTGATTTTTACCTTCATCTCCTCCACCCACATCCCATCTGGCCGCCCGAAAACACCGCACCACCAGATAACAATCAAATGGCTCCCTCGTACGGCCTGCGCCTGTCGGCCGCGTATCTGGCCTTCGTCTCGACGGTCGCCCCGGCTCTCGCCGACAACATCTTGTCCAGCTCGGCGGCTGCCTGCACGCGTCAAATCACGGCCAAGACCGGCGACTCGTGCGTCTCTGTGTCGCAGGCCAACAGCATCACCGTGACGCAGTTCCTGCAGTTCAACCCGGCCGTGACCAGCTGCGCGTTGAGCGCGGGCCAGGCGTACTGCGTCAGCACAGACCCGGCCCTGGGCTCGCCCCTGCCGCCGCCGCCCGTCTCATCTCCGTCGACCCCGTCATCGTCCACGCCGACACCCATCCAGCCGGCCGCCCCGTCTGGCTCGTCTGTCTCGTCTGGCTCGTCTGGACTTATCCCGAGCCCGGACGGCAGCGACGGCATCTGTGGCGGCCAGTACACGTGTCTCGGGTCCGTCTATGGCGAGTGCTGCTCGGCCAACGGCTACTGCGGCAGCACGGCCGACTACTGCGGCGAAGGCTGCAACCCCGCGTACGGCCAGTGCGGCGTCTGCCCGGCGGTCGAGCCCGGCGCGGCCACGGCCACTGTGACGGCCTTTTTCACCACCACGTCCATTCTGGTCAGCACCGTGACGGCCGGCCCGACTGTGACCGTCACACACACCATCACCGCCACGCTGCCGCCGGTCCCGACCACGAGCAAGCCGCCCGCTGTCAGCACGCCCAGCCCTACGCTCCCCGGCGCCCCCCGCAACTGCCAGCGCTGGTACCTGGTGCGGGCCACGGACAACTGCCGGCGCATTGCACTGACATACGGCACGACACAGAACCAGATTGTCGCCTGGAACCCGAATGTGAGTCCCGCGTCCTCCCTCTGCGGCTGCTTGTTGTCATCATTTTTACATTTTCCCCGCGCAACGCTGACTGTCTAGTTCGATTGCGACGACATCGAGGACATGGCTGGAAACTACATTTGCGTGGGCGTGCAGTCGGCCATTGGCGCGACCATTGGCATAGGCAATCCCTTTGGTGGCTTGTAAGGTGTGGGAAGAAGGCGGTTATTTGTGTCTTTGTGTCCTCGTAGCCCTGTGTCGTTGCAGAGTACTCTTTACTGCATGCAACGCACTTTGTCACTCCCTCTGGTCTGCCCATTTGCGTTTGAATTGCACTCTGCGTCTCTCGACCAAATTCGGCGTTCTTGTGATAGTTCCATTCAATGGCTGCATATTTTATTTGCCCACGCATTTCCCCTCACGTCTGCTCCTGCGCACCGGCAGTGACCCGTTCGTCGGCTGCTTTCGGCCTGGATAAATAGATAAATACATACATACCTTTTGCGGCGACTCGTGTAGAGCCAAGATTGGGCAAAGATGCAGGGTCTCCGTGTACCAAGGAGAAATAACGACGAATCCTTCAACGTGTCTCTATTTAGGCACTCGACGGGCCACCGGCTGCAGGAGACAGTCGTCGCTGGCATCGTCGCGGCCATGGGCTGCATGCGGCCGCCCAACGCTGACTGCCTCGGATGCGTTCTCGAACTATTTTCGTTTCTCCTATTGTCATCGTTTCTTCCGAAGCCTTCGTCGCCACGTTTAATTTCTCCGCACTGGGCCGTTTCTCTGGTTATTTGGTAGAAGTCCGGACGGCATATTGGTCGAGGACTCGCCTCTGAATCGGCAAAGCAGAGGTCGTTCGAGACAAAGAAACCAGAGGGCCGCTATCACCATTTGTTCCACCAAGCAAAGCCGACTCAGTCACAACAGCCCGTAGTATATGAGCGAGACCTTTCCCTGTGGTCTCACATGTTTGTCGTAGACTTTCCTCGTTAGGGGCTGATCGAGTCGAGAAGTGCAATAAACATAAAGTCTTCTATTCGTTCATTTTCAACAAAGGCGAACGAACAACTTAGCCGTCCACCGTACAACGTACAACCTCCCACCCATCCACACACGATCATGCGTGGCGCCCTTTTCTCACTGGCGGCTACGGCCTTGATCGTTGGTGGTGCGTCTGCGGGCCGTATGCTTGACGGAAGCGTCGCCGTCGACCGCGCTGCTAGTGACAATGCCACGTATGACTATATCGTCATTGGTAGCGGTCCCGGTGGTGGTCCGCTGGCGTGCGATCTTGCGCGCGCCGGATACTCGACGCTGCTCATCGAGGCCGGCGACGACCAGGGCGACAACCCCGTCTACTCGGAGCTGGCCAACTTCAACACGGCTGGCAACGACCCGGACTCGCGCTGGGATTTCTGGGTCAAGCACTCGGACGACCCCGTGCGCGAAAAGGCGTTTGCCCACTACACCTACCGCACCACCAACGGCTCCTTCTATGTCGGCACGGAGCCGCCCGCCGGAGCCACGCCGCTCGGCATCCAGTACCCGCGGGCCGGCACCCTCGGTGGCTGCGCCATGCACAACGGCGGCGTGTGCTCGCTGCCCGCGGACGACGACTGGAACATCGTCGTCAACATGACGGGCGACACGAGCTGGGAGGCCCCCAACATGCGCAAGTACCTGGTGAAAGTCGAAAAGAACCAGTACCTGCCGGCCGGCACCGAGGGCCACGGTTTCGCCGGCTGGCTGGCGACGGCGGTGCAGCCGACCCGCTGGGCGCGCGACAACTCGCTACCGGCGACGCGCGTCCTGAAACAGATGGCCGCGCTGACGGGCCAAAACGCCAGCGACGTGGCCAACCTCGTCGACAAGGACATTTTGGGCGACTACCCGCACAAGGACACGTTGTCGAGCTTCTATAACATGGCCCAGCACCAGGACAAGGGCGGCAAGCGCTCGAGCCCCAACAACTACATCAAGGCCACGCTTAAGGATCCCAAGAACTACCCGCTGACGGTGCGGCTGAACACGCTGGCGACGCGTGTTCTCTTTGACCAGCCGGGCGCCGGCAACGCGACAAGCCGTGTCGTGGGTAGTGGTGTGGGAGCTGGTGCCGCCCTTCCTGTCGCGCGCGGCGTCGAGATTATGTCCGGCCCGTCGCTCTATGGCGCCGACCCCCGCCACACCAACGCCAACGTCACCACAAAGGGCCCCGTCTCCAAGGTCTGGGCCCGCCGTGAGGTCATCGTTTCTGGCGGCGCCTTCAACAGTCCCCAGATTCTCAAGCTTAGCGGCGTCGGCCCGGCCGCCGAGCTGTCGAAACTCAACATCCCCGTCGTCAAGGACTTGCCCGGTGTCGGCGAGCGCCTCGCCGACAATTATGAAGGCAGCCTGCTTGCCCTCGGCCAGCAGCCCGTCGGCGGTGGATTCATCACTCTCCTGTTCAAGACCCCCAACGCCGAAGGACCCAACCGCAATATCTTCACCTGGTGTGGCGCCTTTTCCTTTGAAGGTTTCTGGCCCGGCTTCCCGACCGATTACGGTCCGAACGAGTAAGTTTTCGTCGTCGATCGTCGCGGCGCTCGTTTACCCGTTTGCTGTTGTTTTCGTCGTCGTCGAAGTCGTCATCGCTGTCTTCTGTGCACGTCACTCACTGTCCCCCCAGGTACGAATGCGCCATGGTCCTCATTAATCCCCACAGCCAGGCCGGCACCGTCAAGCTCGCAAGCGCCGACCCGCAGGTCCCCCCGGATATCAACCTCAACTTCTTCCTCAACAACGGCACCGAAGACCTCCAGCATCTCGCTGACGCCGCCAAGCTCCTGCGCACCGCTTGGCAGGCCGCCGGCGACCCCGTCTTGCCCTTCAACGAGAAGCACCCTTGCCCGGGCACCGGAGCCGGCAACTGCACCGACGAGGCCCAGCGCGCGCTCCTCAAGACGCAAGCCTACTCCCACCACGCAAGCAGCTCCTGCGCCATTGGCAGCGACACCGATCCGCTTGCCGTCCTCGACTCCAAGTTCCGTGTCCGCGGCGTCCAGGGCCTGCGCGTCGTTGACGCCTCGGCGTTCCCGCGTGTGCCGGGCGCGTTCCCTGTGCTCCCGACAATCATGCTCTCGGCCAAGGCCGCCGAAGAAATTCTAGCGGACGCCAAGAAGTAGAGACGGGGGAGAGTGCCATGGCGGCCAGCCGTGTGCTGGTAAACGGAAAGTAAATAAACAGAGTTTTGTCAGAATCGAAAGTGTAGATATAACTGAAAACCGGGTTTCAAGTGCAAGTAATCAGTAGCAGTTTCCAAGGAGACAAAACAGACACTGCCGACAAAGATTATAAAAAAAAAAAAAAAAAAAAAAAAAACAAAATAACCAAAAAAACATGCTATGCCAATGCATGCTGCACACATCATCTCTCCACAATCACGCCTCCTGCAGATCCCACAGGGTCTTGAACAGGCTGTCGCGTGCCAGTAGAGCCTTGGGCGAGTCGTACTCCATCACCTGTCCCTCTTGCAGAACCAGTACCTTGTCGAAATCTGCCACCGTGCGCAGGCGGTGCGCCACCACAATCGCCGTCCACCCCGCAAAGTCTTCTTGGACCAGCTTGTCCACAAATGCCTCCGTCTCCCGGTCCAGACTGCTCGTGGCCTCGTCCAGCAGCAGCACCCGGCTCTTGCGCGTCAGCGCCCGGGCCAAACAAAACAACTGCCGCTGGCCCGCACTCAGCCAATCCGTGTCGAGGTCCGCGTCCAGCCCGCCCTTGTCGTCAATGATCTTCTTGAGGTTGGTCTTGTCCAGCACCGCCAAGAGTTCATCGTCGGTCGCCTTGCCCAGCGGGTCTAGGTTGTAGCGCACCGTGCCTGCCAGGAACATTGGGTCCTGCGGCAGCGCCACCAGTGACTCGCGCAGCGCGTTGAGGTTGAGCCGTCCCGTTTCGATGCCGTCGATCTCGATCTGGCCCTGCGAGGGCGAGTACAGCCGCAGCAGCAGGGAGATGAGTGTTGATTTTCCGCTGCCCGACCGCCCGCAAATGGCGACCTTCTCGCCCGGTTGGATTTCCAGATTGATGTCCTCAAGGACCACCCGGTCGCCGTACTTGGCCTCCAGATGCTGCACACTGATCGCACCACGTGACGGCCACTGCGGCGGCGGCATGTCCGGCCCGTCGTCTTCGCGCGGTGTATCGTTGGCAAACTCGTTGACGCGGGTAATGGCGCCCAGACTCGTCTCTAGCTGCGTCCACATCTGGATGAGCATGCTGAGTGTCATGCCGATGCCCATTACGCTGGTCAGGGCCACACCTAGCAGGCCAGGGCTAATTTGGCTGCGGAGACCGACGGCCAGGCCAATGACGATGACCGCCATGGCGGCAACAATAAGATTCAGAACGAGTGAGAGCCATCGCTGAATGCAATACAGGAGGTAGTACGGCTTTTGCGATTCGTTTAACCGGCGCAGGCTCTCGTTCTCGGCATCCTTCGTCCAGCCATAAGCACGTAGTGCTGTTAATCCCGAGAAAGACGCGATGAAGTCCGAGTAGAGCGGCGATTTGGCTTCGAGATCCAGGAGACGCATTTGGCGAGACGTTCGAAGGTAGAACTTCTGTACACAGTACAGGACAACGAGAAGGACGGGAACAATAATACCGAGGTAGCCCGATGCTACGCATGTCAGGATGATTTGAGAGACGGCACTGATGAGTTCTGTGGAGCGGTTAGTGTACTTTTGCGAAAAGATATTCATGCAATGGAGATACGTACGGCCGTAGCACATCATAAATGAAAAAGGAAGCTGCATATCCACGAGCGTCATATCCTGGCTGAATCTGTGGGTGTGTCAGCGCGCATCGTCATGGAAACTGATCTGGCTGTCGAGAGAACCTACCGGTTTACGATTTCACCAGCGTCGGTAGCAACAAAGTATGCCAACGGCGCGCTAAAGAAAGTCAGTACGAGTTGCCTCAATAGACCGCAGAGACACCAGCAACTTACTGCATAGCGGCGACGAGAATCTTCCTGTGGAGGACTTTGGCTGAATGCGGCACAATGATAATCAGAAACGTCCAAAATTCAGCGGCCATAAATATAACGTTCAATACGCCGAAGAGGACGTAGATGCCGACGTAGTAGCCGACACGACTGTCAGCGTGCTCTTCATTTGCGGCCGTCCAAACATTGAGCCACACGGCTAGAAAGAGAAGCGAGGTTAGTGTCTGCAGTCATTCGAATACAAGCAGCACCGCAATCGCGAGACTCACGCTGGGCTGTCCGGAAGCCAATGTCGCAGAGAGTAAAGACGGCGTACAGGGCAAACGCCGTGCCACCCAGAGACCTGAGATATGAGAACATGGCATCGGCATTCCGCTTGCCACGTGACGCGTTGTCGGACGGGACAGCATCCGGAGGACCGCCCGCACCGGACCGCTTGCGGCCCATCGCCTTGGCCGAGGCGATGCGTTCAATGATGGCTTCCTTTTCTTTGAGTTCTATCTCAACGTCCAGGGCATCGCGGATCGCGGCGGCGTCCATAGCAGATTTCTTGAGGCCCAGGGCAGCAACAAAGCCGTCACTTGAATTGAGGTGATCGAAACTGCCCCGCTCCGTGACGCGGCCGCCTTCGTCCAGGACAATAATCTGGTCGGCATGGGGTAGGAGTTGGACTTTATGGTTAGCACATCAGCACGCGAGGAAACGGACGGGGTGAATGGACGGCCTACTATTGTGGGTGGCAAGGACGACGGATGTTCGGTTCTTTCTCAGGAGTCCTTCCGGCCCAAGCGTGGCAGTGAAGCATTTCGAATACGTGTCAGCATCAAGCCCTTTCAAGATGTCGTCGAGAATGACAATGGGCTTCCGGTTGTAAACAGCACGAGCAAGAGCCTGGTGAAATTAGCAAACTGCAACCAGATGTAGGGACAACATGTACAATTGCACTGTACGTACCACACGCTGTTTTTGACCACCACTCAGAGAGACACCTTTACTGCCAATGATGGTGTCATCGCGCTTTGGGAACTGCTCAATATCCTCGACCAACTGGCAAGCATGGATGACCTGCTCATAGAAGTCTTCGTTGTACGGCTCGTATGCGAGCACATTTTCTTTTATCGACCGGTTGAGCAGCCAGGCGTCTTGGTCGCAATACGCTACCTCTTCCGGAATGGTGAACTCGACGGCGCCTTTGAATTTTCGGCATTCACCAATGAGCGCCTTGAGGAGTGTCGACTTGCCGGAAGCCACGGGGCCGATAACAAGTGTCAATTCGCCCGGCATAATGTCGATGTCGACGTCTTTGAGTACTGGCGGCGCATCGGCTTTCCATCCAAAAGTGCCCTCTCGAACCTTGATCAATGGCTGCTTGTCCTTGCTAGCCGACTTCTCTGACGCGTTGTCTGCACCTAGCATGGCTGAATCGCGCGTCGTAAAGGAGCCGGAGTCTGACCGTGGCAGCAGGATGCGGTAGTCCTCGCGCTTCTCTTTCATCAAAAAGGCCTGGATGCGATCAAGACAGGCGAGAGCCGAGGCCAAGTTCGTCCAAGCCGATGTGATGGTCATGACCGGCGCAATGAGCACATTTAAGACGCTTAGCGCGGTAAAGGCCCGGGCGACGCCAAACTGACTGTCGCCAGACACCTTTTGCACGATGGCATAGACGGCAAACGTCACGGACGACATAAGCAGCGACGGGGCAATACCGAGAAGGAGATTCCACACCTGGATCTTACGCAAAGCAGTGGACTGGTCTATCTCGTAATCGCGGAGGCCCTGGATTTGCTGCTCGGCCTTTTCGTTGAGACCGGCGACCTTGACGCCCTTCATGGAACCGACAATATCAGACGTGATGCCGACCCGCTTCTGAATGGCCGCCATCCAGCGTCGCTGACGCGGCGGGATCATCTTGCCCAGTCGTGCGGCGATGATTCCGCAAATGAGACAGAGAATAATGGGGGCAACGCTGCTACCGCCTAGTTCGGTTCCGAGAATGCCTAGGGCGATGCCGAGTTGTACCACGCTCGGGGCCAAGTCGACAATATTGAAAGTCGTGAAGGTGATGCGATCGACATCAGTACTCATAAGGGACAGCGCCGCTGACGAGTTGCCAGTCTCGGCACGGATGGCCAACATGTTTTTGTAGATGATTGTTACCAGGGCGCCCCGAATCTTGGCCATGGTACGGAAAGCAATGTGCATGTACCAACGAGTGGTTAACTGTCGGCATTAGAAGCCATCCAAAAGCGTTGCATGCTAAGACAAAAAAGACAAAGGTTACAACGTACCGCAATACCAATGTAAGTTACAGCGTAGGCACCGATGAGGCCGTACCCGTAGCTCTTTGGCCGATCAGCGTTGTCGATGTAGTTGATGGCTGCGCTGACAAGGTACGGCTGGGACAGACTGAGGCCCATCAAGCCGATGCGGGGAACAAATGCCATGGCTAGCTCTGGTGTAAATGTTTTGAGTGTCGCATATGTCAAACAGTGCTTGCGCTTGTAGTTTGCTACGTTGTGTAAGTGGATGTCGGCTAAAGATGGAACGCGAATGCAAATGGTACGGGATACAGCAGACTGCCCTACCTTTCAGCCAATGGCTTTGTAAACGGTCATATAGAGTCTGGCCACGAAGTCCGTTATCAACAGGATAGAGGTCGTCCATGGTCAGATTGCGCTTGTATCCCTCAAAAAAGAGAGGGTTCAGCCACGTGAACAATGTATCACCAAAGACGCCCTGTATCTCCTCGGGCGAGATCTTGTCGTTGGCCAGAGTGGAGTGGCTGTACTTGTGTATGGACTCAACAAACATCAGAAGCACCTTGAGGCCAAATGCGGCCGAAAAGATGGGTGCCACAGTGGCGTTGTCTGGCAGCATCCATTGTGTGCGGATGCGTGGCAAGTCGCAAAAGATGGAAATGAAGAGGAAACTCTGGATAAGGTAGGACGGACGGACGGAGCGCACATGCTCCAGATCGGAGAGTACTGTCAGCGCAACAGTTGTGCACAGGCTCACGACGCTCGATGCAAGAGTGGTGTGTGTATGGAAGCCCCTGTTGGTGCCGAGGAGAACGGCAATGCCTAGTTGAACGCCTAGCAAGGCAACGAAGAGAAGCTTGGTCGTCGTCTTAGTGGTACATCCCAAAAGCATGTGGAGAGTGCACAAGTGCCCCAAAAGAATAGCTTACCAGCTTGAAGGCCAGCAAGAGCGGCCAGCGGACAAGTGGATTGCGCTTGAGAAGATAATAGATTCGCACGATGGCTAACAGTAAGGTAATGCTGCAGGGTGCAATCGAGAGAATGCAGTCCTCGAACGTGAGTGTGAAGTCGAAGCTATAGCAGTCCGGCCCAGGTGTCAAGACGGGGCCAAAGCTCCCGTCGTTTGCACAACGGACCATGACCGACGGAGGAGCTTGTTGTGGAGGGTAACCTTTGCCTCCTGTCCGCCCAGTGATTGCCCTTGTGATTGCGGTAGGCTCCAAGCTCCAAGTTTGTCGGATGGGTACGTCGCTGATATTGGATACCTTCTAGAAACAATGGATGCCTCAAATAAATTGGGAAGATTACCAACGATTGGAAGAAACAACAAATAAGAAAACAGAATAGAGAGGGGGTAGAGGGAGTACAATGTAAAGGAATCGGGGTTGGACGGGTGACACGATCTATATGAAGTGGTTGCAATGTATATCAGAGGTTAGGAGGGGACTGCAAATCTAGAGAAAGGCACATCTGTCTCAACTGTCTCAAAAGCAAGTTGCGAAAGCTCTCGAAACGATTGAAGGGTGCAATAGGGGACGGGCTCGGAGTAAGGTTAAGATCGACGGCCGACGGGACTCAAACGGCCGATACCATACGATACAAGTCGAGGTCCAGTATGAAAAGTATTGGTAGACGAACTGGGGATAAGACAGGTGGCGATGTAGCCTGAAGATCTGAGAGATGTGTTGATGCGCAATGGCGCTGACGAGCCGACGACAAATACTGCATGCACCCTAGGATTCAGCTAGTTTTGCCTTCTCCCAAGGTCCTGCGGATGTCTGCCGAGCCCTGTTTCTTCGGCGTCGTCCCTTGTCTGTCTGGTTCGGGTATGTTTAAAATCCGTGGGTGTGTGTTTTGTTTTCAGGATGTTTTGCGCGGCGCTCAATGAGCGGTGGGTGTGATCGGACCGTGGATGATCGGAGCAAGCTACGACACATGCAGTTCTGCCGAGAAGCATTGTCGTCTCGCAAGGCAAATGTGGACTCCGTCAAACAAGGGCGCGCGCGTACGAAGGAGTGATGCGTGAGGTACGTGAGAGGAGGCATTGAAATGCCATTGTGTTGAAATAAGTGAGAGGGCGGAGAGTCATTCGCGAGAACTCGACAGTTGGCAGGCACAATGCGATGCCGAAACGAGACAGTCGAAGTAGGTACGACCCAAAGACATTGGTTGACCAGGCTGGCAGGAGCATGGAACGGATTACGGCATACCGTTTCTACTACCTCATACCGATGCGGTAGGTGTGCGCCACGGACACCACCCCAACGAAGAAGGCGCGACTGTGTGGTGACGTTTTACGGTTGAAATAACCTCTGCCCCCAACGTCGGGGTCCGACTATTACCGTTTCCCGACAGGCAGGGAAGGGGCGATCAAGGTTTGGCTGGACTAACAGGAACACAACTAGACGGGGAGGCACCTTGGCATGCGAAAGCGAATATGTACATGCGAAATACGAGTTTAGCGAGCATGTGGAGGGCAACGTCCCTTTCCTGTTTTGTACACATGTCGCGAACTACATGGGAGTTATCTGGAATGGCAAGAACGTCCTTTAGACGTCACCTCAACTCTTTTCTCCTTCCCTTTTATTCACACAACAATGATTTTCAGAGATTTAATTTCGTATCGCTGACTATCCCCCTGCGAACAAGAAACATTTCATTGACAAAATGATCCGCCTGTGCCGCATAGTAAGCCGTCGCTCGACCGCTGGTAAGATACAATTGCCGACATGAAGGAAAAACATACGCACCGGTGTCGTCGTCAAGACACGGGACGAGAGAAGGGCGCAGAAATAAGCAATAGGCTATGAGACGTCTCCTCGCAAACTTCTACCAAAGGCTGCCCAATGACACATGTCCTATTCATCGTTGTGTGAATGTGCCCTTTGACTGGAAGGCTCGAGGTAATGGCAATGGGCGAAGGCGGGAGCCCAAGCGTCGTTGTGGAGTGGGCAAATGGTCTGGAAACACTGGAAGCCTGGCCAGAGACGATCATGGCGGGAGAAAACTAACGGTGTGAGCACTGTAAAATCGTCTCACCGTTTTATTTCGTCCGCAGCTGGTCTGCGATATGGCAAAAACCTTACAAAGCATGACCATACGCCACACTCCATTCCCGCAATGCGGCTCTCGGAACGCCCTGTCTCATGTCTATTCTGAAGATTGCCAAAGAAGAGCCTCTTTGGAGCGGCATACGAAATATCATATTGCTTTAGCCGAAGAAACACGGAGGCGCCAAAGAAGGCGACTAGAATACAATTTACCTCAACTTCACTTCGATCCCCCGTTTCTGGGTTAGGCTGTCGTCGAAGTGTGTGCGTTTTTAGGCACCAGCCGCCACGGACATAACGGACTTTGGCGGTACGTGGCCATCCTCTGTGATAGCTGTAGCAGCTCTGGGACAGTGCGCTGAACAGAATAACTGTGTTGCATCACCAGCCGCTTTAGTCATTCGCACACCTGCGTCTGGAGTTGGCACCAATACCTTTCTGTCTTTACGAGCGGTAGCCTGCAAAATAAATTGTAGCTGTGCCGCGTCCGACGATGTTGCGTTGAGCCCGCCACGTCCGTCTTTGCACAATTTCCTCACGCTTCCTCCGACCATTCAATGAAAATTGTTTGCTGCACATCATCCCGTCCGATGAGCAGGCGATGCGATATCTCCTTTTTAATTCTCCGGCCCACTCGTCCCTGCCGCCCCCAGCTTTGTCTGCGTGACATCGTCCACACAGCAAGACAAGATTGTGCCGCGTTTCTGGGCGGCTCTTCTAACGATCCTCCCGTCCTTTATCTTGTTGAAATCGACACAGTATGTTGCCGAACAGGCCCCGATGCCGGGATCCAGAAATGGCTGCCAATTAGAAGCACGCCGTCAGTCTCAGCTACGATCATGTCGGAACTTTGAAACACCGACAAGGTTTGCTATTGCCATACAGTATCTTGAGATTCTGACTTTGAAAAGTTTGTGGGTAATTGTTGAGTTCAGAGCGTTGTCTATTCCGTTTGCCAGATCCTAAGGGTTGTGATTTTTTGGTCGTGTAAGTCATTCATCTTGTATCACGACGCAACAAACACAGGGGCATTACCCAACAACAGCAAAACACAGGCTAAATGCCATCATATGCCGCCCTGACAATGTCTGTCTATGCGGTCCTTTCTAATTTCAACGCTTCCAAGAGACAGGTTGACATTGAGATACTTGGGATCGAGATTAATTGACAAAATTAAACCACGTGCATGTAGAAGTAACTCTGTTGTTTAGGAGAACAAGTCGTATGCCCGCAGAAAAGGGACAGAACAGAGTGCTCACGGCAACATGACCAAGAAGCTTTTGTTTGTTCTCGTTTCCCAATTAGTTTCGTTTACGCCCTGGAGATGTTGGGTGGGCATTGAGTGTAAACAAGACAAAGAAAATTGCCGCACCAACACAGCTCGTAGAATAAAACTGTCCAAAAACGTTGCAGAGACAGGTTTCTAGAAACGCAACAGCATGGCTTAGCCCGATCCGGACGCATTTTGGGCTTCACCCTACCGCACATGTTGGGGTCTTCAGTCCTCGCAGTAAAAGCACTTGCTTTTTAATGCTCTTGAGAGGCATATTTATTTATTTCTCTCTAATTCAGAAACAAATATTTACATAAAATAAAAACGATAAGGGCATAAGAAATGAACACTATTCTACGTATCGCAAAAGGGATGACCACCGTTGCAGTCCCTGGTTGAAATAAGATCACATCGACAAACTTGTCGACTGCACCAACCGATACTGTTCCAAACGCATGCAGAATACAATTATCCAAGAAGGATAGACGTTGAAAGAACCAACTGCCACTCCCATTTGGGACAAACGGCCGGAAAGGGATTGGATTATGAGGCGTATTTTTGCTTTCTTCGCGCTTGCCTTTTGCAGCTCAGTTCGTGCGATCGCACCTTCCCCGGAAACGTTTGTTGCCACAACATCTCCCCCTTGTTAATCTTTGGTGATTTTCCTTTCCCTTAAAGGATTTGAGAGTCGACCGCAGCACCTCTTCGAGCTTCAACAATTTTGCGAAAATGCTCACATTAAAACTCATCTTTGCACGGTCGACTCATCTTCCCTTCACGCAAACCTAGCGTACCAAACCAGCTGTCTCGACGTTTCTCGTTAAATTCATAGAATACCAACTACCAAGCATTATCAACAAGCATCAAGACTGCAATAGCCTCCAGGCCTACCGCAACACGCTTAGCAACGGACGATAAACATGGTGCAGACCAGACGTCAAGCCGCCGCCGCCGCCGCCGCCGCCGCCGCAGCGGCAGTGGCGGCAGTGGCGGCAGCGGCACAACAGCCACCCCAAGTCCAGCCGCAGCCACAGCCACATGCCGCAGGAGCACCGGCACTGATACTGGGTGCACTTGGTGCAGGACCTCCGGCGCCTGCCCAAGGACCACAAGGAGGGCCAGGAGGGCCAGGCGGACCAGCACCTGGCGGAGCTCACCAAGTACAACAAGGCCAGCCACAGCAAGTTCAAGTACTACCTCCGCCCGGGGGAGGAGTACCGGCACCCGCACCAGCACCACCACCGGTACCGGTACCGCCTCCACACCTAAAATTACTGCCTGCCGCTCAGTATGTGATTCAGTGGAAGAAGAGTAACAAAAATCGCCTGAAATGCGTGCCATCGCCTCCTCTTGCCGAGCTCATGACTCTATTTGTGGATCTTATCAACATTCTGGACACACAAAATATGTGGAAGAAAGGGAACTTCCCTGACAACACCACCGTCGGCGTACTCGATAACCTGAACCTTTTGAAATCCGAGTTCCACAGCGCTTCTACCGCACCGCACAGAAAGGGCAAGGGCGCACGACAGCGGAAGATGGAAAATTTTCAGAAAAAGCTGCCCGCACAAGACCAAGCCGTCTTATCAAAAGCTGAACATGCCGTGGCGAGTTTTGTATTGCTCTTGGAGAATGCGGCGGCGGCAGTACCAGGTCCGGTACATATTCCGGTACCAGCGGTAGCACAGCCCGCGGTGGCTCCTCAGCAAGCTCCTCCGGGTGACGGAGCGGGACTTGCAGTTGTCGCGGACAATGATTCCGTCCAGAGGTGGCGGTCATCCCCAGCTGCATTCGGAGTAACCGCACCAGCAGCGCCCGGAAATCAAGGACCGCTGGTGATCGCGCCAATGTCCCTACTTCCACAAGGTGCACAACCACAGCAACAAGGACCGCAAGCACAGCAGCAAGGACCAGGGCAGCAAGGACCGGGGCAGCAAGGGCCAGGGCAGCAAGGACCATTACTATTGGCCATATTTATCGCAAACTATTTGCGACAAAAGTACAACAATCTCACCAGTGCTGAAAAGAGGCGTCGAAGCTTGGCAGTGTATTTCGCGAAATACTACGCAGAGGGTTCTTTCGCCAATTTTCGTTCTGCTGATCACGTTGCTGACATCGCCCTGTGTAAAGTTCCCAATCCCGGAGTGTGGCCTGGACTCAGCAACAACTTGACGGAGAGCCGGTGGAGCAAATGCCAAAAAAATCGACAGTATGTGTCGGAGGAGCCGTCGGTTCTTATTTGGCCTCGAGCAAACTATAATGCAGACGGCGACTTTTACCCTCCTGGCGACCGGAGGCAAAAAGCGCAAAGTCGGGTACCATTCCTACGGATGGGCACTCACAACAGACGGGCGGTGATGCCACCAGAACTTCCACCTCTAGACATGAAAAAGAAGATGAATGGTATCTCAAGACTTCTAAACGAAACCGGGCTACGTTTCCAGAAGGTCCTTGGACAAGGTGGATTCGGTGTCACGGCACTTTATCAAGTCAGAAGACGGGCGTCACGGGTCCAAAAGCCGATTCAATTTGTGGTCAAGGCCGTGCTGGACGATGAAACGAGCCTCTCCGAAGAGAAGGAGCATTTGAAGGTACGTATGTCCATTCCGGCCACGACATGGACAGGCAACAAGGTTAACCTATGTACAGCGATTTCAAGGATGTCGGCATGTTGTCCAAATTTACCATACACACAAGATCTCGGCCGATCTTGTAAAGAGGAATTTATACAAGAAGACACAGCGTCGCATCGTGCATTTTAAACTTGACCGCCTGGACACAGCCGATGACATCATGTTTACCGAGTTCATGAACCATGGAAGTCTGGATGACTACATTTCACGCATACGCACGACGGGGATGATACTTCCAGCGCGTGGTCAATGGCGGATACTGAGCTGCCGTGCGTTCTTATAATGATTTTTGTATCGTCGTACCACTTCTTCGGACGTATTTTAACTAACAACAAATAGTGGCCCATCAACTTATTGCGTTGAAGTACCCCCGGAACATTATTCGGCCTGATGCTATTCCGAGTACAGCCCCTACTTACGACAACGCGCTGGCCCACAAAATAGACACCGAAAGGATACCGCGAGATCTCGATGACAGCGATGCCGTTGTTCATTTTGATATCGACCCGAATAACAGTACGTCTCCACCCCGTTTCACTGCGTTGGCCATGCCGCGTCCCTGCATGTACCGATCACCGGAAATTGAAGCAGCTTATTAACTCTATACAAGTTCTTTTGGGCGGGAATGACGACAAGCACAAAAATTTCCCGATATTCAAGGTGTGTGTGTTCTGCTACACTGTAGTAGACATTGTCTGGGCCTTCTTGTGGGCTATACACTGACCAGCCATTCCTCTTTTCTAGGTTTCTGACATGGGCTTAGCCCGTACTGTAAGGGAAATCAAATCTACGTAGGTTGTCACCGAAACCTTTGTTTACTTTCCGTATAAACGCTGCCAATGCCACTGTTATTGTAGCTGTTGTTGACTGTTCTTCGCTCATCACATAGGTCAAACGACGAGATGCAAAAGATGCGCCGCTCAGGAAAGCGGTCTTACCTAGGACCTGTATGTCGGACATGGGACTGTTATTCTCCTCTGCGCAGATATATGTGCATCAAATACCTAACCAGAAGCACGTTTTACAGGAACAATTTTCCGATGAATGGGACTACTACCCCGACGGTGTCCATACAACCGGTGACGAAGAGAATTGGACAGCCGGTAACTACGGTAGTGGCATGAATGTCTATCAGATGGGCCAGGTAAGTGTCTTAAGGTACATCTTCGCATCGAAATATTGAACATTGGTCTTACCATAATTTAGGCCATGGTCAGCCTTATCTCTCTAGAACCGCCCTTGCATCCGCCTGTTCCAGTTTTGTACTGCGTTAAAAGAAGGACACGCCCGCATTCACCCCTACAAGATATTGATCACGACAACACCGCAAATGCCGTCCACAACGTGTACTTAGCTTTAAGAAACGCCCTGGTCCCAGATTCGACAGCGAACGACAGAGCAGCAGCCTTTGCCTTGGTCCCTAGTTTCGATAAGCTTGAAGCCCACCGGCTGAAACCCGAGGTAGGAATTGATATCATGCCTTACGACAAAACCCTAAAATATGGGTGGATGTGGACGTACGCCACGTTGTTGGCGTACAATGGCACCGCTCAGCATCCAAACTCGAAAACCAAGGGCGTTCTTGATGAAGATCTGATTGACTGTGTCTGCATGATGATGAGGCATCGACCAGCGGACCGGATTGAGCTAGCAGAACTCCGGACAATTGCAAAGCGCAAACTAAACGAGCTGGACCAGCCGCCAGACGAGCCGTACAAGGTCGATAGCCTCCAAAGCCGCGACCAGGACCAGTTCACGGACGAGGCTCTCCGGAATTTGCACAACATGCTGACTGGGGGCGTTCCCGATTTCACTTATGGACGCATCTCTCGAGCGAACGTCATTCCATTCCCTGAAGCCGAAGGTGTTGACGGCGATGGGAACATGCTGCCCGATCCTCTTTATCAGGAGGACCGCCACTATGTTCGTGCGGTACGTGGCGACCGTCTAGACACGGCCGAGAGCAATAGGACAAGCAAGTGGAAAACGGACCACCTAAGACGCCTGACGCGTTTACCACCGCCGCCACATTCGCAGACACCATTACCGTCGGCATCATAAGTTTGACACTGACAGAGGCCATCCGTCCCCCGGGCCATTGATTCATAGATATCCATGTTAGTGTTAGTTTCGTTTGGGATTTATTGTTTATTTTATATCATGGAAACACAACTGAGGATATGTACAATAGACGGAAGAACAGTAAATCAAAATTTCAGTAATCTAACCAAAAGTTAAGAGGAAAGGAGCAAAAGAAAGAATGAAATAAGATATGCCTGCTGGACAAGTGTGGTAGAATCAGTACACTTTTAGTTGTTCTTGCCCTTGCCGTTGGCCTTGCCCTTGCCCTTGCCCTTGTTAGTTGCGGCGGCCGTGGCCTGTGCCTGGCCGTTGCCGGCAGCGTTGTTGGCGGCACCAGCGGCCGTTGCCGTGGCCGCCGCCTCGGACGCCTTAAACTGAGCGTCAATCGACGAAAAAATGGCACCCGTCGTCACAGCACCGACTGTTTTGATTAATTTTGTTAGCTGACGCTCCTTTTTCTTTTTCATAGTGCCATAAATGGAGGAATACGCACTATCACCAGCTGCCACAAGGGCAGCAGCCTCGGCGGCCGCGTCGGCGGCCTTGATACCACCAGCGCCGTTGTTGGCGGCGGCGTTGACGCTGGCCTGGGCATTCGCGGCGGTCTGGGCGGCGTTGCCCTTGGCGGCGTTTCTCTTGGCAGCATTGGCCTTGGCCGCTTTGCCCTTGCCCTTGCCCTTGCCCTTTCCTTTGCCCTTGGCGGCATTTGCGTTGGCACCGGCCGCGGCTGCGGCTGTAGCCTGCGCGTTGGCAGCACCAGTGTTGACCGCAGCAGCAGCAGCAGCAGCGGTGGCCGTGGCAGCGGCTTCCGAGGCCTTGAACTGGGCGTCAATCGAGGAGAAGATGGCTCCGGTCGTGGCGGCGCCGACTTGTTTTTGTTAGCGAGAGCTACAGCGTCAAGACAGGAATGAATACTTTGTTATAGTTGCAGGCGAAGGCGTACGATCACCAGCAGCTACGAGGGCAGCAGCCTCAGCAGCGTTGTCGGCAGCCTTGATGCCGCCAGAGCCGTTGTTGGCCGCAGCATTGACGCTCTCCTGAGCAGCGGCGTTCTGGGCAGCACTGGCACCATTGTTGTTGTTGTCGTTCTTGTTGCCCTTGGGAGCAGCGGCCACGAGCGAGGCACTGGCGCTGAGAAGAACGACGAGGGTGCTGATGTACTTCATGGTGGCGATGGGGATGAAAGATGGTACAAAGATAAAAAAAACGAATAAAAAAGAACGTAAGACAAGATGCAAACGATAGTCGACCGGCGATAAGAAACGAAGTAATCGAGCACAGCTAGAACATTTGTTCGTCAGTGATAACCGTCAGGATATCTATCGATTGCCCTTGGCAAACTCACCTCGAAGAAAACAAAACTGCACGTAAAATTGAACTACGAATGACGATGAATCAATACGAAGCCAAGACAAGAGGAGATGGAACGAAGGGAAAAGATAAGATGAGAAGGGCAACATGGAACGTGGTGCGCCGCTGTTCAAATAACCTCGGCGGCGATTCGAGGGATGGCTACCTGCACGTCTACTTTGCTCTTGCTTGGACACAGTAGACTCTGTGGATTTACCAGCCAGCATGCTCGTCTATTCATGCCTACTTGCCCTCCCGTTTGCACCGCCTGTAGATCGCTGGTTTTGAGATTTCTTGTTACAGACGACGTTACGGTGTGCGTATGGGATGGATCGCTGTTGTAGAAAAACTACAATGGTAGGCGATATTGAAGGCAGGTTGCGCAGTCATATGTGTGTAACAAGGATGCCTCTCTGGCTGCCGGTCTCTTGTGTTTGATCTGCAGCAGCAGCAGGGCACGCAAGGCCAGGGCTAAGGACAACTCAAACAAGGGCCGGGACAGGTACGGCCGCTTGGACTTTGGTTCGCTTTTTCCGTTTTTTGGATTTCCGTTTTTGGGGTTTTTTAAGGCGTATTAAGCATAGTTTCTCTTTGCCATTACTTCTCGACTGAACTAAATTCAACTCAAATGCATCCCAGTCCAACACTGTCACAGACAAAACAAGACGATTGCAGACATGCGTCGTTCCAGAGCCTTGCAAATTTGCAGTACTGTAACAATCCAAGGTTCTTTCCTGATAGGCGTTCGTTGAAACCCATAAAATAAAGTCAGCCAAGACTTGTACGAACCAAGGAGCCAAGATTGACATTGGCATCCCGTGGATGTGCAGCCAGGCGACGGTCGAGGGATTTCGTCTGTCCACGACAGAGCACTTTTTCAAGAACAGGAAGTGCCAACCGGGCACTTTGAAACGGTCTTGCCAAGAGATTTGTTTGGAGATTCGCTGTATTGCCATATTCCGTCTTCCTTCTTTTGTTGTCTTTGTGATGGCCCTTTTTTGTCCTTTTTTCTTTTTTTTTCTTTCCCCTTGCCCCGTCTCGTCGGCCCATCTGGATCCCAAAGCTTGGCACAAACTTTGTTTCACACCCCTGTTTGCGGCTGCAACAACAGCCGCGGGAGAAAGACGTGTATGAACATACATGCTCATGGCATATATGGCGTATGCGTGGTTTCCATTTCCTGGATTGCACGTTTGTATATTCGATGTCGACGTCTCACGAATCGTTGCTTGAAGCCAAGATTTTTGATAACAGAGCTCGCTCAGAGCTTGCTAGTACCATAATGCAGCTTGAGCCGAGTCGACTCATTCAACTGCCGTGACTACCATCTATTCCTTTCGCTCACACAACACTCTTCTTTGCTTTCCGCCTTCTCCTTCTCGTCATCGTAGATACCGTCCACCTCGTCGACTACCTTTTGATAGACTCGTCACGACTCACGAATCACGCTGCGCAAGAAGACAATGGGCGCCAGCGGGAACATGTGCAGACCCTCCTCGAGACAGGTGTTCATGTAGGGCAGCTTGTCCATGGCGGCAATGGTGACCTGGTCGTCCGACGTGAAGGCAGAGCGGATCTCGTTTGTACATCCTATCTACTAAATTCAAACGGCCACTCCGGAACCGGCAGTCCTGCCTTTATACACGTTTACTCCCGGACATCACGGAATTACGGCAGCGTCAGAGTGGTCCTGTCTCTGTGCAAGTCGACCCGGTCAACGGCGCTCCTCCGACACTCTGGTATGCCATAATTCGTACAAGGACAATGTGCATCGCAAAATGCTAAGAAAAGCCTGCGCCAACGTAAACTGCCCCAGTAACTCTCAATACATCCTTCAACAGCTGCTGGTGCTGCGGTGATTGGTGGGCGCCCGACATAGACAGCCATACTCAAGGCACACAGGGGATAGTGGCGCTCTACCGATTCTAGACCCGTGACGGTGTTGTAACCGAAAGGCCGCCTGATCTGTGGACGACGGCATTCTCGAGCCGCCCGGGACGCCAATCACCGGGACCCGCAAAACACTAGTCGCACCTCCCCCGCCTGTTCCATCACCGTTCCTTCCCCGTTTGTCAAATTGTTTCGTGTTTGTCCCCGTGATGGTTTTTATTTTTCGAATTATTTCCCAGAAACAAAACATCCGTCTGCAACCCCTTCCCCTCTCGTCACAACGCTCGCCAACGCCACAACATCGCCGGACCGTCATGTTCGGTCACCACATCTCGCATCCAACGCCAGCAACGAGTCTGCCGTGTCGAGCACACTCTCGGTCAGACTGCGGTACTCCTGCAACTCCAACACGTCCCGTGATCGCCGGTTGTCAAACTGGTAGACGTCCGCCGGCAGGTCGTCAGGCGTCTCCTCTGCGGATGGGAGACGTGCGGCAGCCATGGCGGCCCTCTCGCCGCCCGCCTGCATCCAGCCTTCTCGCACAATGTTCGCTAGCTGCCCATTGCTAAAGTGCCCACCAACGACATAGAAGCGCTGTCCACCGGCGCTGGGGACTTGTATTGCGCGCACATGCGCCAGCGCCACATCGCGGACGTCCACCCACGTGAAGACGGGGCGCGTGGGCGGCACTTGGGCAGCTCCGTTCCCGTGGGCCGTCTTCCACAGCCCCAGCACACAATCCCGGATCCGCTGGTTGGATGCATTGACGGCGTCCGAACTGGCGAGCCATCGCTGGACCGGCCCAAATGTGTATGTGCAGTTGATCACGGCAAGGTCAAACGACGTCGCCCGGCTGCCACCGCCGGTCGTTTTCGTCTCCGTCGCCGTCTCCACGTCGTCGCTTCCATTGACCAGCGCCCACGCTGCCCGCTCGGCAAACACTTTGCTTGCCTCGTACGCATTGTGCGGAAGCTGTGCCTCGGCCCACGTCATTGGTCGCCAGCAGGACTCGTCATACACGGCAGCATGGTGCGCAGGGTTGAGCATCGCGGCCGACGACGAAGTCAGCACCACGCGACGCACCGACGGCGCCAGCGTCTGGACGGACCGCAGGAGACCGGTCGTTCCGCGCAGGGCTGGGTCCAAGAGGTCACGCACAAGATCTTCGACGCGCAGCTGGTACGGCGAGGCAGTGTGGATGACAAAGTCGAACTGGCTGCTTTGGAGGACGTTGTCGAAGGCACCCTCCCTTGCAACGTCGTCGACGAGAGAAAACGACACAAGGTGCCTTCGTGCCTCGGGAAGTGACGCCAGCACCGCTTTTCCCTTGCCGGCTGTGCGGACCGTTGTCACGACGGCGTATCCATGGTCTAAGAGGATATCTAGGACATGCGAGGCAATGAAGCCCGAGCCACCTGCAAGGTCAGTGACGGGTGGGGCCAGCCGTGACAGAGGGTCTGCGTACCTGTGAGAAGAACGTTGCCTTTGTTGGTCATGGTCCCGTTGGTGTGAGGCTCGATTTTGTTCAAATTAGCACAATCAAGCGGTTGCAAAACACTGAACAAGGACCTTGAAAAGGGCAAGTCGCTCTATGGAAGCAGACGACAATATGGCGTCTGAGATGCCATTTTATTTTGCGACGATGAACTGCTGAGAATTGGATGAAGAAACGCGGCGGAGCATGCTCCCAGTGTCTCACAGACTCTCACACATACGCAACCCGACTCCAATCCGGACGTCCAGTGGCGCCCGTCCGACGACTGTACCGTCTTTGTTTCAGAGGAGAGCAGTCGGCAAACAACCCCACGAGTTGATACACATGCAGAGCCCCGCAGTGCTTGCTGTACAACACACAATGGTTTTCGTTGCAAACGTGCTCGGATTTTGCCGGCGATCTTCACCTTGTTCTGGTTCGTGCATAAATACGAGTGGAAACAATGTGATCAAGTTCTTCAAGCTGACGTCCCGCCTTGTTGGACTCCGTTTGCTACAACGCAACGACGCTCCCTGTCACAATGACCGCCCAGACTTCACCCATTCATGTTGCCATCGTCGGCGGCGGCATCACGGGCCTCGTTCTAGCCATCGGCCTGCGCGCTCGTGGCATTTCCCACACCCTCTACGAGCGTGCTGCCGGCTTTTCCGAGTATGGCGCGGGCATCGGATTCAGCCCCAACGCTGAGGTCGCCATGACGCTGATCGACCCCCAGTTGCACGCTGTCTTCAAGCAAGCCGTCACGCCCAACGGACTCGACTACTTTCAATGGATCGACGGCTTCACAACAGACGACCAAATCTTCCAGTTGTACCTGGGCAGAGACGGCTTTCAGGGCGGGCGGCGGTCGGAGATCCTGGGCGCCTGGGCAGCTCTTGTCGAGCCGGCCAACGTTCAGTTTGGGAAAGAGGTGGTTGCAGTCATCGACCCAAAGAATGGTCCAGTCAACCTGTCCTTTGCCGACGGCACTACAGCCACGGCCGATGTCGTCATTGGTGCGGACGGCGTTTGGTCGCGCGTGCGTACTCTGCTGTTTGGCCCGGAGTTCCGCGCCTCCTACACGCACCAGTACTGCTTCCGCGCCGTCGTCCCCATGGACGGACCTGACGGCGCCGTTGCCGCCTTGGGTCAGGCCCGCGCCTCGTCTCGGTACATGTACAACGGCCCCGGCGCTCACGCCATTACCTACCCGGTAGCCAAGGGTGCCTTGCTCAACGTCTTGGTCGTCATTGGCGATGACAAGCCGTGGGGTGATGCTACACGGGCAAGCGGCAGCAACGACGAACAGAACGTGTCTGCCGATACAGGCGTCGCCAACCGTCAGACCACTGGAAAGGGCCGTCGTGCTGACGCCGAGGCCGTTTTGGCCGGCTGGCAGTCCACTCCTCGCGCCGTCGTCGGCCTCCTTCCCGACACACCCGACCGCTGGGCCATCTTTGACATGCTCGAGCATCCCGTGCCCACGTACAATCGTGGCCGTGTGGCCCTCGCCGGCGATGCCGCCCATGCTGCCGGCCCACACCTGGGCTCCGGCGCCGGGTTCGGTATCGAGGACGCTCTGGCCTTGTCGACTGTGCTGGCTGAAGTGAACAATCCTGCCATGGTAGACAGTGCCCTGTCCGCCTACAGCAAGGTCCGCTACGAACGCACGCAGTGGCTGGTCCGCGCCACCCGCGAGGCCGTCGACCTGTTCCAGTGGGCGGGTCCCGGAGCACAACCGGGCGCGGATCCCAATCATGGCCAGGACCCGGCCGTCTTTGGTCCTGAAATTACGTGGCGCTTCCACACGATATGGAAGTACGATTTGGAACGGATGCAGGCCGAGGTGCGGGCGCTGTATGAAGCAGCTCTGGGGGCACGGTAGTGACAGAGGTGGCGATCGCTCCTAGGTAGCTGTCAACGTCGTTACCAATGACAAACAAGCCGCCCTTGACTAGGAGTAGCCACTCACGATGTATACTTGCTTCAGTGCCGTCGACACGACAGCATTCACGTATACATCGGTGACCTCACTTCAATAATGTGTTATATAAAGCAGGTTTCTCCTCCGGCGTTTTTTTTTTTTTCTTTTGTTGATTAATTAGGACAACCACGTCTGTTCCACCAAAGTGACTACAAGTCCTCCAATACATGCGCCTCTCTGTCCAAGTCACTCTCCCATTCGATACATTGCCAAAATGAGCGACAACCTCTCAAACTTTAGCTTTAGCTTCGACTATGTCACGGTGGCCCCCAACAAGACGGTCCCTAAGACGTCCGTCCGCAGCGATGGACCGCGGCCGTTCCCGTCCTCGTGGAGCAGCTCGACGCCCACCTGGGGCAACACCGTTTCCTTCCGGCTAGGGACCTCCTCGCCGCCCAGCACAAAGTCGTGGACCACCGGGCCAACCTACAAGTAGGCTGTGGAAGGTGGGCGAAGCAGGCGGGCCAAAGCGACCATATGTGCCAGAAAGGGTGATGAAGGCTTGGGCGTGATAATCTGTGCATTTTATCTCGATGGTTCAAGACGGGGAACGGAGAATCGCAAACAATTCTGAGAAAATATAAAAATATTGAGTTACAGCCGAGTTAATAAATCAATGGTTTTAAAAGACGTCATTTTTCAGTGTAACTTTTACTGGAGCATAACGAATGAAGAACACCAAAAGATGCAAAATCACATAAGCTAGACAATTCGACGATACGGAAAAAATGCCAGATGTTGATTGTTATCGCTGTTCATTGTGAGAATATTTACTTACCCGCGAACAAAAGCCCCTCTAAGTGCAGCGAAAGAGCTTGCACACTTGGATCGAGAACAAAGCGAGTGCATACAAACTGTAGCTCCCATTCATGAACACCCACGACATTGCATTTCATTGTTCACAATAGCCTCGCACAGCAGGTATATAATACAGAGCACCATTGGCCTTCGATGCGACTTGGTTTCCTCCTCCTCATCCCTCATCACTCCGATCAACAACTTCAAAGACTAAAAAAAAAAAAAAAAAAAAACTACCAGCGCTCTTCAGGGAAAAGTCTCTTTCCTTGACTAGTGTTCCCCTTTGCTTTCCACTACTCATTTCGTCCCACAGCAGCAATGCCGTCCAAGAGAGACCACTCCCGCCGCGGCCGATCGCGCCGCCGCAGCCGTTCTCGCAGCCGTTCCGACACCCGCACGCGTGGGGAGCGCTTCATCGACAACTTGAATGCCTTCATGAAGAGCTACTCGCACGAGTACACAAACGGCTACTACACCGGACCCAAGGCGTACCACCCGGACTATCCCAACGAGCCCAAGGTTTTGTCTCGTGACGCTCCGCTTCGCCGCAAGCCCAAGGCCATTGCCTACTACAACGACAACGACGATGATGGCCCGCAGAGGAGCAAAGACAAGGGCAAGGGCCGGGCCCGTTCTCCAAGCCGCTCGGACCCTCGTCCCCGTTCGAGCCATGGCGGTGGCAGCTACTACGGCACTGGCTACGGCACTGGTAGCGGTTACGGCGGCAGTGGTGGCCATGTGCCCCCCTTCGTGCCTGGCCCGCCCCTTTCCTCCGGCTATGTTCCCACGTCCGTCCTGGACTTCCAAAGCAACCATCTCCGTGAGTATCCCCCCACCCCCCAGAACAGCGGCTACGAGGCAAGGGGCCAGAGCCACCACAGCATCGATGGTGCGGCGGTATTTACGGCTGTGCACCCTGACGATGTGCCGGGTCCTTCCCGTGGCCGTTCGCTTGGCCGCGACTACACTCGCGGCCGGTATGCAAACGACTGGCTACGTTCTCCTTCGGCCCGTCCTGCGTTTGACTACGACCGGGACGCGTCTCGGAACCGCTCCCGTGGCCGTTCCCACCGTCGATCCCGTCTTCGGTCCCGTCATCGGTCCCATCATCGGTCTCGTCATCGGTCGAAGCGGTCTCAACGTCCGTCGAGTATTTACTCGAACGCGCCCTTTGAGTCCTTCGGCCGCAGTGCTTCCTGCGTCCCGTCGTACATTTCTGGCCGCAGCCACTCGCAGCCGCCGTCGCGCAGCCACTCCCGCGGCCATGCGTCTTACGGCAGTGTCTCCTATGGTGGAGCCAACGTTGTCACGGCCGTACACCCAGACGACAACTACCGCTCAACCAGCCCCAGCGACGGCCTTGCTCCCTCTTCGTCGTCGCGCCACGACCGGCCGCGCCGACCCCGTCATCGTTCCCACTCGACCCGGCACCGTCACCGTCGTCGCCAGTCGTTGTCCGGCCACAGCCCTGTCCGGTACCGCAGCAGCTCGCGATGCCGCCGTGCATCGCCCGCGCGCGAGCGGCCTCCCGCGTACATAACGGTCACCGAGGAGCGCTACCGCAAGCCTCGCCGGCGCCACAGCAGTCGCCACTATTCCCGCCGTAGCCGGGACGATGAGAGCCCCGGTCGCCACGGAAGCCGTTACCGTAGCCGTCATCGTCGCCATCGCCACCACTCGCCTCGTCCTCGCAGCTCGGGACGCTATGTCGAGGAACGCTACTACTCCTACAGCGCCTCCCGCAAGAGCAAAAAGGGCAGTGGTGGTTTCCGTGGCTTGGTCAAGAAGCTGTTCAAGTAGACGGTTCACGTAGGCGTAAAAGGTGAGAGAAGGGTAAGTCGTAGATGCAAGACATCTGAGTTTCGGACTTGCAAGTGTAAAGTCGGATTTCAAAAGAATAAGTATTTTCCTATTTTTGGTTGATTTTTTTTGAAAACACCCCATTAAAGCAAAAAAATTTAAAAAAAAATTAAAATTAAAAAAACAAATTGAAAAAATTGAAAAAAAAAATTAAAAATTGAAAAACTGAAAGAAGTAAAATGCATATCATCCCCCTCCCATGCGAAAAAAGAAAAGGAAGAAAGAAAACAAACCAAAAACTGCAGCATTTTGGCGGAGACATTAAAAATGATATACATTTTACACTAAAACGTGCAGTTCTCTTAATTCACGCCTAGATATTATTCCTGCGACAGGCATGTCTTTAAACATGTTATTTAGACAGATACGCTCTCCAGCAGTTTCGCTGCACGTCAAACTTGGATCAGCGTGGTATTCTTCTTCTTATTGTTGTCCTAGCTACTGGAAGAACGCTATCTTTGGGAAGAAAAATACGCAAGACCAAAACGGCTATCTAAAAATACACTGCGAAAGATCATCGCCGTTGTGTCGAGAAGCTGACAAAATAGGTGCCGAGCTCTCCAGAACGCTGTTTAGCCGGTGCCGCCGAGACCAACAGAAGACACTTGAACCATCAAAGGAGGAACATCATGTCGACCAAAAGTCCGGCATGCTGGCAGGGCTCCACCTATTTGCCCTTCTTGTCCTTTTCGCCCTTGTCCTCCGTCTTGACCACCGGCTGGGTCACAGCGGGATGAGGGGTCGGGGGAGTCGTGCCCTTGTCCTTCTTGACGTCGTCGTGACCCATGTTGGCGGGCTGGGAGTGGTTCGTTTGTCTTGGCGTTGCTTTGCTCTTGGTGTGGTGTTTTGTTGTGAGACTTTGCCGTGTCGTGCCTTTGTGCTTGCTGAGAGCTTGATATGCAAGGAAACTATTTTTGTAAAATAAAGCTCGTCTCCTGGAGGAGACACGGCACTATTTATACATTTTCTTGGCAGGGGAGAAATATATAATGACTTCATTTCTCGTGACATCACAAGTAAGCACGCCGTCTGTGAAATGGGTATACAATGGTGGCGAGAAAGCAAAACTGCTTCAGCTGTGGCATTCCATTGAGCATTTTCATGAGCCACGTTGGTTGCGTTGGCCAACTGTGACATAAAGGGCGTGGTCGCTGTGCTGTTTGTGCACTCGTGCAAGTGTAGTGGCGGGTGACCAGTGTACAAGACAACTGAGTGGCAACAAAATAGCCTGCTCGCAGACCGGATGAGTATGTTACGCGCACTATGTTCGTAGCCACTGTTTTGTTGCCGGATCGAATGCCGTCTGTATGACCTCACATCGACCATCTACCCATCGCTTCTCGCACGTCATCGTCATCGTTCCTGACCAGCTGTCTGGCAAAACGAAATGCACATTGTGTATGCGCGGCACGGATAAGGATAGAGGGACAAGCGAAGTCATGGGACCATTGGACTCGAATAGTTCGCTGTCGAGAAAAGTCGACGGCGATGCGTTTGGCTCATCCTGCGCGTTCTTCCCTTCCAGAGTTTCGAGACGGATGACCTTCTCGGCCACAGCACTCGCAAGCTGAGAGTCCCATAGCCCTTCACGACTGGGGATCGACTTGACAAACCGCACCGCCTGCTTCCGGATACGAGGTACCCGACAATGCAATGCTGTAAAGTAGAGCGGCGGCGTCCAACCGACATCCGCGTTGAAGAGGCACACTATGGGTGACGTTGCAGACCAAAGCTGTTCGGCGACCTCAGGGTTGATGCTGAAATGGACATCTTGCGAGTTATGGACGTCCTTGACTGCGTGGATAAACAAGAGGGCGTTGCGCACTATGGCCAAAAATCGCCCGGCATGTGCATCAAAGGCCAGTTCCGTATCTGGGGCAAGACATGTCGAGGCCAGAATAGAAGCCATGTCATAGTAGAGCACGAGCATCTGGTATGCAACGCGGGCAAGAAGGTCGACGTCAGGTCGAGAATAGAGGCTGATACGCGAGGCCCGGTAGGTGGCATGCCATGCGTCAAGGGCTGCAACAAGACGTGCTTGTTCAAGTGCCAAGGACCTTTTGATTTCCACATTAGAAGACGGCAAAGGCAATGGCGACGATGCTGATGACGATGATGTCGAGTCCCCATTAATTAACAAGGAAAATGACGAATTAGCGTCGTGATTTTGTTGCTTGTGGAGATCCTGGCCCTGTCCCCTGAGGGTAAGCACGTCGTAGACCAGTGCATCAAGACTATTTCGCGCCTGGCTGATGGACGCAAATGTGATTGGCAGTGTCAGTAGACGATGGTCCGGTGAAAAAAAATACTGCGGCACTGTGGGCAGCATCGACCCGGCATATCCGTGACCAAATTGCGCTGCTAGCAAGTTCATGCGAGCAAACGCTTCCAGCAGCCACTGGTCGATGGGATCGATATTGTTTCCCGGGAAGCACCTGTCCCAAATCAGATGCAACGAGTTAAAGCTGAGAGTAGACGACGTTGGTGAGGTTTTCTGTTTCCCAGCGTACAGGTAGTCGAGCAGCCGCACACCGTTCTGCAGGTGGGTGCTCCCCGTCCGAAAATGACCGCGCATAAACTCGAGGCATGTGAAGAGCATACAGGCCACGAGCATGATCCGGATAGAAGCAATGTCCGGTGATGCACTGGATACATCCATTGTATTTCGCATCAACGGCGAAGCCGTCAAATGCCGGATCGCCTTGTTGTACTGCCGAAGAGTGAACTCCTCGCTGCACGCTTCTGCCACGGCAAGCCGCTCGTTTGAACCAGTCCTCATGCCCTCACCTCCTCCAACACGCCTATGCACAGTACTCAAGGCAAGGGCAGCGTGGAGGACAGCAGGCTCCTCAAGGCTCGCGCGAATGACGAGCACGTCCCAGAAAGCCATCGAGAAGGCACCCCGTAGCTTGACCGCTGTACGCCAGCGGAACCAGTCAAGCCAGTTACACTCCTGCGCACTGAGTGGTGCGACTGTGCCATTCAACAGTGGTGGCGGGATCGACGGCCACGGCGGAGACTGTGCGGCCTGTCGTTGGCGTCGGCCCATGGCAAGCATGAGAGCGGCCGGAGTGATGGACGCTGTTGCGGCCTTGTTACCGCCACCCCAAATGCCGTATCCTTCACATGTTCGCCCGGTTGAAACACATCGCGAGCAGGCAGGTCGCCCTTCGTCGCACTTGACCTTTCGAAGCCTGGGGTGTAAACAATAAGAAATCAGCAATGGTAATACAGTGGGTAGCAAGAAGTCAAGTTGAGCATGGGGTTCGCTGGCTTACTTGCACGTCCGACATCCTGTCTTCACCTTGGCCCTGCGCCGTGCAGGAGCTGTGCTGGAAGGATGCGGCCGACGCTTGCCTACCGTAAGATCATCCATCGTGCCGTTGCCGTTAATTGTCGTATTTTGCACACATGCTTGCGTTGCCTTGTTCGCGGTCAATCGTGAAAGACGACAGAAATTTGGGATACCTGTGCCGGCCATACGCAATCTATCTCCGCCGACCCGTTTGGTTTGCCTTACTGCGTGTTATTAGTATTGGTGCTAGCAGCCACTCGAGCAAGACACACTGCACAATTCTCACACTTACCACACTATGTAGGTTTGCCATTGAACAGGTCGTGCAACGGAGAATGTTGGAACATTGGATTCCACAGATCTTTGCTGTGCATCGAGAGGCGACATTCGACACAGCTGGCCCTATCCAATGGCAGACAAAATGATCCAGGAAACGAATCAGGTGGACGATCAGTGACATCAGCGGGCCATGGGATACCAAGATACTCCAATGTAATCCCTAGTCTGCAGTATGGCTAAGTGGTCGAAAAAGATGATGCTGAATTTGTACGCGATGTGCCTCAGGGGCTACGAGAGTGCCTTCCAAAAGTTCGAATATTTCCCTCCAGACAAAGTAAGAGCCGCCGGATTACGGCAGGAGGCTACTGGCTCCTAAGTGCGCCTTCCCACTTACACCCGGCTCAGATGGTTGTTCCTGCCCTTCTGAGTTGGAGGCATCATGGGGCATGGCGACTGCAGTAGTAGCAACTCAACGGTTGCAGGACACGTGACTGCCCATGGAGCTCCGTCCGCTAATACATGTACCTGATTCGTGGAGAAGTGTTGACAGTCCAATGAAGCTGAGAAATAAACAGAAGGAGCCCCATAAAAAAGCACCTCAACTAAAAAAAAAAAAAAAAGGGAAAGAGAGGACGGCGACAGCCTACCACACTGGCACCAAGGAAAGTCCGATGCCACAGCGCCATCGCTTCCTCCACTTTCTCGTCGTCTCCTCCCTCGCCTTCTGTCGGATTCTTCTGAACTCCACCCCTCGACCACCTCCACCCCAGCAGCAGCCTGCGTTTGTTGGCACTGCTCCCAACATTCACGATCTCTCGCGTTCGCCTCCAGCACGTTTCCCGTTTGCCCCAACCCGCTGTAGCCGTGTTTGGCCTCTTCTCATCTTACCGGAGGAGACTAGCCGGATGCTGCATGGCCGTCGTTGTAAACGTTTGCATCGTCACCAATCCTTTCCTTTCTAGACGTCTTCGCACCCCAGACCCAAGTCAGCCTCACTTGTGCCAGGAGCATCATTTTGCCTGGCGACCGCTCCTTTCTCCATTTACGCTTTATCACGCATCCTCCTCTGGTCACTTCTTTCACAACTCTCTTGACACAAGAAGCTCCCTCTACCGGTAAGTCGAGCTATGGAAAGCCTGTCCCAGCATTGCATCATCACGACTTTTACCCAATGTCTGGGCTTGTCTCGCTTGTTGGCATCATTTGCGCAGTTTTTTCACCATTGCGTGTTTCCTGCACTCCTATGCACTGTGGTCCTGTATCCAATGCCAGCAGCTCGAAAAGATCGGTATCGCTGTCTGAAGGCAGCTTGTTGAAACTGAGGGACTGAGACCAACTCTGTGGGGACGACGACCTGAATCACTTGTCGTCACACTTCCCTCGCGGTGCTTGCAGGTTCATCGTCACTTTTGCACCAGATTTCTCACGTCTTCGGACTCTGTACACTAACTCCGGCATCTTGTCCAGGAAAATCGCGCTTCTATTCCAACACCACCAAGTCTCACCACGGACCAATCGATGCTCCATATCACGCCGACACCCGTCTGACCACCTCATAGCTCCGACGCCTCTCCGACCATGCCGCGAACGGCCAACAAGCCGCCGCCTCAAACGGCTGGCCGGCCCAAGAACGCCCGGGCTGCTGTTGTCCCCGTGATTCCGCTGCCAATTGTCCAGAAGCAGCAGTTGCAGAGACAGCAAAAGCAGCAAGATCAGCTGCGTCTGAAGCAACAGCAGCTGGACCTTGAGAAGGAGCAGCAGGAGTCGACGAAGCAGAAGGAGACGGAGAACCAGGCGGCGGCACAGGAAGCCACGAAGCCACCCGAGGAGGATACCAGCTCACTGAATGGCGACGACAACCACAAGACCGTCGAACCTGCCGCTGTCGTGTCCACACCTGTCGAAAGGCCTTCTCAGTTGGTTTCCGCCTCGACCCCTCAGACTGTGGTTGGCGCATCTGTGTCTTTGTCGTCACCTACTGCTTCCAAGACACCGCAGTCATCGACAAATACCACCCTGGCCGACCCGACTGTGGCCCCCTTCGTTCCTACCACGACGACAGCCGACAAGCATGCGCCAGCCAGCGGACCTGTTGTGAGCGGAGCGTCTCAGCCTCATATTCCTGCAGGCCCGGCTTCTGCAGGGCTGCCGCCGAACGGTCCTGCGGTGCCAGAATTTGTCTTCCCTCCACACTCTCGCAGCGGCTCCGCCGCTCGTCACCGTGGACCACCGAGACACAACCCCCAGTTCCCGCCGCATCCTCAGCATCCTTTCCACCAGCAGCACCATCAACATCCCGGTTTCCACCAGCCTCACCCGAGTGCCAGCAGCATCACTTTCGGTGCCTTCCACGACTCCAACAACGTGTCGCCGGTGCCGACGGGTCACGGTCCGCTTCCGCCCCCGCCTGGTCTGATTGGTGGCCCACAGTTCGTGCCATACAATATGCCGAATATTGGGCCTGGCGAGTGGCAAGGGCCGCCTGGTGTGCCGCCTGGTGGTGATGTCAACGGATTCGCTCCTTCGTCTGCTGGCTTCAACCCCTCTACGCCCGGTAGCTTCCGCGGGTCGCACTCGCCCGACAACGTGACCGACGGACCCGCCTTTCATCACCAAGCTGGAGGCATCCCGCCGCCCGGTGGTCCGAATGGACATCTGCCTCTCCGCAACAACGACTCGATGTCGTCGATGATGTCGCCGCCGTTCTTCCCGCCTTCTGGTTTCCCCAATGCCGGCCCCGATGAACGCCAAGGCAGGCGAGACGATGCTCCGAACCGCGGCATTGACTTCCAGTTTGTGCACCATCTCCAGCAGCAGCTTCAGCACAACTTCGACAACCCGCAGACCTCCGATTGCCACCTGATCCTCCACTTACCGAAAGCAAACGCCAGCTCCAACAACGGCGCCGAATTGAACGGACCAGAGCAGCAGCACGGACCGACGACCATGTTTGCTGGCCACCGAGGTGTCCTCGCTCAGAGCCAAAGCATCGGCCACCTCCTGCGCAGCGACGTTGGCACCATCCACTCGGGCCCCTTCAACCGGCCGATCCTTGCTCTGCACATGAAGATCGAAGACCCCTACATCTCTGTCGAGGCGGCCGTGCAAGCTCTTCGCAGTCTCTACGGCCACCCGCTGGCAGACACCCAGTCTCTTGACAGAGCACTGTCCAATCTGACAGCGGGCTTCATTTTCATGCTGGACCATGTCGAAAGTGTGGGTGCCGAGCAGGCCGGGCGCTTGATTGACTGGACGACGGTTGAGAAGGTGCTTGCCTATGGGCTCAACGGTGCATCCTTTCCAAACGCTGCCGACGGGAACACCAACCCGAACGGACCGGCTTATGCCCATGCCGACCTTCGCTACGGCCGTGGTGCTGGTCTGTCTGTCCGCCGCCTGTTGAGCCAAGCTCTCGACTTTGTTGTTCGCAACTTCCCTACCGATTTCGTTTTCAACGCTGCTGTGGCCACGTCAACTGGTCCCCTCTCGACGCTTCTTCGATTCCCTGCTGACACTACTAAGACCGCCCCTGCCACTGACGTTCCTCAAAGCACTGCAACAAAAGCGGCGAGCGATGGTACCACAGCCCATATTCGCTCAGCAGGCTCCGTCAGTCTTCCTATGCGTGGGCCCAACGACTCCTCCAACTCCAAGAAGGGTGGCCCGCGGTCGCCAAAGATTGTGTTCGGTGGCTTTGCCGATGAGCCCTCCAACGTGGCCCATGGCAGCATCAACGGTGTCTTGAGCGCTGCAGACAACAGCCAGGCTGATGCCGCAACGGTCCTTTCGCGCATCCTGATCAACCTGCCTTACGACTATCTCAAGTATGTCCTCGGCCACTCCCAGCTCACAGCCGACCGAGCGTCCATCACTCGTGATATCGTCGAAGAGCGCGAGCGCAGGCGACTGCAGGCTCTGGAAGCCATCCACGCCGGTGACAATCTGAACAGCCCCGAGCAGCGAGACGCCATCCTGGGCCGTCTTCAACGTCCGACGCCGCCTCTCCACCGGGATCACCCCATTGATATCGACGTCTGGGATGTTCTCGGCTGGAAGGAGGTCTGCCACGGTGACACGGGCGAACTTGTGCGGGTCTGGGCCCATGCTGACGCATCTCGTTAGGGTGCTCGATGCCGTGTGCCCCGGATCCAGCGCCTGCGGCTGTCTGACGTGCAACGCCGTCGCTAATTCGTTCTGCAAGCGCCTGACGTGATGGAGTCTAGTTGTTTGAGCCAAATTATTTGTGTTCTGACCATTATTGCTCTCATTTTTCACATTCCATTGTATCGCCACGACAAGTGTCCGTGGCGCACGGTGCTGTTTTATTCAAGCCGTTTTTTTTTTTTTTGCTATTTCTTCCCTTTCCCTTTTCACAGCATGCGCTGCATTACCTTTAGGCGTTTGGTCTCATCATTGCCCCATTTTGTTGTGTGTCTCGCGAGTTTGCTCTGCGCAAAGCATAGTCTTTTTCTCGGTATTTCGGTTTCATCATGTTATTTATTCCTGTATCCTTCTTACGCGGTATGGCCTACTGCTGGAAGGTCAGCTCACTGCAGAGATGGTGTTTTAAAAAAGGCAAAAAGTAAAGGACACTCACCGGCCGGCGAGCCAGAGACACACCTGTATTTTAGTTATTTAATGAGCGACACAAGAAAAAAATTTACTACACAGCGGAAGAGGAGGGACAACAAGCAGCGGGAATACCACTGGTCGTGCTGGACGACAAGTTATGGTTTGCGGAAAAGGGCGAACAGTCCCGAAGCCGGCGGGGACTGGGGAATAAGGGCAAAGACTTGCGAGGTCTTTGTCCCATCCATTAGTTGATACCCACGAGGATATTCCATCATGTTTTACTTTGTTATTTTGTTTAATGTGAATTTTAGTATTTCTTCTTCAACCTCTCTCGCCATAATTCGTTTAGAGACTCCCGGTAACCAGCGGCGGATACCGTAGTAAACTAGTCGTCTTTGTACATACGACGGCGACAGACAGTTCGCGGTAAGCCGTTTACCGACGTCATGTTGAACGTGTATCCTACAACTGTAGTGCGTTGAATACCGTCGACATGTAAAAAGGCTGCTACTAGTTATCGTTGTTGATATCGGCATCTAAACAGCTGCGCAATTCAACTTATTTCATAGCGCCATGCGGATGGGAAATGAAGCTCATGCAAATTGCCTGCCAGATGGTAAACAGTGGATGGCCTGTTCACGGCGTGGAGGGCAGTCGTACGTTAGCCGTCGGAGGGATGTTCGGAACCCAGTGGGAAATAGCCCTGTCATTCGCAGGAAAACATACTGCATCCACGGATGATTATCGCGAAATGGAATGTACGCCGTTTTTTTCTTAGTGGTCCCCCTCTTGTCTAGGGTCCTTCCTTTGATCCCGCGGAGAAAATATGGAGAAAGAGCCACCAGAGCAGGGTGGCATCCGGCTTAGTTTGGCAGGAGCACCACCAAAGCTCGTGAATCTTCTTCGTAAGTTGCTCTTGCAAGTTGCACCACTTTTTGACGTCTAAAAGTGGACTCCTTCCCTAAGGAGGCAAGGTGGCTGACCAGCCGAGGTGCTTGCTCCCATCTCTCCTCATTCTGCGGGCTGCTCCTGCCTCTTTCTCGCCCGCCTCCCTTCTTTTGACCAGGCTCTCCATGGAGCAATGCGAGAAAGAAATAGCACGTGTAATTTGCACTAAAAGTTCCCTGGACCTATCAAGTCCGAAGACAGCCAATCAAAAACAAATTCTCCAGGTAAAAAGGGGGTCGCATTGCCAAGCTATGTCGTAGAACGCGTCTTTTGGGTGGTCGCTTCCCCATTTCCATTTCATGTCGCTATTTCGCTCCTTCCTTTGGGCCTTCCCCCACAGCCAGTCCCCCTATCGCCAGCATAATATTACACTCCCTTTGGCAGCATTCCAACACGAAACGAAAAGCGCATTGTTTCTTGGTCTTCTTTTATCCCATCCCACACTCCAGCGTATCCCCGTCCTTCTCTTTTTTTCAACAACCCATCTCGAGTCGACGACCGGCGCAACCGACTGCGACAACCAACAGCGGCCAACTTCGCCTCATTCGCCTGTCACGAGCCGATCTTTGCGACGACCGGACTCCACCAGCCTCCTCTTTTTCATCCTCTTTCGTCCTTTTTTGGTCGCTTTTTTGGTTGCTTTTTATTCTCACATATCGCAATCGCATCGACGATATACGACAGTCATTGCATCGTATCGCATTGAATGCCGACAGCGGGGCCGTAATGGTACCGTGTCTTTAGGTCTTCATTGTTGAGATTGCCCAAAAGTCGCCGAACCCTTCTCCAGACGACTTCTCCTCCACTTTCGCGAACATGGCGTCGTCTGCCTCTGCGGCGACGGCGCCCCGGCCTGGCGCCTCGGCCAACGAAGCCATCATTCGCAACGCCCTCCGCTATACAATCTCTGCACGCGAGTACGCTGCCCTCCACAAATACGTCCTTTCCAAGTCCAAGCTTGTGCGCCGGCGCGCGCCGACCGTCGATCAAGTGACACGCATCATGAGCGGCCCCTCGTCACTGCCCCCGTCCAAAGCCAGTACGCCACGGCCCAGCCAAAGTGGCGGCCCTCCGAAGAGCCCGTCCAAGAAGGAAAAGCTGCCGGAGCTGACTGATCCGGACACGCCGCACGCAATTCTTGGAGCGGACGACTTTAATGCACGTGCTGTGCGCCACGCGTTGCGCGTTTTCATGGCCAGCGCTGCCGGTCTCAAGATTTACGACGCCGTCCAGCGCCGACTTTTTGGCAAACCAAGGTGCGTCGTGTTGTGCAAAAGCAACGGTACCGTGCGACCACTTGCGGTGTACTAACTGGTGCAGATCAAAGAAAGAGCCGCTCCACAAATCCCCCACAGTGCGCCTATCCCTCTCGCTCTCTGCTATCCTTCTCCTTTACCGCCTCCTCTTCCGATTCTTCACACGACTGCGCACGCACCTGCTCGACCCGGCCGCCCTGCCGTTCCGCGTACGCAATCCGCGCACAGCAGCCGCGCTTACCTCTGCCTATGCGCCCGCAGCAGGTGCCTCTTTGGCAGGTCTGGCGCTCGGTGTTGCACCCGCTCCGTTCCGCATGACCCTGGCCGTTATGGCTGCTTGCCGGGCTTTGGAGTTTGCGTGGAATGCTGCCGAAGACTCCGGTGCCATCTGGGGCGTCGATATGGTGCCTGTGGCGGTCCGGGCTGCCGTTGGTACTGCCACGAGCGTTGCCTCGTCCGGTGTTGATAAGCTCATTACCGCCGGCACGGCCAAAGCCAGCGGTGTCAAGCTGGTGGCCCGCCCGCGTGCCCGGCCTTGGTGGTGGGGCTCGTGGATGCTGCAGCCGATTGCGTTCGGCCAGCTGCTGCATGCGGCCGTCTTTGACCGGGACTGCTTCCCCCTTCCGTATGGCAACTTCATTTTCAACCGGACCCTGCCGACGGACACCTATCTGCATGCGGCGCCCACTGATATCCCTGCTGCGATGGCTGCGAACTGGCCCGGCCCCTATCAGGTGCTGGATGCGATGGCAGCAATGGGGCGCGCCTATTGGCCCGCCTTTTCATCGCCCGCACTCTTCCCGACCAAAGATGTCAGCCAACTCTTGGCACTACCTGTCGCTGCATCAGGTGCCTCGGCCGCCGCATCGGCCTCTGCGGCAGCTGCCACAGCCGCCGTTGCGGCCGTCACACCGCTGACAAGCCGGGCGCACCCTCTGATCAAGTCACTGAGCTGTGCCACGTTGCACCCCGACGACCCGTCCTGCGGTCGCACATATCTCACCTACTGGCTGCGTGCGTTCCCCGCCTACGCTCGGTTCTTCCTCGTGGTCTACACGGCACTGCAGCTGCCCCGCGCCGCCGCCGTGTACCACGCGCCTGTGCGGGCGATTCAGCAGCTGCTTGCCAAGTCGCTGCGGTCGGCGACCTTTTTGACGGGCTCGCTGTCGACGGCCTGGGCGTCCATCTGCTTCTTCCAGGCGTGGCTGCCGCGGCGCGTGCTCCCCACCCAGCGATTCTTCCTGAGCGGGTTTATTGCCGGCTTCTGGGCCTGGGTCGAGCGCAAGCACGGCCGCGCGCTTTTCCTGTACTCGGCACGCGCGAGTCTCGAAAGCGTGTGGCGCGTCGGCGTCAAGCGGCGGTGGTGGCGTCCCGCGTCGCAGGGCGCCGATGTGCTCGTGTTTGTGGCGTCGCTGGTGGTGGCAGGCGCCGTATACGAGCGCCAGGCGAGTGCGGTCCGTGAGCCGGCTTGGCGTAAGGGTGTGAGCTGGGTCCGCGGCGAAGGCTGGCGGGACTGGGCGATTGAGGAGGACGACGATGAAGAGGAGCTGCTGGTGAAGGAGGAGTAAGCCATGGAATTGGGTTGACGAACGTGATACGTCTTTCGGTTTTATTTTATTTTTTTGGTTTTTGGTTTTTGGTTTACTTCCTTTTTGGCTATTTCACCTTGTTTCTTTTATCTAACTTAATCATGCTGGAGATCGCCGACCAGGCGGTATGAACGAAGCACGGCCGCAAAAGTTGCATGATGCTGTAAGACAAGTCTATATCATTTTGCAGAGAGTGAGACGCCCATTTTTAAGACTGTTCTAGCAAGGGAGCTCGATAGCATAACCACGAACACTGATGATTGTTTTCCATTTGTTTTCGTTGACAATGGCATAGGTGTAGGAGAAACAGAGTTTGTTAGTATCCATAAGCCGTTTGCCAGAAGGAAGAGACGGCATTGAAGCAACCTAGTTTCTACAAGCTCTTGATAATCTGTTAATCTGCTTTGCATTGTCTGTGCGAGGCGATTTTCGGTGCTCCATTCCACGTTCCACCATGAGAAACCCAACTTCCAGGATATGACGGCAGTAGAAATCATCCCTCGTGAATGAGCTATGCCCGAAGATCGGTTCTGGTCTTTGTCAAAGGGACGGTCCCATTTGTGGGTGCAACTTATAGTCACCAAGGTCCGTCGCCTTTTCTTGGGTTCACTGGAGATAGTCCAAGAGCGATAATGCACAAGAATGCACATCGTCGTAGTTGTGCTTTATGATGTGTTGGAGGGAAAGGAAACACCATACGTTTATTTTACGTGGGTTGATACAGAGTGACTCATCGTAAGACGATATCAACGTTCTGCTGCGCCATGGACCATCGTGCGGAACGGCTTTCTTGGGAGAAGTGCACAAGTCGTAAGCATCTTTGTTTTTATTGACACTTCACTAATGAAGTTGTCGCCATTTATATTGCCGTCGTTAACTAGCTAGGTTGGAGCCTTAATATACTAAATTAACTCTCAATTTGGTATGAAATACGAGACCATCCGATATGGTGTAATGGTCAACATCCGACGCTCTCACCGTCGAGCTCGGGGTTCGATTCCCCGTATCGGAGCTACAAGCTGTTTTTTTTGTTTGGTTTTTTCACCGCCCACATTTGTAAACGATTGTCCACATCGACGAAATTATTTAACATTAATTTTATCTTGTGTACTTTATTCCTAGTACTTTTTTTCTCTACGAATAATGATAAATTAAAAAGTAAATGACAAAGTAAACAGTGTATACAAATACCGTTATTGTTGGGGCTTAAAAACTTCGGGTAAAAAAAATCTTTTGATGGTTGCCAGCTACAGGGTTCGAACCTGTGAATCTCTCGATAATGGTGTGATAAGCAATTCCAACGGAAACTTAAGACCACCGCCTTAACCACTCGGCCAAACTGGCAGGATACAAATAATTTTGGCGGAGATAAGCCCTTATTAGGGCCCTTGTACTGACGACAAGCTGGGCGCCCTAACGTTAGCGCCTCCCGCGTAAAACCCAATGGAAACACATCACGATACACTTTGACGAACACTTCCATGAATGCGTCACGCATTGTCCTACAAAACTACTTATTCAAGTATTGGCTGTATCTGCACTTACTCTAAAGCATAAATAGTGCTCGAGCGCCCACTGGGAAATTGACTAGGAGGTTCCCTTTCCTTAATTGCATTCGATCAAAGCATTCGCAATCCCTGCTATAAGAGACAAAATCAGAAAGTGCCTTTCAAAATCATGTCTAGCTCTGCTGACAAGACGTCGCCAACGACAGCCTTGCTCCATGTAGGCTCTCGGCCACAGGTCCTTCGACCTCCGTATGCACGACGTCCTCTCCGCCGACTGTGATTCCGGCTTTCATCGCTCCCATTACCTCCTCCTCCACCTCTACCCCAACTCTACATCGGTCAAAAATCAGCGACATTCTGTCGCTGCGTGAACTATACGAGCAAAAGTATGGCGTGGGGCGAGGTAAGTTTTCCACTTGGTTAGTAGCATGACGCTCAGGGCGAAGCGTTTGTGAAAAGAAAATGAGAAGAAAAACATCGAAGTGGGACATTTCTCCAAAACAAAACGATCCACGGAGCAATTTCAATGTTCAGTGTAGTTTTTTTTTTTTTTTTTTTTATCCTTGGTACGGAAGAGTTCGAGTGGTGTAAGTAGTATACGTTACTTGAAGGCTAGTATGATTGAGGAACTCTCTGGTCGTTTTCTGTTAAGAGTTACAGTAATAAAAAACTGTTTTAAATTTAGAATTATTCTTTTTAGTTAATAGACGTTGTGTTAGCAAATGTTATTATTATTATTTTAAACAAAACTTGCATTGTTCATGTATTTATTTAAACACATTATGCATGCAAACAAACCACTGTTACTCGGATTGGGCCTCGCTCACAGCAGCAGAGCATTCGCCACAAACTGTGTATGTAAATTTCAAAGGCGCTGGAAACCTCCGCGAGAAGCCGGACCCATATCAAGTCGCTCGGATAAAGAAGACATGTTTGTCGGAAGTGGTGTTATGAACACTTGGCGGACTCAAAGGTCGATGCAGGTATGTAGTCGGTTTACAGTCAGTTCGACGCCAAGCGTTTGGAACTGACGGGTCGGCAACGAGACCACAAAATCGTTGCAAGCTACACCTCAGTCAGAGACTTTGTGAAGTGAGGCCAGACCAGCATGAGGCTGAGCCTCCAAGGCGCGGGAAAGATGGCGAAAATGATGGGTTGAACAGCCCCCACTTACATGGACGGCCTCACCCTACAGGGAGATATAGGGGCACATTCCGGCGTTTAGGAGGCATATTCTGTCCTAGTGGATATTAGCCCCCTGTATTGGTCGTAAGGCGACTTCCACGAAACAGATCCCCATTCACCGGAGGCCGACTTATCACAATTCAATTATTTTATAGCTTGGCCTCAAACAGCGGTAAGTGAGTCAATGACAACTCGCTTTGGGGGATGGCGCGACAAGAGATAAAAAAACAGGAGTGAGGTGTATATATATGTTGCTTATGTGTCGTGACATGTTTCTTCTTTTCTCCGTCTCCTCATCAACCAGCTCACATTTGGTCTTCATCCTCAACAGCGACTCAGTCTCCTCAGACATAAAAGAACCCAAAACGGAATCGTTCACTCTGTTTCTGTTTGTTCTTTTTATTTTTATTTTTATTTTTATTTTTATTTTTATTTTTGTTAGGACACTAGCAACATGGGGAACAAGCACACCCCTTCTCCCGCCGCGGCTCCCCTCTACCGGGGCCGCTTGATGCGCGACATCAACGAGCTCTGCAAGCCGCCCTGTTACCCCAACATCAAGCTGCACCCGCCCGTCGATGGACCTGACGGCATGATGGGCGACGCCTGTCTCCTGCTGACGACCAAGGCCTATGGGGACACGCCGCTGCACCTCACTGTGCAGTTCCCGCACGACTTCCCGGTGGCGCCGCCGCATATCAGCATGAACACGCCACTTGTCTCGCACCCCAACGTGCTTGGCAATTACATCTGTGCGTCGATCCTCAACACAACCGAGGGGTACACGTCGGCGTACACCCTCAAGGGGATTGCGATTCAGCTGCTGTCCTTCTTCTCAAGCGACTCGGTCGAGCAGGTGGGTGGCGGCGTTGTGCATCTGGGTAACTACCAGGAGCAAACGGCGGAGTTGATGGCATGGCATCATCAGCAGGGTGAATGGGGGTCTGCAGATGACACGCGCTACAATTTCAAGTGCGACCGGTGCTGCTACGACACGCGCGACCAGGCGTCCATGTTGAAGGCAGCGGATGTGGAGCCGACCACCGAAGATGTTGTCAGAGGCGAAGCAGAAGCAGTGACGGACGTGGTAGAAACGTCGTCCCCGCAGGACTTGCTTCCTTCCGCTCTGGCAGGTCGCTCGATCGACATGTTGACCGACGACGTCCTGCTTCTCATCCTCAGGGAGCTCGACACGACCGGCATCAACAAGTTTGTTGCCGCCTCGGACCGCATCCGGCAACTGGTCGAGTACCATGACGTGCTCCACCAGCGCGAGCTGCAGTGCTTCTGCCTCAAGACGTCGTACCTGAAGAGTGACCTCGGTGTCGGCGTGTCAACGATGCAGGGCCGCACGCGGACGCGTGGGCTCGAGTCCGAATTCGATCTGCTGTCGCGCGAGGCATTTGCCACGCTGCGGGTTCGCCGGTCGGTGCAGAGCATCGCATTCGATCACTGGCTACCGCTGCCCTTGTCGCGGCGGCATTGGCTGCGTGTGCGCAACGATGCGGTGGTGGCCCTGGTGGCCATTGGCGAGGATGCTTTACCACGCAAAAAGGGCGCTTTCAAGCGGGAGCCGGTCGGCACAAAGAACGGCCGCCAGCCAAATGGGGCGCAGCTCGTGAATTTCCGGCAGGTTTCCAAGACGCCACCCACTCCCGAGAGCGTGACGCGGGCCACCGAAGTGCTCTTGTCGTTCATGACGCAGATTGTGGTCCGTCTCAACGAGGACGTCGACAAGCTCAACGAGTCTTATGCTGATGAATGGTGGCTCCAAGATTACTGGGTCGACCATGCGTCAGGGCCGGTGAAAAGTACGTTGCGGCATGCCTCCGAAAAGGCCGTCGAGTCGTACTTCCACCTGTTCCACTTGTTGGTATGCTTGGCGGCGGAGCATCCGCAGGTCGCAGCTGACGCCAACCGCCGCCTGCGCTCGTTCTACGTCGACAACAAACGATCCAAGGTCGACTGCCCGAACCTGGGCATGCTACTCGTGGCGCTTTTGATTGCCGACGACAGTGAGATTGGTGTCGATAACAAGACAACGGACAGCGGCCCCGGTACACGCCAGGATTTGCTAAAGTCCATTATTACCGAGGCCATCACGCGCAACGTGGTCTGGCTGCTCGACACCAAGGGCGCCGGCCGCGCCGAGCTCGTGCATCTCGAGCCGAAAGACACCATCAGCGAGTATCGTCTGCACCATACCTTTGTCGGTAGCCAGACATCGTACCGTCTGCTCATGTTCATGGAGCTGTTCCGGCGCACCGCGCGCCCCCAGGGACAGAGCCTGGAAGCGGTGCGCGACGCTCTGTACCAGCGCCATGGTGCACCGCCCGCCGGCGCTGCGGCTCGCTTGTCGGCCGAGGTCCGCCGCCTCCAGACCATCCAGACGTGGCCCAACTTCCTGGAGGCCATGGGCGTCGACGTCCCGTCCAGGTCTGTGTTCTGCAACGTGCTACGTAAGGCGGTGCGCGACAGCATGAGCCACCGCTACTCGGTGTGGGGTCTGACGGCGGCCGAGGCCGAAAGCCTGCGGGCGTTCCATGAGGACGCATTTGCACAGGGCGCTAGCTGGCGGCCGCCTGTTATCAGACGAGCTCGGCCGGATCCTCGCAGGTACCGCCGGGGAGGTCGGTATGGTGGAGGCGTGGAGCGCACGCGGCCTGTTACGGTCGATGGTGCGCTGCGCGACTTGGCCGAGGAGAAGTACGGTCACCTGGCACGGCAAACGAGCGACGGTCCTAAGTGGACGTCCATCTCCGCTTCGGAGCGGGAGTCGGCGGCGTATGTTAAGTGGCGGTTGCTCACGAAGGAGGTGTCATTCTTCCCTGGCGGCACAGCAAGGGAAGCGCGCGGCAATGAACGTCGGGTGTGGAACAACGGGTGGTGAGCTGGACTCGAGTTGGTCGTGGTGAGAACAGCACAAATTGATACCCTTACAAGCATGAACACTGTGATGTACGCCCGAAGTAACTCGTGATGCCCATGTGACCAAAAATACATGATGTTGCTCCATCGTGGCTTCCGCTTCTGTATTTGCTTCCGAATACAACCCAAAATACCGCCATTTTCCACCGCCTAATATTGTTCTCCTTTTTCTCCTGATTCATCTTCGTATCCTCTTGTTGTCGTTATCCAGGAGCTGATTCCAAACGATACACACCGTCGGCTGCATTTCGTTCGGTGGGTCGCCTCGGAAACTCTCGTTGGCCATTGGCTCGAATTGTCGTGTAAGTGCGCAAAGGTGCAAATGGCCCCCGCCCTTACAGTGGGAAATGTAGGCTAACGTCAGACATCTTTGCGGCTTTTCATCAGGATGCCAGACTCGGATTTTCGATACGGTGATTGGTCTTCTGTGGCATTTGGCATCCGCATTTGCTGGGCGTAGCATGGGATCTGCTCGAAGCGTTTCTTGCGTCGAGCACGCACTCAGATGCTGATAACGTCCAAACTCCCTCGAAGGACACGACATATGACGGCATCTGTGGGTTATGACGCTCCTACGAGAAGACGAAACTGTCCGTCTGGCCGGCATAGTGTCGAGGTATAAAGTCTGACAGCCGGACCGGGACATATGACACAAGTTTGTCTCTTCGACAGGTTGTTACGTCGACTTTGGCCCAGATCAAGAACTTGAGCGATTTCTTCCAGATTACTTTATCCCCGTTTACTATTACGCACCCAATCCGCCACAATGTCTGAGCACCTTACCAAGTCCGCTAGTATCACGTTTGACCCGGCCACAAACATCCCCTCGCTCGCTGGCAAGACCATTCTCATCACGGGCACCAACAGTGGCCTCGGCAAGGCGAGCGCCCTTGCATTGGCCCAACATGGACCTGCCCAGCTATGGATGACGGCACGCGACCCGGAAAAGGGCCAAGGGGCGCTGGGGGAGGTTAAAAACGCGGCGCCAGGCGTCAATGTCGCCTTCCAGGAGCTCGACTTGAGCTCGTTCGAGAACATCAAGGCCGCGGTGGCTGCTGTTCGTGCCACTACCGAGAAGCTGGACATTCTCATGCTGAATGCTGGACGTACGTGTCCTTCCCTATCCGGGACGACCAACTCTCGCTAACAGCAACAGTCATGGGCTGTGCGCCCCGCTTGTCTCCTGACGGTTTCGAGATCCAGATGGCCACCAACCACCTGGGCCATGCTCTCTTGCTGAAGCTCCTCCAGCCCATCTTGGCCCCCGACGCTCGCATTGTTAGTCTCTCGTCATCCGCTTGGAAGCACTCGCCGCCTGGTAGCAAGATCGACTTTGACACGCTGCGCACGGCTTCCAACGACGCCGTTCCACCCGTGTTTCGCTACGTTCAAAGCAAGATTGCCAATCTCTTGTATGCGCAGCAGTACGCCAAACACAACAAGAATACATCCCAGGTGATGGTGTCCATCAACCCCGGCGAGGTCAACACCAACTTGTTTACACGCGAGCCCGGCGACGACCACATGAAGAAGCTGCAGACGGAGGTCGTGCCGAAGGTGGCCGGCCCCATTGCTGACGGCGTAAAGAACCAACTGTGGGCGGCCACCACGGACGCCGCAAACCTGGTGAATGGCGCCCACTATGCGCCCATCGGTGTTGAGGAGAAGTGGGGCATCGCCGAGGACGAGGAGCTGGCGGAGCAGCTGTGGGCGTGGACCGAGGAGGCGCTCTACGGGCAGGCCTGAGCGCTGCAAAGATACAACAGGCCATGGAGACAGTCGTCAGTGCAAGGACGATTGCCGTAAGTAAACTCGTCCAATTGAATATGACATACGACCGGTTCAAAAACAAAATAACCTGACATTTCCTAAGAGTTTAGCATTTTTGGCCTGCATTAGTGCAGTGCCACAGGTTAGTTTACAGCTAATGGAGCAGTTCACATATTTAATACCTTTTCCCCATATGGGGCCGTTTGACGCACGACCCGTTCTTGTCAGAGCCGATGGGAGCTGGTTGTGCCGATACCAGCCGGAGAACGGTAGAAACAAGGGCACTTTGACGTGACGTTTTACTTCATAGGAGCAAAAATCCCTACCAAGCCCGCTGATCCCACTTTTGCAATGAGTAAAACGAGCAGCGTGCAGCGTGCCTATGTTCCATACTGTGGTTACTTCGGGGCATCAGTCAAGTGAGTCTGCAGAACTCGTGTCTGTCAACCCAATTTTATCAATTGTTCGTCCAATCGAATAACAGACACAGAATGAGGGATAAAAGTCAAGTGCGTCAATATGACATACATCCACGAATTCGCAATGCCGACACCGGGCGACAGGGTAAGTTAGGGGAGACTACAAGCTACACGAAAAGACAGCCCCTCACCGAATGAGGGGTTTGTTTGTATAAAGACTGGCATTCGCCTCTCCGTCTCTTCTTTCGTCCTCACAAACTCAGCGACAACATAACCTGCTTCACAACTCCAACGACGCCAGCAACTTAAACCATTTTAAACTCACGCTTTCGTGCCAACCCAGAGTAACATCTCCCCTGCTATTAACTGTCGTACGATACTGCGCACTTACTAACAAGCCGATGCGACTCCTAGACACCTGAACATCCACGTAGGGATACCGGCCACCTCCCTTTGCTTTGCACTGTCCTCTTCACCGGAGCAGCTGCCATGACCAGCATCGCTACAATGCGTCCTATCAAGATGATCTTTATGCAACGGGTAACTGTATGAATAAAGCATTATGCATGAGCCGGTGCCTGCTGCCTGTGTTGTACTCGGGGAAGGCCGTTTTGTTTTTTCGTTTTGTTGTCTGAACAAGAGGCCTTCCAGAGCAAGACGGGCAGTATGGCTGAGATTATACGGCCGTAACTTGATCTGGATAATACCAGCGAAAGGATCATGACTGCTCTCCCCTTCCTGTTTTTGTTGTAATTTCGCCATTTCGCCTGTTGGCCTGCATACTAACAGGGCAAAACGCAGTTCCGTCGCAATGGCTCCCAGCGCAGTGTCCCATGAGTCCGGCTCGCCGGTCGGTGCTTTTGCCACTCCGGTTGTCCAGAAGACTCTTCTCAAGGAGAACAATGATGGCAACACTGCCAACACTGCCAACGGTGCCAACGCCGCTACACCTCTTGGCGACGAGGTCAAGGCCTTGTTTGGCCGCTGGGAGGACGATTTCACGTTCGCGCCGATCCGCGAGAGCCAGGTCTCGCGTGCCATGACGCGCCGCTACTTTGCCGACCTCGACGCCTACGCGGAGTCGGACATTGTCATCGTCGGCGCCGGCTCCTGCGGTCTGAGCGCGGCCTACACGCTGGGCAAGCTGCGCCCGGACCTGCGCATTGCCCTCGTGGAGGCGGGTGTCGCCCCGGGCGGCGGCGCGTGGCTGGGTGGCCAGCTGTTCTCGGCCATGGTGATGCGCAAGCCGGCCGATGTGTTTTTGCGCGAGGTCGGCGTGCCCTACGACGACGAGGGCGACTTTGTTGTGGTGAAGCATGCCTCGCTGTTCACGTCGACGGTCCTGTCGCATGTGCTGCGCTTCCCCAACATCAAGCTGTTTAACGCGACGGCCGTCGAAGACTTGATTACGCGTCCCGCCGTCGACGGCGACGACGCCGAGGGCGTCCGCATTGCCGGCGTCGTCACCAACTGGACCCTCGTGTCCCTCCACCACGACGACCAGTCTTGCATGGACCCCAACACCATCAATGCGCCCGTCGTCATCTCGACCACGGGCCACGACGGCCCCATGGGCGCCTTTTCGGTCAAGCGCCTCGTCAGCATGCAGCGCCTCGAGAAGCTGGGCGGCATGCGCGGCCTCGACATGCAGCTGGCCGAGGACGCGATTGTCAAGAACACGCGCGAGGTGGTGCCCGGGCTGATTGTCGGCGGCATGGAGCTGTCCGAGGTCGACGGCGCCAACCGGATGGGTCCGACGTTTGGTGCGATGGCGCTGAGCGGCGTCAAGGCGGCCGAGGAGGCGCTGCGGGTGTTTGACCTGCGCAAGAAGCAGAATGAGAACTAGGTCACGGGTGGAAACCGTTGACAGCTGGTGATGTTCGTGTCGTTCTATCGCGTTGCAGTTCGGGTGTCTCTCAACAGGCGCCCCTACACAGCTAGAGACATCCAACCGTCTCTTTTGACTTGTTCGTTGCCTCGTCTTCAATATGTACAAAACAAAGAAAATCAAGATTGTCTGCTCCCTCCGTCATCAATTCGCCTCACGTTATGCCATGTGGCGACCATCATCCTGGACAGAGTACGACGTAATGATGGTCCAGTTTGTCTTTCGGATTCGCAGCCCGATGCTTGGAATCAATCAATGCAAAATCCCACTATGACTTAATATAGTGCCCAGTTCCGTTGTATCCCGTGTGGACTGTTTCCGTTCCTGGTTCTATTCCACAGCCAGCATTGCGACGTGCTTTTATCCATAGTGAGCTCTTTTTGGGCGCGCCCGGGCCATCCGTCCCGAGCTGGACAAATTACGCGTTGCATTTGTTTTTTTATGATTTCGACGATTTCCTTATACACCGCAAACAGGACAATGGCAAAAACTGGTCATGGATCGACAGGTTCCGGACCTATCAAAGACGGCAATTTCCAAGCAGCACGGAACGTCGAGTCCAATTTGACGCGTTGGTCATTGAGGAGCTTTGCCACTTTGCATGGAAATCAATAAACATTCAGGGGTCATGACAAGATGAATTGGCGTGCTCAAAGCTCAAGCTCGACTATATTAAAGCCAGTTCGTCGCAGCTCGCCGCCATATTTAAGACAACGTCTCTACTGACATTGCCACTCTCTCGTCTTTGCCTGATTTTTTCACAGCCATCCCGCTTCTCTTTGTATTCTTAATTTCTTAATTTCTTACTTTTTGTCTGTACAGCATGATCTTCTCGCAAAAATCGGCCGTACTGGCCGCTCTCGCTGGGACGGCCGTTGCCCAGCTCTCGCTGTCGCCCTCCACCCTGACCGATGCAGCCACAGGCATCAACTTCTCGACGTGGGCGACGCCGGGCGCGGATGGCGCCGGCGCGTTCAGCTTTGGCTTTGTCCTGCCCGAGGATGCGCTGCAAAAGGACGCCACCGAATACATTGGCCGGCTGCAGTGCCAGACGACCAACGCCACGGCGACGGGCTGGTGCGGGATTGCGCACGGCGGCCACATGCCGTCCGACCTGCTGCTGATGGCCTGGCCGTACCAGAACCACGTTTTCACGTCGTTCCGGTGCGTCGACGACTACTTCTTGCCGGGCCAGTTTGGCGGCGACAACGGCACCAACGGCACGTCGGCGGCGTTCCCTGCGCCCGAGCTGACGGTCCTCCACACAGCCGTCAACGCGACGAGCTTCGAAGTCGTCTACCGGTGCCAAAACTGCTGGGCGTGGCAGCAGGGCACGTACAACGAGACGGTGCATACCGCGCTCCAGCCCGGCAACGCCGAGAGCGTCCTCGTCCTGGGCTACGCGCAGGCGACCAAGGGCCCCACGAACCCGGCGTGCACGGGCAACGGCCTCAACTTTGGCTTCCACGACAACGGGTATGCGCAGTGGGGCGCGCCGGTGAGCAATGCGACGCGGCCGGCGGCCACATACGCGGCGTGGACGAAGCTGGCAACGCAGGCGCCCAATGCCGGGGCGAACTCGACGGCCTCCAGCTGCCAGGCCAAGACGAGAAGATGGGCTGTCTGAGTTGGGGCCGTCGTGGCCAAGGGCGCGAGCGGGTGCATGTAATAATGTAGAGAAGGTATTATCGGATGATTAGAAGAAAGGAACTGGACGATGCTTATTCCCTATTTGGTAGTCGACAATTCTTTGTTTGTGAACTCATGATGCAGGTGGTATTCGTTGGGATAACGGACATAACTCAAAAGCACAAGCGGAGACGTCGACGTCGACGGCATACGGCAAGACGCGGCCAAATTATGGAGAGCGACAAGGCCGACTGTCGACGAAGGATGAAAGAAATACAATAAAAAGGACAAAAGTAATTGGAACAAGCTATTCGAAGCAACTGTCATGACAAGAGGAGAGCGAGAGGACATGAATGACTCGACTAGTTTGGCAGTCCAGTTTGGCAGTCCGGTTTGGCAGTCCAGTTTGGGCGCAGAGTCGGTCGACGTCGAGCCGAGTCATGCTAGTGTGAGAAGTCCAAGGGCAGCAGAAAGCGAGAGTGCGACATGGTATGGAGAACAAAATATGGAGAGGGCAGAGTCGTGAATGCCAAGAAAGCTGTCAATGCGTAGGGGATGGCGTCATACTTGCCATTTGGGGGAGCCGATTTAGCGTCTTTAGTGGGTGTTGGTGGTTTTCAGTGGACGCCTGCCCTGTTAGCAGGGTTGAGGACTCGACTCGACGGCTCGCGGGGCGTCTCCCTGGAGAAGCGGTTTCCTGCGAGCTGTACAACATCGGATGGCATCCATTGCAAATTGCAAGCATGTAGCAAGTGTGGCCGAGTCTCTCGCATCTGGCCATCCTCAGAGGCGTTTCCGTACAATGTGGCGATGACGGGATCTGCCAAGAATCGGGGTCCGTGGGGGGATGATCGTGCAGAAGGCTGTGTTGGTTCATGTGGTGTCGTGTGAGTGATTTGATATGCAGGGTAAAGGGAATTCGAGACGAGAGAGAAAACGAGCGAGAAGACAACGGTGACAATGGCCAGAGGTGAATAAAGACGATGTTTGTATCTGAATGTTGTACCTACTTTTAAGTGGGGTGGCCACCTGCTCTTCCGTTGCAAGGTCTTTCCTTTGATGCAATTGGCGCCATTGGTTGCGTGCTTGCGCCATCGTGCAAACCGAGCCAGGGCTTGCGACGTCGTGTTGCGAATTGGGGGCAGCGATGTCGAATGCTGCATGTCGGCTTGCAGGTGAGAGAATCCGACGGTGCAGCGAAATGAAAGGGGGACGAGGGAAAGGGAACAAAATATCAGTGATTGTGGGAAATTGAGCGAAGCAAGGACAGGGAAAAAAAGACAAAAAATAATAAGGAAGGAACGAGTGTCATGATCGTCCTGCGACCGGTTGAGAAGGAGCGACACGACGAGCCACGTACCTGCCACTGCTGCCGCTGTCTCTGTCGATAACGATACGACAACGGCCATAGCTAGAAATCACAAAATCACAATCTGACTCAGACATCCCGAGAACTCTCCTAGTATGGACGACGCGCTCCATATCCGCCCCGTCAAGGCGGACGGCCGCTCGAGCGCGTCGGCGGCGACGTCGTCGCGCGCCGCCGCCAACCTGAGCATGGAACGCCTCTACCGCAAGCGCGCCATCGACCGCGAGAACCAGCGTGTTCTGCGCCAGAAGAACAAGGCCCGGCTGGCCGAGCTCGAGGGCGAGGTGCGCGCGCTGACGGAGCGGCTGGCGCAGGCAGAGGCCGACAAGGCGCAGGCGGCCGCGCGCACGCAGACCTCGTCGACGTCTCTGGAGGGCATCATAGCGTCACTGCGGTCGCTGCAAGTCTCGCTGGCCGTGGTGAATGCAGACACTTCGACGGCCGGATCGTCGGTCGGGTCGGGCAGTGCGGCGGGCAGCTCGCCGGGATCGTCGCCGCTAACGACGACCGCGTCGCCGGTGTCAGGCCCAGCAGCCTCGGTAGCAACTACGGTGGCACAGACGACCTCGGCATCGTCCCTCTCGCCATCGCCAGCCTCACTCCAGCCAGATACAAAGCCGGGGCCGATGGCACAGTCTGGTCACTCGGTCGACCAGCCGATGGGTGGCACGCAACCGTACGCCGGTGACACGGTTTCCATGAACCTCGACAACATCGACTTTTGGGCGCCTGGGGCGACAGTCACTGTGCCTGTCGACGACGGCGTTTCGTTTCAAAATAGCGACTGTACGTGTTGCTCTCTGTCGACGATAGAACGTTCTCCCACTAACAAAACAGTTTCTCTCGACATCGACTTGTTGACGCGGAGTCTGCCGCTGTTCGCGGACGGCCATGTACATCCTCCTCAACACGCACAGCGTGCCCCGTCGCCCACACAGCTGCAACCCTACCGATATCCGCAGTACGCGGCCCAGCATTCGCCGCATTCACCTCATTCGCAGCATTCGCCGCATTCACAGCAACCTCAACAGCTGCCGCCGCTGTCGTCCGATCCCCAGCTGGCTTATCCATATACACAGGGTCATGTCCACCGCAACCCGCCCGGCAGCATCGACTTCTCGGCGCCATCGCCGCCTGCGCCAGTACCGACCAGCGACAGTGTCCGCCGCAGTCCGCCCGACGACGCGAGCGCCGTGTACTTGGCGCGTGTCGAGGCCAACCGACTGCGGGATGTGTCGCCTGTTTGGGCGGTGACGCCGCCCTATGTACCACCGACATCGAACGTGGATGATGTAATTATCAACTTGGTGTACAAGAGAAGGCGAGGCCAGTCGGTGGGCTCGAGGGCCGCCACGGGTGCATCATCGACCGGGCGGTCGCTGTCGACGGCGTCGGCCGCCACGACGACAACGACAGGAACGTCTGCCGGCTCGACAGGCTCTACGACACCCTCAGCCTCTGTCTCGGTGTCCACAGCTGCCACGTCGCCCTCCGACGAGTTCACGCACACCCACTTCCCCTCGGTCCATTCCCTGCTGAACCCCGTTCTCTACGAACCCGACCGCCCTGTCGCGTCGACGATTGCACGGCACGTCGCCGGCACCGTCATGGACTACGCGTCCCCCGAAAAAACGGCCCTGCTCTACATAATGTGCATCTACATCCGATGGCTCATCACCCCGACACGCGAACATTACGACGCCATCCCCGAGTTCTTCCGGCCGACGGGCGCCCAGCTCGTCGTCCCCCATCCCGTTTGGATAGACACGCTCGGCTGGCCGCGCGCCCGCGAACGCATCGTGTCGCACCTCGACCACACGCGCTACCGCGACTTTGCCAGCATCCTTGTCAAGTCGCTGAGCATTGGTTGGCCGCATAACGGCCTGGAGGGGATTCTCGAAGCAAAGCCGGAGCTGGCGGGAGGCTCGTCTACTGCGACAACAGGAACAGGGACCGGGGACGGGAAAAACTATGTCATAACGCAGGCGTTTGTCCAACACGTGCGGGAAGCCAAGAACTGGACGGTCGGACCGGAGCTGGTGGAGGCGTTTCCTTGGTTGGACGGAGCCGTGAACGTGCGCGGGCGTCTGCCAGTGTCTTATTCGTGAGCGGCACAATGTCTCGTACTTTACGTCGTTACGTCGTTACGCCGTTACGTTATTATTTTACATGTCACACGATTTGTCTACCGATGAATGAGATTTTTTTTTTTTTTCACCACTTTATATAATTCAAATCTTCTTTCGTCTATACCCTACACTCATTAACATCTCTAGTTTCAACGCTGTCAAATTTGCTCTCCCGAATGAGTAGACTCAACACCGGACCGACAACAAGGCCAGCAAGGCCACTACAAGGTTGCTACGGAAGCCGGCCAGCCGTCCAGCTCGACGTGGTTGGTGATTGTGACGAAATATAGTTCCGATGTAGTGTGACTAGACTATAATGGGGAATGACTTCAACGTCAGGAAATTTCATCCTCTTATTAATGTTGTCGGCGTATTAATTCGTCGATTTCAGAGAGCGCTATTTGAATATCTAGATGCCAACCCTGTAGACCCAGATCTTTAAATGTCCGAGCCGCTCACGTCCTGTCGAGGTTGCCGTCTTATATAGGACTGGTTTAGGACGTCTCGGTTTCTGTTGTCCAGTCTGAGGTCCTTATTTGTTTGTTGCAGATGACATGATCTCAAAAGATTGGTCGCTTGGTTATCAATGGCATAATCACAACGTCTCCACGGCGCCGACTCGAGAGACATTGGTCTAGAGCTGTGGAGTCATCCAGTGTCATTCACATCTGTTTTCGGCCATTCCTCTTTGTAAATCATGCCTTTTCTTGTCTTGTTGGCCCTCGTTCCGTCCTTGTCCGGGTTCTCACAAGGCTTCTTCGTTGCGTAGACGACGTCGTCGTATTAGTGAACCACGCTAGCACGACTCGTTGTTGGTGCGTGCACCCTATCTGCCGGTTCAGGGCTTCTGTCAACATCCTGCCACACAAGGCCACGCTAGCACGACAGTGCATCCCAGGGCGGTAATTACCTGTCGACACGCGGGAGAATCTTCTCCTTTTCATTTACACCACTTCCAACATACATCCTCTGCACCACAACACCAGCAACTCAACGACAGAGAACCCCATGGCCACTCTCCAGTAACTCCAGTGTCTCCCAACATGGATGGCAATCGTTAACCGATGCACTTGATACGACTTTCTGCATGCTCTGAGCCCTTTGAGACCAGAAGAAAGCATCAAGTTGAGCAAGTTTCGAGTTGAACGAAAAGGCAAACAAACACTTACACGACTCTCTCGATGCGGTTGGCCCGTTCTCCCACAAGGAGGAAATAGGCCAGGCGGCCAGCACCTGCAGATACTCGTGGTCTACACACACACACACGCGGCGGCTCTGCCATGGCAGCGCAGTCTGTGTTGTCGTTGCCTTTCGGTTGCTGTCGGCCCCGTCAGGGTGCGTCGTCTTCTCGTGCCCACTGATCTCGCCTGTGTTGGTGGTACTGCATCGACTATATTCCTTACGGCCAGTCGATCGTGCTGTGTGTCATCTCGCCCTCTAGAACCGCAAGCACATCGCCCTGCTCGCATCGACTTTGGTGGCCACCGTGATCTACAACTCCATCAACAGCAGCAGACATTTTGAATGAACACGACATGACATGGCATGACGGGACTCGATCAGCCTGTGAGATGGGAGATGGACAAAACGACACGTGCAGCGGTGGCAATCATATCGGAGACACCCCTTGCTTTAGATGGAAGGGGAATCATCAAGGAGGCAGCGAGAGTCTGTCCTTTTTTTTTTTTTTTTTTGTTCAAATTCGTGAGATGAACAAATTCCAGAACTGACGCTCATTGTTAGTAGCACCCCAGCTGAGGAAAGAGCTGAAGTAGAATACATCGACGAGATTAAAAAGCGCATTCGCGTCGACGTGATGTCGAATGTGGTTTTCTCTCTGCTTCTGACAATGGAATGCGACCTCATCTTGTCAATTCTTGACAGACCGCCGGAAAAGCTTGAGCATGCGCTGTCGTGCGATAGTGGCTCGGTCGCTGAAAGCTCGCTAAAACAGACACTCTTCAGCGGTCTTAGTACCCACGCCAGCATCGCGTATTTCCATCCCACACCAAAATACCCACAACACTAGCACAAAACAGCTTCAACTGGAATGCAGTCTGGATTGCATCCTGCCAGCCCATCATGAGGAGAGCTCGAGAGCTCTTGTAGCTGGACACGAGGATGACGCGTGTCTGTTGGTCCCGTCTGCCTTTGCGTTCCGTGTGTCTCGTATTTGCTGCATTGCTGTGGCCCCTTCAACATGTTCACATTTTCGATTCAGACATACAATCTCAAAGCGGAAAGAAAACAAACAAACCTGTCTCATTGTGTTCCACGCAGCACATCGCAGTGCATCTTGTGTCTTTTTTCTGTTTACGTGAAGGCTCTTCTCTCCGTGTTGCCTCACGTCGTCTTCACTCTTCCCCACGCTCCTCCCATCATGCATCTGCCGTCCTAACGATGCCCTGGCTTGCGTGGTCGCATCTGGAAGCGCCTTCACCGCATCATCGGACACGACCGCAGCAGTCGCGCGCGCACTGCCACCGACGGCACTGCTCGTCTGTCGCCGACGACTACACCGTGGCGGGTCGAGAAAATCAGCGAGCATCCCAACAAGCGTCCCAACAACCACTCCGAACATTGGCCATCTCGCCACTCTCACCGCGCTGGTCTGTCGCGAGTGTAGCAGAAGAGCCCGAGATCGACTTGGACGACATCCACGACATCCACGACATCCACGGCATCCACGACGTCGACGGCGCGGAAGCCTCACCCACCGCCATCGAAAACTCCCCGTCGTACCGCAACTCGGTCCTCTCCATGGCGTCCACCAACACCACATCAACGACGTCCACGCTCCGGCGCTACTGGTCGCCCTCGCCGTCGACGCCAACGTCCTCGTCACGGCCTCCCTCGCGGTCACAGCGGCCACTCTCCCTTTCGTCGTCACCGCCGTACGTTGTGTACCTCTCGCAGTCGTCCGCCGCCACACCGGGCATGTCCACAGCGCCAGCTTCGTCCCCGTCCAGTGCGCCGTCCACAACATCGTCGGCTTCGTCGGCGTCGACAGCTTCCTCTGCGCCCTCGACTGCGCACTCAACGGCGCCCTCAACCTCATACGCTGCCGAGAACATTGACAACGCTCCCGTCTACCGCCCGCCGACGCCCGTCACGAGTGACCATGTTGTGGTGTACATCCCTCCGCTCGTCGACGGCGCCGGTGGCACCCTCTCTCGCTGGCAACGGATCCACCAGTGCCGCCCGCCGGCCGCTCACTACACCTTGGGCGCCGCCTCATCCACCTTCGTCTCTTCGTCCGCCGCCCCCGCCCTCACGCCGTATCGCCTGCTGGCGTCCGATCTGCGCTGGCTCGCCGTGAACGCCCCCGATCTCATGCGTCTCGCCTGGGCCAAGGCCAGCACGCCCCTGTGGGCCGTGGCCCGTCCACGCGCTTGGTCTTGGTCTCGATTGTTGACGGTCCCCGTAGATGACGTGGCCGATGCCGCCGAAGCACTGTTGCAGACCGGTCTCGCCGTGGCAGAAGTGGCCATGCTGGCCGCAGGGCCCGCACTCTTCCTGTGTCTCCCCGGCGCGCTCTTCCTGACGTGGCTGCTGCTTTGCTTTGCGGCCGTATACACCGCCGCCTGGCCCTTGAACGGTGGTGCCCAGGCACGCACAGGAACTGTCTACCGATCGTGGGCAGCGGATCGTGGACGTCGTGTAGAGGACGACGATGATGGCCTCGACGACTCTGATGACGATGACGATGACGACGATGGCGATGACGACGACAGTGACGGCAGCCGCCCTAAGCGCCGCCGCGCCGAACACTGGTTTTTCGTCCCTGGCCTGGGTGCGACCTCCCAGTCACTCGCCAAGACGGGCCCCCGCCTGGCTGCCGTCTTTGGGCGCCCGGTGACTCTGCTGCGCCCGGCATACACCTATGGCGCCGTGGCCGATGCACTCGTGGTCCTGCTGCAGCGGCTCCTCCTGCCCGTCTGTGTTCTGCCCGCACCGGGTGCATACGGCGTCTATGCCGAGCTGCGCCGCGCTCTTCTGGCCACAGCGAACCCGCGTCGCGCACGCATCGTCGTCCTCGCACACAACGCAGGCGCCATGGCCGTGTCGCAAGCCCTGGCCCGTCTGACAAGCGACGTTCCGGCCGCCCGCCTCGCCACGTTGGAAATATACACGTTTGGCTCCCTGGCGCCCGATTTTGTCCTGCCGTCAGCGACGGCCGGCGATCAACAACGGAAGCAGCAGCAGCCACAGCAGATGGAAAAGAACAACTGCAACTCGTCATCTTTCCATGTCGAGCACGTCGCGCATGTCCATGACCCGTGCGCCCGCTTCGGTGTGCTGCGAAGTGTCCGCGACGACCTCGCCGGGCGCTATGGCGGCGGTGTCTTTGTCGTCGGCAGTGGTACGCCCGGCGGCAATATCAACAGCAGCAATACCGCCTCAGTGAGTAGCGGCGGCGTTGGACTCGGAATCGGCTTGAACGTCGGTTCGACCACATCTAGTTTCCGGTCGATCAGCCGCGGCCGCAGTGTTTCGCCCCCCTTCCCTCCGTCGTCCGCTGCCTTCAGCAACAATAACTACCACAACAATCACAACAGCAGCAACAGCATCGCCAATATCTCAAACCGGAAGAGCCGCCACCGCATGAGCTTCCCCTTTACCTACCAGCAGCAGCAGCAGCACCAGTATGCCATGCAAAACGCCACCTACCGCCGCTCCGCCTCGTCGTCGTCAACAAACTCGCTCGCCAGCGAAACCTCGTCGCTCGCGCGGACGACGTTGCCGCCTCGAAAGCCCGTTCTCACCATGGAAGACTACCTGACGGCTCTCTTTGGCCCCGAGCCCTGGTCCATGCGTCCTGACCCGGCATTCGACCGGGACGGCAACCTGCTCTTGTCGTCGTCCTCCTCCGACGCCTTCTTCTTGGGCGCCGCCATGAGTGTCGACCGCGAGCTGGCCGAGAGGCGCGAAATGGCCGCCATGGCCGCAGCGAGCACAGGCTATGATGGCCACGCACACGCTCACGCACACACCCGTCCCCACCGTGCCCTCAAAGAGTACCGCCCGGGCCTCGCCACGTCCACGGCCCACCACCGTCTCAGCTGGACCGGCCTCGGGGCCACGGCCAAGTACGGCACCACCAAACACGCCCTGCTGGGCTCCACCAAGACGCGTCGCACGTCGCAGCTGCACAAGATCGCACAGCAGCCGCCGACATTGTCAGCGTCGCCGGCCGCTGCCGAGGGCCTGCGCGGTCTGGAAATCGTCCGCCGGTTGTGCAAAGAGCGTGACGGGCGACCGGGCCGGGAGGTAAGCATCTTGGCTGGCTACTTTGCCGACGCCGTAGCACGCCACCGCGAGCAGTTTGGTTTTTAGGCTGCCGACTTGATATCAACTGTGAGACATCCTTTCTCATTCCTGGTCTTCTTCTCCCCTTTCCCCTGTACATAATTTGGAATACTTTGCCTTTTCTTACCGTCCTTGTGGTTCCTTGTTGTTTCTGGGTCCTTTTCACCCTCGGTATTGCGTTTCTTTGTCATATCGTTTTCTTTTCGTTATCTGCGTTCAGTTTGGAAACTTTGGAGTCAGTTTAATAGTATGGGATGGATTCATCATGCCACACAGACATGACTTAATATTAATCAACGCTTTTTCTTCAACCGGTGCATAAACAAGCACCGCCCTTTCAAAATGGAGCCAAAATAGAAACGAAACAAGTCCTTGTTGTGAAAACTATGAATGTAGCATCCAAGATAAGTAGATAATATGTAGGATGATAAGAAGTGATTAATAAATATCCAAAAAAGACAAAATCCAAATGGTATAGACATATCTTCGCAGAGCATGCTGACGAGTTCAGCGTTGTGCTGCAAAGATGGGTATAAAACAACTCTCCAACCATGTATGTGCCAAAATAATGCTCCAACAGAAAGGGACGTCGGGGGAAATCTAAATGCGGAAAATGTGGCCAGACGAGCTCGGTAATAAAAATTAAAAAAATCAACGCTTCGTATGCAATTCCTCTTCTCGTCAACTGTCTGGTTTAGTTGTGCCAGTATCGTGTTTGTTGTTGTGTACAATCACTTCGTGTTGTTGTTCATTATTTCGTCTGTCGAATCGTCTGTCGAATCGTCTGTCATGCATCGAATAAGGTCGGACTCTACGACCTCCTGCTGGAGCCGCTCTTCTTAAAGCCACGACGCATCATGTTCGAAACACACTCCTTCTCGGTTGACTCCTCCGCCTCGAGCTCAATACGATACCGCCGCACACTGCCCGTATCGTCGTCAAACGTAATCCGCCGCTTGGCCTTGGGGATGAAGCAGTCTGGCACCATGTGTCGCATCATCCAGCCCTTGAACCCGCGGCTGGCTGCATCGATGGCGGCATACTCGAGCCTCCGTGTCTGATCGCTCGTCCAGTAGTGCGTCGTCTGTGGCGGAGTTTGGTAGACGTCGTCATTACCGGGGGCGTCATAGCTGGCATCGAAGCCATGTTCGGAAGCGCTGTTGGGCAGTACAGCGTCGTCACCGGTGGTATGGGGATCGGGCGAGGGGAAGTGAAAATAGGATGTAGGATAATAAGATGTAGGATCGCTGGCCCGAGTGCTGTAAGGGCTACTGTCCTGGTAGATGCTGTTGTCGTACAACGAGGGGATGACAGTGACAGGGCTGCCGGAGTGGACGAGGTTAGAGCGGCTGTTGTACTTTGCCGTCTTGGGCAGGCGGTTTACCGAGCCAGACATGGCATTTCGCCGGGTAGGAGGACGGGTCCGACTGCCGGTACGGCTCGAGTGAGTTGAGTGAGCTCTCCGCTGGGACGTCCCGGGGCTTTTAGACGGTCCCTCGCGAGGCGTGATCGACTCGTATCCGGAATCTTGGCGGTGCATTTCGGTGGAAGACGACTTGGAGTGCTGTTCACCGAGGACTGGGTACCTGGACGTCTGTTGTTGAGACTTTGTGGGTTGAGTTGTATTTGATGGGAGACCCGTTTTGGATCTTGATTTCGGGTGAGGCATGGGTGTATTATATGAGAGGGCAAAACATACATCGATCTCCAGTAAAATTGATGTTGTTAGGAGGCTATGCTTAATGAACAATGGAAGACAAAATGAGCACAAAGGCGAATAAGGACACAAGAGGGTATTTAAGAAAGAAAACAAAGAGAGTGAGTCTGTTTAACCTCGACAGAATCAACAGGATGAATGGGTCGTCTTACATAAAAGACAGACAATCGTCGTCAAAGACAAGTTGGTATGGTGGTGGGACACAAAGGGCGGTGTTACAGATCTTGTTGGCAGTGTTGCGTGCTGCAGTCAAACCTCTGTTCCAGACAGGTGCAGCTGCAGGTGACAAGAGTTGGTAAACAAGAGGAAAGACGACGAGTCGGGAAGAAAATAAGAAACGCAAGGAGGAGAGAGGCAAAAGAGACGAGAGGCGAGAAGGCAATTTCATGCAATGGACGACTGTTCTCTTGCCGACCACGAGACGATCGTCAAAAAGGACAAAAGGAGGCAACGTGCGTCAACAACGAAATGATAAAAGGACGCTGGTCGGTGGAACACAAACTTGCGGTCTGGGCAAACGGGGTCCAGCGAAGGAAGTCGTGTAAGTGCGCCCAATAGTGTCGAACCTGGTGGGTTAAATTGGTGGGATGGGGAGTGTTGGTGGATTCGTGTTTGGGCCAGGCCCTGGAAGTGAGCGAGCGTTGTAGCGGGCTTGCGAAACGACAACAAAAAGGAAGAATAGAATATGGAGAAACGCAGAATGGGGCATTCCAAAGGTGTCGACAAAAGGCACTGTAAATCGTACAACACAAGCTTGACGGCGTGCAACGTTCCTGACGGGGCGGTGGCGAGGACAAAATAAAGAGACGATCAGGTCGGGTGGCTTGTTGATTTGTCCTTTCGTATTTCTTGTCCGTCTGTCCAGCCTCGCGTGAAGGGAGCAAACCCGTACTGCTCTCCTTGCCTCGTTTTATTTTGAGTTCGACACCCCTTGCCTATTTCGTAAGGTGCGAAATATGGAAAATATATGGCTGGAAATCGCAACTCAGAGCGGCGAATCGAGAAGCGGGCAAAAGAAGTCAAACCTGTGCTTCCTATGCCGGACGTTCTTAATCCGCTACGGGCAGAAGGCTTGCGTCCCGGTTGTTGACTCTTCGTGTCGTTAACCGACGGCTTCTTGTTGTTCCTATTTCGCCTGGGCCTGCGTTCGGAGCTCCTGTCGGGTGAATGTCGGACTTTGATCCCCACTTTCTTTTCGAGGTCACTTCACCCTGTGGTACTCACGGGGTAGCGTATTGGCTGCTACGGCTGGCCAAGAGTACGGCGTTGGGGGTACGGGAAATGGCGTGGGCGAAAAAAGACCCAAAGCGTCTGTTTGTCGGATGTTGAAGCAGGACAGCCACACTAATGCAGCCGTGCAGGCGCATGCAGCGGTCCAGAAGGAAATGGGCGAGTCTGAGGAGCGCACAATGTCGCCACAGGTCCACGGGTCCTGCGTTCCTGTGCGCCTGCGTTAACGCAACGAGCACGCTGCGGGTGTTCTTGTGGGGCTTGAATTTGCAGACAGAATAAACTGGAGATCGTAGGCTAGGAAAAACGGTGGCCAGGTACGGAACCACCGTGGCGGCAGTTGGGAAAAGAGCGTGAGAAACCAGGCACGAGCAGCGAGAGGCATGTGTTGGATGAAAGGGGCAGAGACGAGGGAAAAGAAGACGATGAACAAAGAAGAACATACAGGAGAAATATATGGCGATGCCGAGCAAAGAGCTTTCCTTTGCAGTCGCCGCCCTTCCACGTTTTTTTTTAATCCTTGGCAACGCTGATCGTCTTCGGCTTCTTGCTTTTTGTTTTCGTTGTTCTGACGTTTTCGCCCTTCCCCTCGTTTGCAATATCCTCCTGATCACTCCAGTCAAGAATGCTTGCAAACTTCGCAGTCTCGAACCAAGACCAGGGCCTCCGCCCTAGCTGTTTTAGTCGTGATGCAACTTTATTTTGTTGAGACTCACGCCAAATGGCACCACATCAAAGGGCGGTCAGGTAGTAGACCAGGTCAAGCGCGCCAAATTTGAATGCCTCTTTCGCCAAGCAGCCTTTCAGACCAGCACAAATCTTAAGGTACCATGAAGAAGTTTTGAGAGCCGCCTCCTATTGGTCCGTTTCGGCCCGCTTTTTCCTGAATACGCTCCGTTCATTGGTTGTTTAAAGACTTTGCGGATTGTTGCAGCCTGATTGGTCCGTCACGCTAGCGGCCCCCAGTTTTTCGTCCATTTGAGCCCTCTTATTCGTCAGAATCGCTTTTTTACTCCACTTTTTCGTTAGTTTCTGACGCGAAATCGATTTGATTCGTTGGAGGGGGGTTTTGTGGTCCGTTTTTGTGGGTCCGATCTATTCTGACCTTTACCGTGGCCGTGTTCTCACAACTTTAACATCAACCTTCTTTCGTAAATTATCATTAACTTCTATCTTTTATCAACTGTTTTATTCTCTTAGTTATCTCCCTCTGATCCCCGGTAGTAGGTTGTAGTAGGTAGAATCAACCCAGCGAGCCGATCGGAGTAACCGTACGTCCGACGACGGAGCGGGAGGGTTATACTTTTTTACTTCGATTTTGCCCTCATCTTATCGGTGCACCCGTATGTCCGACGAAGGAGGGCAGGAGGGCCATGCTAGTAAGGAACAAAAGCTTGGGGAAATGTGACGCTGTCTCTCGTTTGGGCGATTTATTGACTGTGCAAATTGGAGGTTTGTGTGATATTTTCGTCAGTGTCCAGCCGATGTTTTCAGTGACGATGTTTCTCCGAAATGCCCCGGAGTGTTGTCTCTCACTCTGCCCAGGTATGCCCAGGTATGCCCAGATGTGCCCAGAATGACCAAGACATACAAGTGCTGCAGCACAAGTTTGTTGGAGGGTGCGAAGTGGTCAGGTGGGCCTTGCGACTAGGAGGGGTGTGTTGTCTTGGTTGACGATCGACGCCTTGCTGTGATCCAGTGGAGATGGCCGTGGGAGAACACCGTGAAAGGCGACGGTCTTTTGTCACAACTGGTCACAACCTCTCACAACCTAGCGGCTGACATTCGTGAAGAAGAAAAAAGATGTGTCACCGGCGGGGGGGCGAAGAGGAGAAAGTCCGGTAGTTACTGGGTCACGGTCTCAAGAAGATGCGAGGTCCAGCCGATATCGCTAACATGACCGACAGGTGGTTTTGTCGTGGTTGCAGTGGTAGCCGCGAGTTGCAAGGGCGATACGCAGAGCAAATAAGAGAACAAAAACCTAGCTTGTCGACCCACCACAAGCAACACCAGCAACACGCGATAATATGGACTAAGTAGGGCGTTGCGACACGCTACCGTAACTTGGCTTAACAGAAACAGCCAAGAGAAGCCAAAGACAGAAAAGACGAGCGAAGAAGAGGATAACAGGGGAGCGGAAATAGTGAAGAGAGAGGTAGTGGAGACCAGCGAGGTATGGAGGCACGCCAAACGAAAAAAGGCGTTAGTGTAAAGGGCAAGCTGCGGGAGGGGCCGTTGTAGGAGACGGTGGAACTTGGGGGGCAAACGCAACCAAAGAAAATAATGAGGCAAGGAAGAATAGGTTCGTGAGAATGTTCATGTGTTTTTTAATATTTGCTGTCGAGGAACGTTGGCGAAGCCAATTTAAAGGGGAAGGAAGAAGGCAAGGAAAGAAAGAACGACTGCGCTTGTGTCAAGTTTTACCATGTTCCACAATCACAAGCCAAAAATGTTCAAACAAGCGATACAGGACGGCAAGAACCAAGGTAGGCAAGAACATGTGTCGTGACGCTCCTGCCCTGTCAGCTCTATTATTATTTACTTGTCTCGCTCCTTCCTTGTAAGAATCTTCGTTGTCCCTTCCTCATCTTATTGCTGAGTTCGCCTTCCAACCACACTCGGTCACAAACGTACCTTCCTTGGTTTCCCTCCTTCCCTGGCGCACACGAAAGGAAGTAGAAGCCTGAAACTTGACGAAAACAATTCTGGCCAGCCATTTGTCTTGCGCCGCGCTCACTAGCTGACACAACGCGACGACCAGGGGCTGGCGACGGGCGTGTCGCGGACAGGGGAGTTCAATCAAACTAACACATGCCCGAAGCATGCCACCTGGTCGAACGATTCAACGTCGATAAAATTGATGGACGGCATGGGCAAGAGCAAGTCGTCATGTCTGGGATGTCGCTCCTTCCGTGATACCTACTATTTTCGCCTCTCGTAAATTTCAATTCGTGGCTGCCTACGGAAAGAGCGAAGAGCACACCGCGGGTGTCGCTTCCGAAGCTGAACTGTACACAGTCACAAGGAAGTCGGTCCCCTGTCCCAGTCCTCTGTCATCGTGTCTTGGTCTTGTGTCCACTACGGCGTCACTTTTTTTATATTTTTAGTCAGTCACTCACCAGCCCACCAATCGTTACGTCGACCAGTGCAGCACCTCCGGGCCTCTGTTTTCGTCCCCAATCCAGTGGACGACATTGTGCGCCTCGTCATTTGAGCACGCGATGTGCTGGATGGGGTTACTGTGTTCTCTTCAAGCCACACGCGTGTCATACACAACCACACAGCACACAGAAGGCAGTACAATGGAACATGGGGCGCCTGTTGCAGTTCGAGACAACGCGACTTGCTGACATGTGAAAGCGCCTGTGTCTGCTGTGTGCCTGCGTCTTCCTCCAACCTTCCCCCATCCCGGACGCAACCAACCTTATTCCGAAGCAATGACTACGCTTTACGACTGCTGCGCGGTCATTGTCACAACCAGGCATGCAGCGGCAACGGTTCTGCCGCGGGAAGTCGACTGTGACGTGGGCAGCAGCTGTAGGTTCTGCCATGTTTTGTATCTGCAATGGCATTTGGACATTGGCATGCGCATTCGGTGGAAGAACAGCCTCACTGACGAGACGCAGTCGCACTCAACATAGTCAACCACATGTCTCACACATGTCAGTGGCTTGTTCACTGCATCGTGAACATGTGGAGTTTATAGCACTGCACAATGTGCAGGAACTAAGATACGTCTCAATATTGTACCATTCTGTCTTATTTTAAATTTTGTTACAGGGTAAGTGGTACATCGACGACACCTGCCAACTCCGCCTGCATATCCAACGGTGTCCAGAAAGCGACCAAAACACCCTTGTGCTTGATTTCCTGCACTCAAACGAGACGCAGCAACCGGCCAGAGGCATGATAGAAGCTGAAAGATGTCGAATCCGGAAGACGAGACGAGGATGAAGAATATGGAGATTCAAGAAAAAACATGTGTGTGATGATATAACGATATCATGCCTGATATCAATTTTCGAGTTTCAATAAGTCTACTGTGCGGTGCCTCTGAAGATGTCCCGCAATCACTAACAATTAGGCTTTCCTACTTAAGCCAAAAATGGCCGCTAATTTTCAAAATTAGAAGGCAACATGCCAGAGTGGTTAATGGGTAAGACTCGAATTTCCATGTTCGATATATCTTATGGCTTCGGCCGCGTAGGTTCAAGTCCTGCTGTTGTCGTTTTTTTTGTCTTTTTCTGCGACATTTTCAGCCCTGAATCCTTCTATGCAACGGCTGCTCTTTTTTCATTTGATTTCGATTTACTGATGTTCTTCTTTTTTTTTTTTTTTTTTTTTTTGACTTCGTTCGCCTGTCGAATTACTGAATGTTGCCAAGGCCGAAAGCGGTGCTTCGCTTTGCAGCGGCTTTTCGACTTTGCTAGCTTCGCTGGAGGGAGTTGCTGCCGATTGGAGGTTTGGAGGGGTATGGCACCGGGGCTATCTGGGGAAAGCTACGCACGATAAGTCTAAAACCGGCAGCGCATTACTTCGGTCAAAAAAGAAGACGAATTTCCAATTGACGGCCAGCCATTGACGAGTCACACTTAAGCATCTCCTCGCATTGATTCAAGGGCACTTCAAGCAGCGTCCAGCCTTCTCGAACACACCAACCTCCCAATCTTCAACAACAATCCCTTCCAAACCTTCGAACCCATCCGAAACCATCCCACACAATGGCCCCGTCCGCTCCCCTCAGCACGGCGAAGCTCGCCTTTATCGGCGGCGGCAACATGGCCGGTGCCATCATTGGCGGTCTCCTGGCCGGCGGTGCCGACACGGCCAACATCTCCGTGTCCGAGCCCTGGGACGTCAACCGCGGCAAGATGGCGGCACTCGGCGTGCACACGACCACGTCCAACGGCGAGGTGGCTGCGTGGGCCGACCTCGTGGTGATCTCTGTCAAGCCGCAGGTCGCGGAGACCGCGTGCAAGGACATGGCCGCGGCCTGGAAGGAGCTTGGCGCGGACAAGAAACTGCCCCTCGTGGTCTCCATCGCCGCGGGCATCACAATTGACAGCCTGCGCGCGTGGACGACGACGGCCGCGGGCCGCGTGCCGCACGTGGTGCGCGTCATGCCCAACACGCCGGCGCTGGTGGGCGAGGGCGCGTCGGGTGTGTACGCAGGCGACGACATCACGGACGAGGAGCGCGAGCTGGTGACGCAGATGCTGTCGAGCGTCAGCAAGGCCACCGAGTGGGTGGCCCGCGAGGACCTGCTGGATGTCGTGACGGGCCTGTCCGGCAGCGGCCCTGCGTACTTTTTCGCCATGGTGGAGCACCTGATTACGAGCGCGACGGCGCTGGGTCTGCCGGTGGACCAGGCGAGCCGGCTGGCGAAGCAGACGTGCCTGGGGGCGGGCAAGATGCTGGTGCAGTCGAGCGACGAGCCGGGGCAGCTGCGCAAGAACGTGACGAGCCCCAATGGCACGACGCACGCGGCGCTGGTGAGCTTTGAGGAGAGCGGGTTCGAGGCGATTGTCAACAAGGCGGTCGACGCGGCCACGAAGCGGTCGGTGGAGCTGGGCAAGAAATAGGGGGCCAACACGACGGCCACACGTTGTGGCGACAAAAGGACACATTGTCAAAATCGCCGAGACGAATTATTAAAATACGGTTTACAAGGACACCGAAGATGAAGAAATATTGGATGATGTGGGTGAGAATGCTTACGAACCAACTTAACCGCAGATACTATCTAGAGACAAGACGCCGTCCGTGCGAATAGGAGAAGGAAGCAACTCGGACGTGGGAACAGAACAGACAAAATATCAGAACAAACAACTTCCCACGGGACCGTCCATTTATACGTCGGTAGACCTACTTTTCACAGCCAACAGCCGGGGGTGGCGCAGTTGGCGACACCCCTACGTCGGCCACGTCCTTGGAGCTGCTGGTGGATGGACACACGCCGGCTGCGGCCGTTGGTGTGGATGGGGCTGGGACCGTCGACTCGCTGCTGGTGCTGGAGTCACTTGCGGTCTTGCTCTCTTCACCCTCTTCCTCTTTATGTACCAGAACCTTCTTGCCGTGCAGGTAGCCCTCCTTGTCGACCAGTGTGCTGTAGTCCACACCGTCCGTGTACTCCTCGCCGTCGCGCACATACCACTTGGCAAACAGGTCGTTTTGGATCCAGATGACCTTGCCGAGCGCCTTCACGAGACCCATTTTGCGGCGCATGGACAGCCGCGGATGGCCCAGGATGGCCTCCGTCAGCACTTCCTGGATCAGCGACAGCGTCATGCCAATGTGGACGTACTCGACGTGCAGCGGGTGGGAGCGGCCGAGGCCGACGTGCATCATGCCGACCTTGTCGAGGTACTCCCAAAAGGCCATCTGGGACGGGTCGCTGCAGAGTTTGGCCAGGTAGGCGCGCAGAAACATCTTGCGGTGCTGGATCTGGGGGGAGTTCTCGTCGGGGACCTCGTCCATGGGGCCGTCGAAGGAGGTGGAGCGGAGCTGGAAGGCGCGGGCCGTGATGTCGTACTGGAGCAGTTTGCGGTAGACAATATTGGTGACGGCAGGAATGAGGGCCTCGACATACTTGGCGCCGCTTATGAGGTGTTCAATGTCAGCTGCATTGCGTTGTTAGTGATGTATATACGGATGCATCCATCGTTGTGGGGGCTTTGTTCCTGGCGTACAGCTGCTGAAATCAAGAAAGCTGTGGAGGTACTGGACGCGCGACTCAAGGTTCGTGTAGATGTCCTTGCGGTCGATGTGCCGCATGTCGACGTTGCGTCCAGTCATGATGGCGTTGTGCGGGAGAGTGATGACAGTAATGGTAACGTTGACGATATGTGCGTCCTTGGCCGATCAAGTCATCTACAAAGTCAACACAGAGAGTTGTGTACGTGTGGTATTCTATTTATTCTATATAAAAGGACGACCTGCCGCGTTTTTGTAGCGCTTTAAAGACACTCCATCGAGTGGTGTGAGGTTTTCTAGCCTTTCTTCGCGCCTGTTAAACTAAGAATCCAAAAAAGCAGCCTAGACGGACAGCAAGCGTCAAGATGTGGCCTGGCTCTGCCGTGACGGCACAGCTCGCCTGATGCATCCTTGCGGAGAAGATCACGCCATGTTGCCTGCCCACAATGGAACAGTCAGGCCACAACGCCAGAGTAAGGCGGCGAAAGGCGATGCTTCAAATTGTCACTGGAGTATGCACGTCACTGTCAAAATATCAAATGAAACGTCCTATTACAAAACAATAAAAGCTGACTGACTGCCGATTCGACGACGGACATATCCGTATATCCACAATTCCGTCAATGTGAATAGTTTTGATATAGAATGCGTGTAAAAACTCGCAAAGCAGAGCCATTTTCCTTTCCTCTCTCGCGTTCCACATGATGCCCTCGACCACCGCTCTCCATTCACGGCAGAGCCTTGGCCTGCGGCAGCACCCCGCTGCAGTCTGTCAGCGCGTTGAGATCCGCCACGCCCAGCAGACTCAGCCGCACGTACGCCGACGCGTACGCGGCCGTCCACCGGTCCTGCGTCGCTGCGTCTGCGCCCGAGTAGGTCCGCCACAGCGCGTGCGTCGCCGGGTCGCGCGCCACGGCCACGTCCGATGCGATGCGGTAGACGCCCAAGGGCGCGTGGGGCGCGCGCGTCTCGGCGTAAAACTTGGTGTCAAAGACGCCGTCGGTCGTGTCTTGGGGGGCGCCTGCGCGCGCCAGGTCGGTAAAGTACTGGCGCGAGACGGAGTGCGCGCCGAGGAGCGCGACCAGGTCGACGGCCGTAAACGTCTTGGCGATCATCTTGCGCAGAATGGTCTGCGCGTCGTCCGTGGGCTTGGGGATGAGCTCGTGCGGCGGCGGCGGCGTGCTGCCGGCGTTGAAATCGGGGCGCCCGACAAACGCGCGAATCCGGGGCCCGCCCGGGCACGTCACGGCGGCCACAATGGCACCGATCTGGATGAGGTCGGCGACGGACGGTGGGTGGGGCGAGTACCGGCCGAATTCGCTGTGCCAGCTCATGATCAGATGGGCAATGTCGGCAAGGCCGCGGTTCTCGCGGCGCTGGAGCTCGCCGTCCGCCAGCAGGATGGATCCGTCGGCGCCGCCGTTGCCCGGGCCCATGCTCGTGTTCTAGACGGCCGCATCATGAAAGCCAATGCGGATGGCGCTGCGGGCAAGGGCCGAGCAGCGGGTGCCGTTGTTCTCGGAAAAGGCGACCACCATGGCGGGCACAATGTAGCTCCAGATGCAGCAGGTGTCTGTGCCGCAGGCAGGACTATTGAGCCCGCCGTTGCCGGCCTTGTTCACCGCGTCTGGCCGCGTATAGACGACGGTGGGGTCGACAACGGCCGTGGACTCGCCCTGGAGGATGCTGCGGATGGCCTCGCCCGCGGGCGTCTTGGCGCCATGAGTGGCAAGATCAGCGAGAAGGGTGGTCGAGGGGCCGTCCGTGCTGGCATTCTGTCGAGCTACATATCCGTGGAGATCGTGCAGAACGGCGCTGAAGCCAGGATGCGCATCGACTCTGCAAGAGAGGGCCAGAAGGATGCCAAGGAGTATTCTTTGGCGCATTGTAGTATGTATGTTGGCTGTGGACGCAGCTGTTGCTTGGATATGGCGATAGTAATGACCGTATGGAAAGGATGCTGGGGTGGTGTTGCCAATGGGATGTCGCGAGAACAAACACGTCTGGTAAGATATCTGAGGCAAGGCTGCATGATCGTTTGTGAAGCTATATATGTCTTTGTGCGTCTTCCCAGGAAAGAACACAAAGATCAGCCCATTGTGCTGGCCTCCTGCCGAAAAGGCGGAGTCAACAAAAGGCAAGACACGGAAAGAGCCACCAAATATTCATCTTCAGCAGGTGCAGTATGGCAACACCGTCCTTGCCCCTTGCCCTTTCTACAAGTATTATTCTTCAATGGAATATGCCATTTGTTGTCTACGATTACAGATTTAATTGTATTTGGTCACGCTCACGGGAACAGATGAAACATTGTATTGCCTTGCGGCGCTTTTATTGAAATATCTAAGTCAGGAGCACAAGCTCAACCATGGGATAGCAGGTATATTCCTGGCTACGTTGGTATGGGAGCACGGCTGGGGGTAGGAGGATGTGACCGTCAATATGGAGGTCATGTACATGGACTGAATTTTTTGATGTTTTGTGGTAGCCATTGCTCAATCCATAAGGGAGAGCACGACTGTTTTCCGAGTTTTTTTTTCTGTTTTGTGGATTTTCTGGTGAGAGTGAAAGGAACACTTGCAGGAGTCTCCAAAAGCCGAGCCCGAAACACGACTTCGAAAACAAGGATCGTGAAAAACTAAAAACTTTTGTCAATACGGCCAACAGTGGAAATCGCAGGAGGCAGATCACTTCCCCTCAATCAGAAATTGGCAGGGACATGTGAGGGAAACGGTGTCTACTTCTCTCTCCTTGGTTAGCGTAACTGGCATCAACAATGGGCAAGGAAACAGGCTGTCTACTGATCGGAAGCAGAGTCAGACTCATCGAAATACATGTCTCCTAGAATGCACGTCACGAAGCCGGAATCGGTCACCGCGAACGGGTTGGCGACAGGCGACTGTGCTGGGACAAGGTCAGGACGGCGGGTGTTCTCCGACGAAGACTCCGAGACGACTGTGGTCGTCGCCGCGGGCGGGTTGACGTGGATCTCCGTGTGGCGCTGGACCTCGACAGCGGTCGAGAAACCGTGGTCGGGGCCCACGTGCACGTGCACGTTGGTGTCGGTGAACGGGGTGCCGGTGCGCGACGGTGCCGAGGGGAAGACGGTCTCCTCGGTGGAGGGGGTGGCGGGCACGTCGAGCGGATGTTGAGTCTGGTAAGCCTGGTGAGTCTGTTTCTTTGCGAGATCAGCATGGAGGGAGGCCAGGTTGCGGCCCTCCCACTTGGCACTGTAAAACGTCAGCAAGCCATTGAGCTTGATGAGGGAGTGGACGTAGGTGAACAAGATGTAGGCCCAGAGGAGTTTGAGGTCCCCGGGGTGGCGCCAGAAATAGGCGAACGGCTTGACCATCTTGAAGGCAAACATCCACACAAGCAGAGGAAGGAGAGAGAAGAGGAGGCTGGTCGACGGGACAGTGATGCTGCTGTCGCCAACGCGGCCGTGGTCGATGGTTCCATCCACGTTGTAGCCAATGGGGTTGACGGGACCGTTCGCGCGGTAACCGGACAGGTCCGACTGGGCAAAGGCGTACAACAAGAGAGGATCATAGAACAGGGCAAAGTTGGTAAAGAGCGACAAGTACACGGCGTAGACGCTCCACGGCTGGGTGTACCAGACGTGGAGAGACGTCAGACTCGTCGAGTTGCTTCGCCACGTGGTGCGCACCCAGCGCTTCAGGCCGCCGGTGAACTTGGCCGCACTGCCAAGCGATGTGGTGATGAGGGTCTCCGGGCGGTATTGGATCTTGACGCGCCAGCCGTGGGCGATGCACCAGCGCGTGATGAAGTTGTCGTCGTCCACCGCCAGGGGACCGACGAGGCCGAACAGAAAGTAGTCGTTTAAGAAGCCGCGGAGGAAGTTGGGGTCCTGCAGAATCGACGTCCGCACAAGCGAGGTGCGGCCAGAAACGACAAAGACGCCACCATCGACCGCATTGGACGATCGGATTTCGAAGTTGTGTCTCTCGAGATAGAGGCACTGGACCATGCTGAGGATGCGATGGTGCAGGCTGCCGTGCTCTTCGTCTCGAGTGACGCGTTTGTTGGTCCCGACAATGCCCACCTTGGGATCACGGTCAAAAGCGGGTAGCGCGTACTCCAGGAACGTGTCCTTCCACAGGACATGGTCGTCCATGAGCACGCAGATTTTCGTCGTGGCACGGCGAGCGCCGGTCACGGTCTGGACCCGCTTGTTTGCTTCCGCGGCCGCCAGGACTTCGATCGCAACCCCAGAACACTATTGGGGGAGAGTACGGCGGAGCCGACGGCAGACGGAGAGAGTTTCACGGCGGAGGGCCTCGCCAGCGGTGACCACAACAATCTTGGAGGGCAGGTTGCGGGCCGCGCTGACGATGCCGGTCTGAAAGTGGGCATTATTAGGATCAATGGTTGGCACAATCACCGTTGCGTCACGGCTGGTGATTGTCGGAATGGTCAAGGGCTCGGCCGGGCGGTACATCCAAAAGGAGACGAGATGCACGACCTGGCGGAGGTAGCGCCACACGAATAGAATCACAAAGGCAATGGTCCAGCTGGACCACCACTCCTTGCCAATTCCATCGGCGGGGCACGTGTTGTCATAAGTGTAAATAGGGGCGGGCATCTTGGAGGTTGACAAGGAAGATGCCGTCAGAAGAGTGGATAGCAAATAAGAAACGACAAAAGAAAGGCCTGTTGGGTAACAGACAGGGAGGAAATGGAGGAGGGCGGGTGAGGAGAAAGGAAACAAGAGAAGAGGGTCAAAGAGCGGCCGTGATGCTTCCTTTATAGAGAGAGAAGGAGGAGTGAGCTGTCCATGGCCACGATGCGATGAACAGTCGTGGGGGATCTGAACGACAGAAGCTGCTCCGTGTGTCCTCTTGTTCGGGCCGGACAGCCTGTGCTGGCTGGACGCAGAACATGTTCTCGTGCATGGCTAGGTGATGTTTGATGTTTTGTGGCGGTTGTTTTGGCTGATGTGATTTTGTTGTTTTCGGGGACAATGGGTCGTGGAGTGCAGTCAAGTCGACCACGATACTGGGAACTGCCGACTGGAACGAGGGGAGCTTGGCGGTGGACATGTGAGAGGAACAGCCAAAGGGCGTTGCACCTCAAGTGTTCCATCGATTCCGGCTGGCATCAAGCATCCATGTACACGAGCGTGTCGGAAGACGAGAAGAGAGAAGAGAGGCTCCGGGTGCTAGTCGAGAGTGTCAGAATCTCAGGACATGTGGCAAGAAAACATCGCAGCAACTACAAAGACTGGGGACAGAAGGCTGGCAGCCTCTGGGAGTGGCAGCCTTACTTGGTGACGGGCCCGTCTCGATAGGTCGGAATCTGCTTTCAATGCGGCAGTTTTTCTTTGTTCAGAGGAAGCCATAGACGCATTTCCTTCGGTTGTGGGGAAAGACGGTGCTGTTTGTACATTGAAAGGGGCCAAGTTGTGTGCGTGGATCGAAAGTGATACTTGATATGTTCATCGCACAAATAATGCTTGTTTTTATTTATTTATTTATATTTTTTTTAAAAAAAGAACAAATCCTACTTTGTGCATACAACATCAGCTGTAGTGTTTTTGAACAAGAACAACGGAGTTTTGTTGACTGTTAAAACAATACACAATACGTTTGTTCACATCTAATCGCAACCAACTCCATTGTTCACGAAAATGGCACAACCATGACTTATATGAATCGACGGATTTCCTGCCTCTGATTCAAACATGACCTTCTCTCCCATCCGCAACAACAACAACTCTCAACGGCATTCTCTTGCAAGACCAGTACAGACCGGAGAACAACCTCTGCTTGACGTGTCTTCTTTTCTCTGGTAGAAAAGCCCCAAGACACAGACCACCAAACAGAATCCGTCTCTCATTATTCTTTGCGGTTGCTGGAAGCAAGAAAAGCCAAGTATTCCAACCTTTGACTCGGACGAACAGGACAACAGAAAGACGACCGACGGACCAGCCCAGACTCATTGACTCAGCCCACGTCTCCAACGAACCAACTCAACATCATCATAGGACTCATGTCGGACAAAATGTCTCCCATCGGCTTCAGCGCAGACGACATTCCCCTCCAGTCGCTCGACATTCCTCGTCGCGACGTGTCTCCGTCGCCGTTGCTTCTGCCGTCGCCCGCGTTTGAACGTGAGCTCGCCTCTCTGTCTCTGGCCCTGGCCGCCTCGTCTCCATCGGTCTCGGACCAGACCTTTGTTTCCGCTGCTGAACGGCCTCCCTGGTCGCCCCTCCCGTCGCCTTCGCTCTCGTCGCTGGTGCCCCGTCCTCTGTTTGCTGCTCCCCTTGTCTTGCCTCGTTCGCCCATGTTCCGCCTGGCCCAGCCCGCTGTTGCCCGCGAGTCGCTCGTCTTCCGTCGCCGCCAGATCTACCTGAACGTCTACGCTCCTCCGGCTGTTGTGGTCCCCGGTCTCCCCAAGTTAGACAGGGTCAGCAAGCCCCGTGCCCTTTCTCACAAGTCCCAGGCCGCTTTTCGCGCCCGCCGCGAAGCCGAAGATGCGTTGATTATGCCGCCGATTCTGTATACGCCGCCACCACAGCCGCAGCCGCACAAGGTCTTCCCCTTCCGGCAAGACTACATTCACAGCTTCAAGCCGGACCTTCCTGTCCACCTATGTGAGTCGCCTGCGACTGTTTCTCCCAAGGCTGATGCCCCCGTTTCGACCTCTCTGGAAATTTTCCCGATAACTACCCTGCCTTTGTCGTCTTCTTCGACGTCCGCTTCGTCTCCGTCGCCACGTCCGCTGCTCGAGGAGCGTACTTCCCCGATCCCCATCCCAGGTGCTCGTCGCCGGCGATTCCCCCCGGTCCGCCGCTCGTCTGTTCTCTTTGACCGTCTTCCTAACCGGGCTGATTACGACTCGGACTCCAGCTCGTCTGCCTCTTCGTCCTTCATCTGCAAGTCGCCTCGCCGCTACCCCCGATCGCCCCACCCTAAACTCCTTGGTCTTCCTCAATTTCCCATTGATCCCGACTCGTCCGACGAGGAAAGTGAGGAGTAGTCGGAGGACGAGTGGTGGAGGGTGAGGAGACAGCGGGAATCACAATCCTTCCAGGTGAGTACTTTAGTGTTGAGCAAGGACCCATCTCTTGTCTTTGTCCTACTGCCTACTTTTTTGATTTCTTCTCATTGTTTGTCAATACCGCCAGGCTAGTGTTTTTTTCGTATTCCATCCTAATAGTCATTAAAATATAAGATGGTCAAAAAACAAATGAAACGATACTCTCTCTATACATAAGGTGAGACTTTTCATTTTCTTTTATTAAATTAAACCTTTAAGCAACGCAGCCAAGTTGTTCCCAAATCATGCACCTTGTGACCCGAACGAAAGAATAATAAAAGAAACGGCAACTTGAGCACTCGTACGAACGCCACTTCAGTGCTTCATTGCCCGCCGTTTCTGGCAATCCAGCGCGGTGTACTGATTCGGGTTGGCCGCAGCATGCGGAAAGTAAACTGGCACGCACTTGTCACCGTCATCGTCGTCTTCGTCACCGTTTTCGTCGTAGCCTTTTCCCCGTTCATCCCCCCATAGGTCCTCCAAGACGAGACCCCCCTGGGCGCGGACTTGTTTCTTGAGAGCAGCAATATAGCGAAGAGCATGGTCCAGCTGTGTCTCGAGCGTTTTCATGTGGGCCACACGCTCATTGTTGGTGAGAATGACAGCCTTGAGGCTAGTGACGCGGTTCTCAAGGTTCCACTTTTCGTTTTGAAGCTTTCTGTTCTTGGTCTGCAGCTCGTGGACCTGTGATTCAAGTCCGGAAATGATGCACTTCTCATTCGCTATATTTCCTGAGTGGTCGTCGACTGTGTCTTCAGAGCTCGGGGACAACCCGGCGTCCTCTCCAATATCCTCCTGGCGCTGTCCTTGGACGCTGGCATTGTACCCGGCCTGGTACTTATTCTTGGCAATATGGACGTTACCAGAAGATGCTGATGTGACCTGGGCACCGTCGATATCTGTAGAGGAGGAGGGACTGGCAGTCTCGAGGCTGTCACAGATGTCTTCAGACCTCTTTGGGCCTTCCACTGCAGCAAATGACATCTCTTCCGCGTCAAAGAACTCCTCATCCTCGTCATTGCTGTCGATGTCCATGTCATGAAAGTCTGTGTCCGAGAATTCGGTGAGAGTAGTGATGGTGGATGGAGTTCTGACAAGATATGGGTCGTCCATAGCGACATATTGCTGCATCACTGCTTGATTATCGCTTGGCATCACAGGACCACGTATGCTATTGAAAACGGGGCTCGTCAGGTCAAGGGACATGGCCTTGCTTTTGATTGTTGTCGTCTTGTTGTCGTCGCTGTGGTTCAATATGAATAGAAGACGGTAGAGACGAGCCGAGTTCACATTTTGTATTGGAAATGAGCATAAAACGAGCGGATTTTGAGTTGCTGAATGTAAAGGAGAGTTGACGGACATGTGAAGAGGTCAAAATAATTGAGATGAAGGTGAAATGAAAATAAAAATGACACGACAGTACAAAACGTGAGACTAGCCACCCAACACGGACTCGAAAGTGAACAGTGGAAGGAGACAAGGAGACAAAAAACAGAGTAAACACAACATCAAATGGAAAATAAAACCGAATTGTACTGAATAGAATTTTGCAGATTGATCGCACAGATATCGGACAACCCAAGGCATACTACGGTGCATCTCCCGCCGCGGTCCTCTAGTCATTATCTTCTTATCCCTGCTGTACTTCTGTTTTTTTTATTGTTCCCCAACGGATATTCATCCAAGTCGACAGCAACATCGGATTGACGTAGAACTGAGAAAAATCTAAACATCTCCTCGTTCAAGTAAGTGGATTCTGTGAGGTGTCGATCATTTTAGTGGACCAGACTCACTAAATTAGCGCTGTGCAACGGGCGCTAATAACATATCCCCGCTATTTCTCTAGCGGACGGTACCTGCAAACACCATTGACAGACGGCTAGGCTTAGGACCCCGGAGCGAGATCGACAAGGCGGCGCGTCCAAATTACAGTGTAAGTCGCACTTCAAGTCGGACACAGCCTGGCCGACATCAACGGCCATAGGCGATCCGATGGTCACGACTACCACCTCCACCAAGTACCTCACGATCTCGCAATGCTCCGGGACAGATGCAAACGCAGAGAATAAATGAAACAGCAGCTTCATTGTTTTAACAGGTCCCAAAACAATGGGCGATTCGACTCGACCAGCACGCTCAATAGCTCTCTCGTCGTTCGCTCCCTGAATCACTCCAGAGATTCTTCCGTGCCTTGACTCCAAAACCTGTGTCATCCCCTATCCCCTTTGCAATTTATGTGCTCTCTCTGCCGTGCGTCAACTTGGTGGACCTTGTTGTGCTTTTATTTCTAGCGTCCTTTTCACCATGTCACCCACGTCTTTCATGCAAGTTTTTCCAACTTCATTTTCATCTGCATAACTGCTAGCACATGGCCCTCATTCCTATCAACTCCATATATCAACCTTAATTATCAACTGCACCTGTGCAGCCTACGTAGGCTTCGTAATGTGCTTGATGCTGTAGAACTCGTTGGTCCACCGGAGCATCGTGGCCGCCTCGGCGTCCACAATTGCCTTGACGCCCGGGTTGACGGCCCAGTTTTCGGCGTACGCATCCGAGCAGTGGCTGCCGCCCTGCACCACGGTCACCGGCACATTGGCACTGCTGGCCAGCGGTCCGCCAGGGCGCTGGCTCGAGCTCACCGACGCCGCCCGCCACGGGTCCACTTCGCCGTTGGTGTAGATGATGCGCGGCGTGCGGCTGGGCGGCACCGACCACCCACCCGTGTAGCCGTTGAAGCCCGCAATGGTGGTGCCGTGCTCGAGCCCGAAGCCGCCCGCCATGGCAGGAAACTGCGCATTGCAAATCTCCAAAAAGTAGTTGTAGTCGAGCTGCCGGGAGACGATGGTGGGCTGGCCGACGGGTGCGGCGGTCTGGAACCAGGCCAGGGGGTTGTTGCACAGGAGCCACCAGTACTGGCGGCCGACAAAGTTGCCAGGCGTGATGTCGAGGTACATTGAGCTGGAAGCGTTGGTGAAGCGCAGGCACTCGGTGTTGTACGTGCCCTGGAAATCGTCGTAGCCATACACATCACAGACTGCAAGGACGGTTCGTTAGCGTAGGATGAGAGTTGGAAAACGGGGAGAGGCACGACCATAACAGGAATTGGCACATACAGTCGGGAAGAAGGTAGTCGATTGTCCACTTGGCATAGCCAGCCAGTGCCTTGGTGACGCCGACTCCGCTTTTTCCTGGCACGGGGTTGCCAGAGCCGTCCCAGACGTTCTGCAGTGACCGACGTGTTAGCAGTCATTCCTTCTTTAGGCCAATGGCACAGAAAATGAGTGCTGACCTCAATATAATCACAGAACTGGTAGTACGGGCTGGAGCCGTAAAGGGGCGTGCTGAAGAATTGCGTGCTCTGAAGCAGAAGAGGTCCAATGGATATGGTTCTAAATGTGTTAGAGTCCAAAAAAGAACGGGGGGGAGAACACCAGAAACCAGAGGCGACGCAATACAGCAGATGAAAAGTCGTACCTTGCAAAATCACCATCAGTCAAATCCTGCAGTTTGAAGGAAGTCTTTAGTGCCAGCTTCTGGGCGTTCGTGCCGTGCTGCAGAACATTGTCAATGTAGGAGGCCACATTCGTGAGGTCGATGCTGCAGTTCTGCGGCGTCGCTTGCCGCACCACCTCAAAGTACTGCCAAAAGTCGCCAATCGCCTCGACCACGCCGCTCGTCGCATAGTACGCCCAGAACGGGCTCGTATGGTCCTTGGCCTCGGGCTGGCCGGCTGCCAGGTTGGCCTCCCACCCAGCCAGGGCGCCCGCGTACGAGCCGCCCGCCAGCACCCACGGCGCCTTGGTGGGCTTGCTCTTGCCGGACGTGTCAAACGGCGGCACCCAGTTGTTGGCAAAGTAGGTAAAGTCGCGCAGGGCCTGGTCGACGGTGAGGTACTTGAGATTCTTGACGGTCAGCTGCTCGTAGGGGGAGCTCTCGCCCCAGTAGCGGTGCTCCAGAATCACCACAGCGCCGCCGACGGCCTCGCCAAAGTAGCCCGTGATGCGCTGGTTGGAAAGGTACGTGGCGTTCCAGTCCGTGCCAGACTGCTCCCCGGGACAGGTCAAGACGATGGGCGAGCCGGGCCCCTTCCAGAACTCGGTGCTATACCAGAAGCGCTGCGAGAAGGTCCCAAGATGCGGACTGTTGTGATCAATGGGCTGGTTGAAGGTGCCCCAGCCAAAGGTGGGAGCAGGGGGCGTGCTGCCTCCGTGCCCACCGCCTCCTCCACCTCCGTTCGGTGTCCCAGGATCGGGACCGCAATAGCCCTTGGACCTGCCATGGCTGGCAGCAGCCACCTTGTCGGAGACACCGGGGCTGAAGGTGCCTTTGATCAATCCGGGGGGCTTGAAGCCGACTGGCCACGGGCCAACGGCAACGGTGCGTTGAGCAGCGGCCCAGACGACCGTCACAATGGCAAAGGCGAACTTCATGACCTCAATATAAGGCCAAATTAATAGCAGAAGTAGGAGAGAGAAGAAGTGAAATGGAGAATGAACGAAATGATAAAGCTGCAGAGAAGCTCGGCAGTGAGTGCTGTGCCTCTCTAGCTATCCCACGTACAAAGGATAAGGGCAGCACCTCCATCTTAAATACGTAAAACAGAGATGCGCAATATAGAACGGAAGTCCTCGTGGACGGTAAGGAGAAAAGGGGACAGGTAAAAACAGAGGACCACCGAGCGTCACGTTCCACAAAGGTTCGTCGCTTGAGGAGGCACGGTCACTGAGCACTGAGTCAAGACCCACATGATGGCCACCCAACTATGCAGATTGCCGCTTGCTTCTGTTCAACGAGGGCGCGACGATGAAGAAGCAAAGGGACGAGCAGCTCCACACACATCCATGCAGCTCGACTTTGCCCATTTCGGCCGTGCTGTGTGACGGTCGTTCATTTTTGTTGAATTTAATTTCAATGTTAGCGCTTGACGCGGTGGAAGGAATCCGGATCGGTTGAGACGGCCGTCGATTTTGCTCGGAGGAAGACAACGAGTCCAGAGTCACCCGCAAAGTCAGAAGGGCGTGTCCTTGACGCTGGGTGGGGGATAATGCACGACCTGCAACCAGTGAGGAGGGGCAGCTGCAAGGGAAAGGAAGACCTTTGCCAAGTAAATTCGGAATCAATTCCACCTGGGAACTCATTTGCATGCACCGCCGATTGGAGTTTTGCTAATCTCCTTTTTTTTTGAGCCCGTACGACTTTGTCAGACGTCGAGAGGTCAAATGTGTGTAGAAGGGTCGTCGTTTTCTTCCAGTTGTTCTAGAAGGATATCCCTCGCATCGACGTTGTGGATGTCGAACCAGGCAACCAATCACAGGCCGCACTTGTTAACATTATGCATTGAAAGGAGCCAAGACAGGTCGCTCGGATCCGACGCGCCAGCGTCCGGCAGCATTCGTTTCTTTCAACCAATATTTCTCCCTTTCAATCTCCTCCCAGTTCACCTTGTCGGCATGCCGGGTTGCACCTCGCCAAGACAACCCACACTGCGTGTTCTACCCCGGGTGGAGACAAGAAGCGAGCCTTCTTGCAATTGTTCCACAACTTGTCAGTGGGACCAGACGCGGCGGCCCAAACGAACCCAATTAAAAACCAAGGCCCCAGCTCTGAAGCTTAACCTTTCAACATTATGAACGGCACGCCATTTGTGGTCCCCTACTCTTGGTCCGATATCCTGTCCCTTCCTCTCATCTTGCAGCATTGGCACTGGGGGAACGTGGCGCCCTTGTCCGTTTCTAGAATGTTTCCATCGGTGTCTCCGTGTCGCTTGTTGTTTCCTTCCGTCTCTTCCGGTGGAACATCGACGTGATCAGGCATCCAGAAAGACGAGACAAGCTGGAAGAAGCGCCGACTTCATATTCATTTGGTACCTGCTTGGATCGGTCGCCCATCTGCTAGCACCACGGCTTGGCTAGCAATAAAAACACCTTGCCGAATTCAACGTCAATATTGGACACATACAGCCTGCGGTCTGTGCACAATACGAAGGCTATTCCTCATGAGATTCCTGGGCGTCGCGTTTGTACACGTGTCGACACCGCAAAACGTACCACAAGATGCAGAGTTGCGCGATGGCGAAGCATAAGCTCTGTACACGATTTCGCATTGGCTGTCCTGTTGGTAAGTAGCGGAAAACATTGGTATCCAACAAAACATCCACGCCGCCTAGATGCAAGGGCGACTTGGGTCAAAACCATAAAATAACTGTGAATTCTTGTCATAAAGCTGCCACACAGGCCCGCTTCTATGCAGAAAAAAAACGACCAAAAAATCCTTATCCAATGAAGGACATCAAACATGCTGTGGGAACTCGCTAGTGAGGGCAAGCACAAAACTGAATGGTAAGACGGTCATGGGGGCCTCCAAAAATACGCAAGAGACGAATGGAAAGCAATGTGAACGGGCTAGAGAACGACTATTCGGATCACTCCGGCTTCTGGCCGTACACAACGTGGCTAACAAGGTTAGTGAACATTCATGTTTTTCATCTTCTTTCGAGCTCTCGTCAAGGTGTTGAGCAAACATACTAGTCCAGGATGGCGTGGATGGTCGGGTCGTGCAGCTGCTTGCGCACATTGGCCAGCATCACCACGACCTGCTCGCTGGTCCACTTGAGCACATTTGTAAAGAGGCGCATGGAGAGGCCTTCCAGTCCCTGGTTGATCTGCATGTAGTTGTAAAGACCAATCTGCTTGAGGACGGGATCGCGGGGCCAGGTGCCGATGGGCAGTTTGTACCGGCGGTGGACGACGTTGGTGAAACCGGTCTCCTCGAACCAGCCCTTCAGTTTGGACCCAGGTCGCGTGTCCCGGCCAATGGCTTCGGCAGCATTGCAGGCCCTCGTGATCCAGACGAGGAGCGGGTTTTCGGGGCCCAGGGAGCCGTCTTCCGAATAGTAGGTTAAGTCAAAGTCCTGGAACTCGGCCCAGCCGCCTGGCTCAATGTTTTCATACGTGCGGCGGATCAGCTGGGGCCAGTCATTGATGCTGGCGGCCATGTAGCGGCAGAAGATGTAGGAAAACGGCTGGTCGTAGATCCACTCGTTCTCGACGTCGTCGACCTCAAATTTGACGTTGGGCGGCACGAAAGCAGGCATGTTAGCGCTGAGGTCGTTGCCGATAACGATGGAGTTGGGTAGCAGGTCGCCCATCTCAATGGCCCAGATGCCGTTGCCGGTCCCAATGTCGAGGATGCGCTGCGGCCGGTCGACATCGATGGGTGCCTGGTACAATCCACCTTGTGCGGTGGTGACAATTGTGTGCAAGAGCAAAAGACGGTCCATTTCCAACTCATCGTTTGGCCTTGTGTATCCTTTGCGGTAAGGTATATTAGTCATTCAACTCAGTAACAAGAAGGGAAGATCGCAACGGTCAGTGACGTACTGCCGTCTTGGTAGGCATGGTACCGGCGGCCATATTCGACGGGGTAGTTGAAGATGCTTGAGGTGAGGGAGGTAGTGTATGTGGCGCTACATTGTGTTAGTTTTTGATACAAATCATGATGTAGAAACGGATGCCTTACATGGAGTCGGCAAGTGCGGATTCATCGTCGTTATCCTGAAAGTATAAAAATTAGCGCATGGTCACGATTCACGTCGCTGTAGGAGTATATCAGCGGACGGAGTTCAAAGAAATGAAGGCTGACATACAACTTCTTCCGCATCGATTACATCATTGTCAGCAGCGAGGCCCGTCCCTGACCTTGGCGATGCTGTCCCTGGAGGTGAATTGGGTGACTTGGGCGACTTGGGCGACTTGGCAGCGCCAGCAGGTGGTGATGAGGCTTCCGCGGCAGCAGCGCCAGAAGGTGGTGATGAGGCTTCAGCGGCAGCAGGCGATCCGGCCTCTTCTGTTGGCTTCGTCGTGTCCGCCATGTCTGCCTCGTGTGCTCGTCTACCCTGTATGATGTTCGTGTCCGTAATCCGGGGCCGACTGTGGGTTCGTCTTTTGAGACGGTGATGGACGGCGGGCGCGGTTTTCTCCTTTTGACTTCTGACGATTCCAACTACAGGTGCTTCGTTCGACGTACAAGGTCGGTCCTGGGGATCGTCACGCCCGTGGTCGATGCGTGTCGAAAGAAAAAAGGCAGAAGGCGGAACGTGGAACGTCGACCGTCGCGCACCGTAGAAAGTGGAAATTAGACAGTTGATAGAGATTGGGAGGGAAGAAAACGGGCAAGGAGACGAGTAGGAAACGCCAATTAAGCAGGCGCTTCAGCAAGTGGCCCCTGTTCAGTTCAAGGAACACGTCAGAAAAGCACGACAGCATTAAAGTAAACCTGAAAAAGCAAAAGTAGGGGACCAACCGCCCCCCTCTACCTCTCTCACTCTCCCCACGAGTAGTTGGCCCGGAGGCTTACGACCTGCTCTGTTCAGGGAAGCCGTTCAGTGAGATCTAGTGAACAGGCGGATGAACATCATAACAGCGCTAGACACAACAGGGAGAGTCGTACTTCGTAATGTGGGTTCGGGATGAGGCGGGGACAACCGTTCTTGATGTGGAATGCGTGATGGAGTGGGCCACAAAAGAATGACAGGGGGTGGAGCGCATCCCACAAGGGCGCAAAAAACAGAGACGGCAAGCGACGGAGAAGAGAAAAAGAAGATGCTGTGGTCGACAAGCGCAAATGTTTTGGCAGAAACCACGGGCGATGGTCGAGCAGACGAAATTGTACATTTTCGAGACAAAAGAGGGAGACGAGGACAGAAGAGCACCAGACAGAATGGAGCCATGATTTACGGGGACTGTCGCAGAGATGCTCCTTACAAATACGTCTGTTGGCTGTTGGCGTGGCAGGAAGGAGACTGCGGTGGGTTTCTCCGCCTCAGCAAGGTAGGAAAGAAGGAAAGTTCAAAAGGCAAGCGTGGCCGCGCTCTTTCCCCTTCCCACTTGCGACGGCGCGACAAAGCAGAAAGAACAAAGGGCGCCGTTCGATAGCACTTTCCTTGAGAGAAACTCCTGTTTTTGGTCTTTCTTCTTCGACGTACGGAAGGAGCCTTCCTCATTCGGCTGCAGTTGCACTCGGCTGCATGTGCTGTCCTTTGCGAAGCAAGAACATGCCTGCGATTGGGTTGCAATTGGCCGCCACCAGACGTTCACGCATAACTAGACCCACCTTCGTTCTGTGGTGCTTCGCCAGAGAAAGAGGGCATTTGTGTGAAGTGGGAGTGAGATTTCAGACATTGCGCCATCTCTACGAATTATGGAGGACAACGATTGACGGACCACCGGCGGCCGTCTCGTTTGCCTTCCGGAGTCGTCGACACTCGGCCGAGTCATCCCCTCTACTCCGTAAACCGACGACAAAAGACTCTGCCAAATGAGCCGCCTTACGATATACTCCGTATACCCGCGTGCTTTTAACGGCGGTGGGGATGTTAGGCAAAGGCCTCTGGCAGAGAGGGCTGCTCGAGAGGGAAAAGAGTCGGTCAGGCAAGCTGAGCGAAAATACGACATAGAGGCATGGCACTAGGGGAACACGTCCGCGTACATCAGGCGGGGACACTGCTGCAAGTCGCCGGAAAGCGCCTAGCCTCCGGGAGCGGCGCTGTGGCGTGGGCTTTACCGTTGCCGAAGTTTAGTGATTAGAGAACTGCGGCTACGGTCGCTTGCTGAATTCGTCTATGGCATCTATTGGAAGATGCTTGGCAGCCAGGCCGCCGTGATTCAAATGTTGCACAAAAAATGAATTAGAGATGGTTTAACGGAGCCACGAAGCAAACAACCGAGCGTGGTGCAACACAGTACTCTATTTGGACTCTGCACATGTCGTATTCCGTACTGCAATCAGTGGCAGAATGTTCTGTGACATAAAAAGTGGGTCCACTTCGGCGATGTGCATCGATCGTCACAACCGTCAACGTCGCCTCTCGGAGCATCGCCGTTTCGTGCAGCCTATCTTGATTCTCGACCTGTTCGTCACAACGACTGTGATCAAGAACCGAGTCACTGGTTATTTGATGCATGTAGTTAGCTGTTCAGTTATTTTTTTTGTCAGTTATGCGACATTTGGATGACAAACGAAACTATTCCATTGCTTCAATGCTTCTTTTCCACTTCTTCGGCAATGCTCTTGTGTTTTTACTCGAAAGCTCCCGTAATCATACTGTTCTGTCATCGAGGCCTCGATTTCCCATTGACGACCTCAATAGAGATCCACAGGTTAGCAAATCACAAGAAAGTGGTTGGTATTGCTCCGTCACCTTGCTGTAAACCCACTTTATTTTCGTTTGCTTGTGTCACCGCAGCACTCGAATCCGAGGAGGCAGACTCTGGTATGACAAGGTGGAGTATGACAAGGTATTCCACAGTCTCGCACAGACAATCGAACGTAGATCTATGGCAAGTGGCATACCATCTCTTATCGTCTCTTTGATGGGGAAAGTCACTTTGAACTCGGGGTCGGGCATTTGTCACAGTATTAGTTAGCGAAATGTCCGAAATGTGTATTTGTTTACATCAAGATGCAATATCTCATTTTCTCAGGAGATTATCAATGGCCACAACCGTATCTGGTAACTACTGTACGAAAGGTCAAAATTATTTTACTTTGGTAGTTTGCAAACGTACAAGAATTATATTTTGTATTGCAAATACCAGCAGAAGTAGAGAAGGCAGCGACACATAAATTGAAGCCACCCCCCCGATTCGTTCCAAAACCAAACCTCCTCTTTTCATGTCGCCATCGTCTTCATCAGAGAGCATCCTACTATCTTCGCGAGTTTTGGTTCATCATCAGACTCTCTTTTCTCGGTGCATCTTCTCTCGTCTGTCTACTTTCTCGTCATTCCGACCCCCCTTATCATCTGCCCGCAACGTTCTCTCTCTTCCCATTCTTATACTCTATATACTTCGTCTTCTATATCTGCCACTTCACCTCGAGTTCACTCCAAAGATCTCCCCATCCTTCTCAGTTGCCTACTATCTGGTTTCTGATTATCCTTCCTTCCCGACCATCACGCTCGACGGTTTTTCAGTCTCGGCTTTTCAGCACCGGTCGCGTCATAAACTCTTCTTCTCAATATCGCATACCTTCACGACACGAATTTCATCTTCAACAAGATGGTTTCAATCACCACCCTCGGGAAGCGGCCCATGAAGCGCGCACGAAGCGATTCGGACACATCTGGCACCGGCCCGCCAACCAAACGCCAGCGCCTTCAATCTCCCGATAGCGAGGGAGAAAAACGTGATCTTCTATCTGACTCGGAGGGACTTGCCAAGAACAAAAGTGACGCAATCGTTTCATTTGAGCCAAACAACTGGGAGACATAGTACGACCCAGTTGTCGACGAGAACGAAACTTTAGACAGGTTGTTAGCCAATATAAGAGCTTTCCACGAAGACCGGGCTGCTCTGGCAGCGGAAAACGACGGCCACGCATGTGCCTCGTGCGATGCTGTGGAAGAGCAATTTCCATCCCAACGCAGTCTGAGCCAAGACGCAAGTGAGAGCGACGTGGTCACTTTCATTGACCCCGGTCTGACAGAGCCCGTCGCAACGGAGTCTGACTATGGTGATGAGAACGTGGCCCCGGTGCCTTCCACTCCTCCCAACGCTGGCAGTTACTATTTCGAATCGTCTGCAAATTGTAAGTCACCCCCAGCACTCTTTACGTCACCCTGATGCCAGCCATATATCCTAACGAAGCCCGTCACAGTCATTGCCCCGTTTTCCGAACCCATTGATCCCGCCGAGATTCAAGCTCGTGAGGAGTCCTGGGCACGGTGCCATCAACTGACGTTTCTTCTTGCCCGGGAGGTTGACATTGCCCCAGCCGCTCCCGACGCCACGATCACCAATCAGCGTCTCGCGTCGCCCTTCCAGCTCAACGATCAGTATCAGTCCATCGGCGCATATCTTGATGATGAAGCGGAATCCAAGGAAAATGACGAGGAGTCCAAATCCGATGCATCGGACATTGGGATCTTACAGCCTCTTGAGTCCGAGGACAAAATTGCCAACGGTTGTGACTCTGTCGTCGATTTTCAAATCTACATCGACGCCGACGCGAAATCCAACATCTCGGACAGCAACGCTTCGGATAATGTCTCTGGCGATGACAAAGTCAAGTTACTCGAGACAAACCAGGATGTCGCTGAGGATCTTGGTGGCGGTGATGACAAGGAACCTTCCTCCTACGTCATGATTCGTCCGGAGCCGCGCAGTCCATCCCCGGGAAGCGAAGACGACCCTTGGATGCATCGCCACATCTTGAGCCCGATTCCTGTGTCGCTGCTTCACAAGGTTTCAGATGATGCGTCTGGCGCTTGAATGACGGGTTGGCGGGAGCTCTTTCATTCAATAATGGAGAAGACCAGATCATGGTCACCCAACACAATGCCAACACTATGTTCGAATTTAAGAAGCTCAACTGTTGCGCAGCTGCTCTTACCTTTTTTCACTCGCTCTTCGCCTCCGCCTTCGCATCGATTGTCAGCACCCTACAGTTATTTTTGCTACTGAGTATGCAGTGGTCCATACACCGTCACCGCTGTACTGTATTGTTTAGTACTATGCTTCAGTCTCTCTGTTCATCTTCCTCTCTTCTATCTGGCTTCCGACTTTTCCGAGCATGACGAGCTTGAGTCTGCGTCCATTTCCGTCTTACTTGTCACTGGAGCAACTCACAGCTAGACGGAAGCCAACGGGTCCATTGTTTTTCTAATGATTACACTTCTTTCACTTGCATAGACGTTGTCTATTCTCCGTTCCTCGAAACATTCCACGCACCATGATTTTTTATTTATGGGCATCGGATCGAGAAGGGATGGATGGCATCAACTGGGGAGGACTTACACTGATTAATTCGGATCTGCTATTTCTGATTTTCAAGGACTGTCGTTCAGATAAGCATCAGGGATCGGATGAACTGTTACAATTGTTTGTTTATGTTGTCGCTTTTGTTGTCTTTCTGTTTGCCCATACAATTATGTCATATACACAAATTAACGTATCATCAATATGCACGAGGAACATTCATTCTCAGTGGTAGATAAGTATTATTTCTAAGCCAAATGAAAACTAAAATGGAGAGTAAAAAACAACAGCAGGTAATCTCCTATACGCTGATAACATAGAAAAGAGCAACCTGTTACATGTGTTTGTATAGATGTGTTATTGCTGTCAAGACAGTCGACCAAATCCTGGCTGTCGCAATCACATGTGAATCGTGACACTTTGCTGCAGAAAGACCAAAAAGTAAGCTATTTTGCGCTGTGTGGGTCGGCTACAGGCGGGTGACTCTCGGAAGCAGTGGCCGGACTGGCATAAGACGCTGCCAACAGGGCCAACACTATGCCAGTGGCGGGACAGAAGTGCAGGTTCGATCCGTTGTGCTTTCTTCGCGTCTCTTTCACCTCTCCGATTTTGACGTTTTGCCCTGCGCTGCGATTGCATTCCCTCACCTCAACATACTTTTTACTCGACGACGACGACGACTTCTCTGTACCGCTCTCACAAACTACCCCCTCCTCCCTCACCTACCGACGTCATCTCGCCAATCCAGGCCTCTTTTCTGCCGGAATCCCTCCCAGTTTGCGCTTCAGGCACGTGCTTCGACCACGACATTCCGACCGAGATCTCTTCCCAATGTCGACAGCGCCGCCTTGTCTTTCTTCGAGGCGGCAATTGTGAACGCATTTCAAGAGCGGCCCAGTCGATCTGTCGGTAGCGAGGGCTGGGAATACCTGCTCCTGTTTCCTCGTCGGCGAGGCTCGACTTGATAACTTGACCGTCCGACGCCGGTAGATGGCTGCCTTTGTAAGTTGCGCAATCGCCCTCTAGAGTCTGAACGGTCCTTCCTTCTCCCGTTCTTCATTTCGCCTTCCCTATCCATTCCTGTGCCACTGCATTTCCGCACGGTCTTTCCTTCCCACGGCCCTCTGTGCCTTCCTTGCATGTGAACGTCCATAACGGTCGTGCTTTCCCGCCGCAATTTTATATGCAAACCACCTGACTTGTTCCCTGTCGGTCGCTCCTGCTTTGTATTCATCCTGGGGTCATTCGGGCCAATTTGGCGGGACTTAATTACCAGGAAGCTGGGGATAGCGGCTGGTAGGCACCTGCCAAAACTCCGAGCCAAAAGCGGCCGGCAGCAAAGTGGCTGGGTAGGCTCTACCGCGTTGGCCCAGAAAAAGTGGAGCTTAAGCCTCTCTACCTAGTCTCCAGTCAGCAGGACAACAGCGAGGTCAGACTTAACGACGTCAGCCATTCTCGTGCAATGCTCGACACCTCCGCACACCCTCACCTTTGTTCCCGACTCTTTTGTTTCTCATCCCACTATCCCATCGCACCTCCACCGTTGACGGGACTTCATTCACAAGAAGCCATTTATCTCCCCCATGTGGCCTCCCATGGCCATTACGTCGTCGCGGCATTCACGGGCGCACCATTGAATGCCCTGACATCATCGTGTCTGCCTATTTGACCTAATTGATCTGATCCTCTAACACGCGGGACATTCGGCCTTTCTGCCTTAGGACACGCCCTGGCTCTCCATGTCCGCTCCGCGCTCTTCGTTCCTCCGCCCCGACTCGTCTGACCGACACGGCCACTCCAGTCCTGCGTCGCCCAGCCTGTCTGGGGACCATGACGGCGGCAACAATGGCAACGGTGTCGGCGGCAGCGGCAGCGGCGGTGGCAGTGGCGGCTACGACTCCTACCACAACAATTCCTCCAACCCCAAGCCAACCTATGCGACCTTCTCCCCCGCAAACGCACTGTCCGGCAAAAACAACAACACCTCTGCGGCAGCGAAACGCCGGAGCACCATCCTCGTCCACCAGAAATCGCCGCTCCTCCTCGCGACCCCACCCCAAATCACACGCGCGCTGGCCTACAGCCACCCGTACCTCCTCCCTCTCAATAAACTGGCCGGCCTGATTACCTGGACGACAGGCGACCCGTGGGAGAGCTTTCTCCTTGTGCTCCTGTGGTGGCTGGTCGTCCTGTACGGCGACACAATCATTCGGCTGGCCGGCCCCATCCTCTTTGTGCTCACTCTGATTGGCGGTATGTACGGCCGACGGTACAGCCCCTTGTCGACAAGCGGCTGGAGCAGCGAAGACGGCGTTGTGGGCGGCGGCGGCGGTGGTGGCAGCGGCGGCAGCCACAGTCGAAGTGGTGGCAGCACAACCAGCGGCAGCGGCTTGGGCTACTTCCTCTTTGGAATCGGTGGTGGCAGCAACGCGAGCGGCGATGCGAAATCGACTGGCCGTGAGGCGATGAACAAAATTCGGTCTCGGGCCAAGAATCATAGCCTCGACGGCTCGGGCGCCAGCCACATGACAGCTGGGAAGGGGCGCAGCGGGACCAACGGCAGCGTCGAAGCTGGTGGCAATGGCAGCGGCGGCGGCGGCGGAGGTGGTAACGGCCACCAGCGCTCTGCGTCCGAGGCGGTGGCCAGCGCGCGACACCAGAAGACGCTGGACGAGATTGTCGACACGCTGGGCGAGTTTACCGCCCGCTGCAACCTTCTGCTTGAGCCGCTGTTGGGGCTCACGGATTTCCTGTCGACACAGAGTACGGCGACAAGTGCGACGACACGGCCGGCGCTGACGGTGCTGTTTGTGCGCATTTTGCTCTGCACGCCATTTTGGTACCTCTTAACGTTGGCGCCCATGCGTCTTGTCACGACGCGCCGCGTAGCGCTGGTTCTCGGCACTCTCATCTTGACATGGCACTCGCGCGTAATGCGTGTGAGCCGAACGATCCTTTGGCGCAGCGCCAGCATTCGGCGGACGGCGGCGCTGGTAACGGGCCTCGAATTTGAGGGCCCCATGCGGCCGTCCAAGGCACCATCGTATGTGACGGCTGGAGGCTCGAACTTGTCGGACCCTTCGACGACGGCGGCCACAGCGGCAGCTGCGCTGCAGTCGAAGCTTTCTAGCACAAAGCCGGGACGGCGGCTGTCCACGCCGCGCGAGTCGGAACTCACAAAAGCGATTCGACGCGCCCGCGCAGGACAGGACGCCGGCGTACGGTTTACGTTCATTCTGTACGAGAACCAGCGGCGGTGGGTTGGTCTGGGGTGGACAACCAGTCTGTTTGCCTACGAGCGCCCGGCGTGGACGGACGAGCACAACAACGCCGTGCCTAGCAAGGACGAGTTTGAGCTGCCCGAAGTCGAAGACGGCAGCAAGATGCGGTGGCGGTGGGTCGAGAACAGCCGCTGGCGCGTGGACGGCGTGGTGGACGACGCGGTGCGGGTGGAAAAGACGGGAGCGCACGGCGAGCACATGGATACGTGGGACTATGACGGCGAGGGTGGGCGGATGGGATGGGTGTACTACGACAACAAATGGCAGGGCGGTCGGCGCGGCCAGGACGGATGGACGCGCTGGACGCGACGGCGCAAGTGGTACCGCGACGCCGAGCTGGTGGAGGTGGACCTCGAAGACGAAGCAGCATCAGCCAGCTCCCAAACCGACGAGACCGTCGGCGCCAATGCCACCGCAACACCCGGTGATGCGGCACAGTCATCCATATCCTCTGCACAACGATCCTCCTCGCCGGCACCATCGCAAGCGGGCACTGTTCTGACAACCCATACGGCAGCGACATCGGGTTCAGAGGGCACCAACGCGGGTGTGGCGGCCAGCACTAACGGTGCAGCCGACAGCAAGCCTGCCACGAAAACGGCGAGCATCGCCAGCGGCGGTGACGCGTCAGCTGGCGCGATCGACAGCGTAGACGGCGGAGACGGCTCCGAGACGGCGTCCATTATGTCGACATCGTCCAAGTCTACGCGCTTCCGCGCACCTGGCCTGAGGCGGCGCGTTACGGACACCAGCTCACGGGGCAGTGCGGCACCGGCCGTGACGACAGCAGCCACGGCAACGGCGATTCCAGCGAACAACGGGCGCTCCCGACGCAGCAGTGAGGCCGAGGAAGAGGCAGACATGCTCAGTTCGAGTCTCGGCGTCAAGCCACACGGCAGCGGCGGCGGCGGAACCAGCAGCTGGGGCTATGGTGATGAGGCACTCATGGGCCTAGACTAGCTTCTAGCGTACTGGCTCGCCGACGAGTTTGCAATAATTCACTTTACACAGTCACGAAAGCATGCTTATTCACCGGGGTCATCGGAGAGCACACACACTCTTGTTTATGTATCATTATGTTGTGATTGCTCATTTCGGGAAGAGCCGTTTTGACACCTTGAGAAGGTTGGCACATGCTATGGTATGTAAGTCTGTCATTACCAGAGTCGTCTATGTGATTGTGATGTTTCGTGATAAAACATAAATAAACAGACGACAAACAGACGACAAACAGACAAGGACTCGTCCTCGTTTAGGCCAGACCTTGCAGCTGGGCAGCATAGTCTGCGACTTGGGTGATGCTGGCCGGCGACGCAGTAAAGTCGGTGGTGTAGCCGTAGACGGTAAAGTAGAAGCTGTGGACGCCCTGCTGGATGACGGCGGCAATGTCCGTCTGCAGCGAGGACAGCGAGGCGGGCGCAAAGGGCGACCACGTCTCGTAAAAGTCGTGCACGACAATGCTCGACTTGGCTGACCGCGCGGCGTCGCCGACGGTGGTCGCGAGCGCCGGGGTAAAGGGCGCATAGCGGTCCGGCTGGCAGCGCACAATGCCGCCCGGGTCGGTGGCGCCCGTCGTGTTGGTGTAGCACGTCTCGATCTGCACGATGGAGTCGGCCAGGTCGAACAGGGACTCGCTGCCGGCCTGCACGAGCGTGCCCGGGTTGAGGACGACGGGGCCGCCGCGCCCGGCAAACGCGGTCTTGGCGTAGGTCGTCAGCTGCGTGTTGGCGGTCAGCTTGGCGGGCACGGTGTCAATCTCGTCAAAGAAGATGCCGTCAATGTGGATGTCGTAGCGCGACGCGTTGGTGGTGAAGCCGGCCGAGGTGGTCCAGCTGGCATACTGGTCGACGGCCGCGGTGAGGTCGCTGTAGGCACGGGTGGACTGCGAGGTGTAGATGTAGCCAATGGTCTTGGCGTTGCTGCGGGCGTTGAGGGCGTCGATCCACTGGGCCCAGTCGGGTATGCTGGCCGGGGGGTTGGGGCTGTAGGGCGGGCCGTTGGCGTCGTTGACGACGACGTAAAAGGGCAGCTGGGGGTGGGCGTCGATGGCGGCGATGAGTGCGGTCCAGTCGGCCGTGGCAGTGGTGCCGGTAGGATACTCGTAGAGGGGAACGAGCAGGCCGACGGCGCCGGCCAGCGCACGAGTGTAAGCAACCATGATGGATGGGTGGGAAGAAAGGGATGGAGTGAATTAGTTTAGTGGAAGAAGACCGGTGGTTGTGACCGATCGTGATGAGATGGAGGTCCGATGGTCTTGTCAGTTGAGGGCGTCCTCGTTGTTTTATATCAATGTACGTGGGTTGAGAGCAGCAGCGTTACGAATTACTCTTCTTGTATTCTGTTGCACCCGTGGTCATGTCCTCGAGGTTGCCAGCAATGTGCCACGGCGGTCAGCATGGCTGCCGGTTCGTTCTCCGGAAGAGCCGTCGTCTGACGATCTTCGCTTATCCCTGCGATCCTAAGGTGGAGGCCAGCCTTCCTTCCAACCATAGGGCTGTCCTGAAGGCGTGCGTGCAGAAGGAGCCGTCCAAGGCTTGCAAGGGAAGGTGCCAAGGCTCAGGACCCACGAGATACGATGTACTCCGTAGGGCAGGCGCAGGCGACGCGACGGTGCCTAATTGCGGCAACTACGCCCTATTCGGTGCTTACCTGCGAGTTCCCGAATTAAAGCTCCGGGGCTGACGGAATATTACGTTGTAGTATGGAGTCGAGTATTTGAGTATTGGACGGTTTGCTGCGGTGTTACTGGCCCTTTGTCGTTTGTTGTCTTGTTTCTGCTGCCTTTTTCTATTCTTATGCGCCACGTTAAACGCGTCGTGGTCTAGACCGCCATCGTCTCAAGCTGGACGCAACGCAGGGCAGATCTTGCTCTCTTTTGTGTTGTTGGTATTGTTTGGCTTTTTGGGGATTTCCTTTCGTGGCGGAGTCGCAGGAGCCGCGGCTGTCAGCCCTGCCAATCCAGGGCCAGTCTCAACCGTGTTAATACGACATACCACTTTGAAAACCTGAGCCAAGCCACCTGAACCACCTTAAACCACATTGAATCACTTGGGACCGCAATATATCACATTGTCTCATTCCTTCGCTCCTTTCTAGAGCCCGGACCCGTGGTATATGACCCCAGGCATCAGCATCGGATGGCTCGGTGAGCGTCATTTTGCGTGGAAATGTGGGAGGGCGAAGGTCGTTCACCGTCTTCGTATCATTCGGGACGACGTAAATTGCATGACGTGCGCAAAATCAAAAGGAAACCGGCCCAATGGCTGAAAAGTTGGGCGGAGAATCGCGAGGATGAGCTTGGGAGGCAGGAGAAGGGGGAGTCGGAAGCGATATGCTTTGTTTGCTCAGGCATTGAGTGGCAAATCTTCCTTAATGACACTGCCGTCTCTTCTGGATTCACTGCGCCATGGTCGGACCACATGAGTACAATAGAGTCGGAATAGTTTGTAGAGACCATGAGGCGAGAAAGTAAGACACGCGTTCTGACCATGTTTCAAACAAAAGTGGCCATCCACGGATGCGTGACAAGGATCTCATAAATATGGAAGCACACATGCAGACATAAGACTGCAAAGGGGAAAGCACCGAAGCACGCCCGACAAGCCCGGAGACAAAACGTGGGGAGCAGCACGGCGACCATTGGGAGGCTTGAACGGCAAAAGCAAAAGGGGTAGCCATAGCCTCTCTGCTACCGTCCTCGTGGGCCAACACTGCCCCTAGGAATTGGCATTGAAGGAATGAAAGAAACACTTTATTCAACAGTTTCCCAGCAGATATGCGGCACCAGGACCATCGCGTGCTACGTCATACATATCCACCATGTTTTACTGATGCCCTGTGCCCTACTTGCGGGCTGTAGTTGCGGGCTGGCGTTTTCGGCGTCCTTTCTTATTGCTGTCCCCCGTCCCCCAGTATTGAAACTAACAAAGAGAAACCTACTTCAGAGCATGCAACCAAGAATGCCTCAACAGATCCTCTGCCGACGGCCGGTCGGCCGGGTTGACCTTCATCATAGTCCTAAGAAACGACCCAAACTCGTTCCGGTCGTCCTCGTTGAGTCCTGGCATGAACGCTTCCGACTCCAGGGGCGGTCAGTCGATGGGCTTGAATTCCTTGGGCATCCCATCGTCGTCAAAGATGCTCTGGACAAGATCTGGATCCCCGCTTGCTAGAAACTCTCTTGGAAAGGGGCCAAACAGATGGGCAATCTCGGCTAGGTGCCTCTTCAGTTCGTAATGGCCGTCCGGTGGCATTCTGCCGTCAAACATGCGCACCGCGCGGTAGAGCTCCAAAAGCAGTGCACCCAGGTTCCACCAGTCCGCGGGCATATCCCAGGGTGCTCGAATCAAGACTTCTGGGGCGCGAAGAGCAACAGGCTGGATATGTTCGGTGAGATGCTGTGTGGTCCAGCTGGCCACTCCCCAGTCGCCAAGGACAATATCAAACTCGGCGACCCTTCTCGAGTCTTCCTCGCCAAAGTAGTAGCCACGAAGCGGTTGGGAGGGAACTGGAGAGTATCTCTCTTCGGTTTTGTCTTGTTGAGGGGCGGGAGAATTGACGAGGTACCGTGACTCAATGAGAGACGTGTCTCGGAACTTGACAAAAATATTGCTCGGCTGGATATCTGCAGTTGTCTGTCAGCCTGGTGGAAGGGAGGGTACGGGTTGGTCTTCGAAGCCGTAAAGAAAATAGAAGTCCCCAAAAAACACACCTGTGTGAATGACATTGTGATTATGTGCAAAATGAACGGCCAAGACGAGTTGGATGGCGAATCTGCGCATTACCGGGTACGGCAGCCTGTCCTCCTTGAACCACGCACCAAAGCTCCGCAGCGTTTCTCCCATGAGCTCAAATACAAGGCAAACATGGGTTCCATTGGGGCCGTGGTGTTCAAAATCATCGACGAGGTGGCAAACATAGGCGTAGCCGGCATCTCCCTTGTCTCCGTCACGAAGATGCGCAAGGATCTCTCTCTCAAAAATGGGCCTATCTCCTCCATACGACTCGGCACTCAGCACCTTCAGAGCCCGGAATCTGCGCTCATCGTCGTCCCTGGAAGCCATTATTCCGTCATCGTTGGTATGTGTCATTTCTTATTCCTCACTTCTCGACATTCTCGACGTTCTCATCAATTTATCACCAGACAACCTTAAACTCACGATTTTGTCACGTCTCGGACCAGCCAGACGGTCGAGTACACCCCGAATCCAATTTTGTTCAAGATTTTGTACTTGCCCGCATACACGTCGCCGACATAGACTGGGTGGAATCCACCCGTGCGATACACATCGGCGCCTTCTTCAATGTTGCTTGGAGTGGCGTCCGGCTTGGGCGGCGTCTCGTTCCGCGAACTAGGCCGAGATGTCGGAGATTCAACCTCATCAGAAGCCATGATAAAGTTAACGAAAAGGACGCTGGTGCAAACCAAAGTCTGGCAGGGACGTATTTTGGGTTGTGTGAATGTTCAGATAATATCTGAGTCTGAAAGTTTGTGGGATGTATATGCACAGAGCAATGAGGCCAACCTTGCGTGGTATCTGCGGGGATACGATACGAAGGTGCGCTGTTACTAAGCAAGCCGCCTTTCTGCTTGCAGTTGCTTGACTTTTGTCTCGAACTTTTATGTGGAAAAGTTAAAGAAGATCATCCAGCATAAAATCACAATTATTAGGTGATTGTTCATACGTGTTACATTAAATTGATCAAAAAGTTTACTAACATGGTAACTAAAGCATCGATAGTTTTTGGTGGGTGAACTAAAACGCCCGTCTTCTAGTATAAACTGGTAAAAACGAGTAAATCATAAACAACAATTTATAACTATATATTATATATATATATATATATATATATAAGGAAGAAGAACAAAAAGAGCGTAACAAGGCAAGAGCCTGCCTTATCGCAAGAGGAAAGTACAACCAAGGCGGAATAGTCAGTGAATTTGATTTCGAGAACTCATCGTCAGCACGTCGTCGACGCAAGAGACAACTCTCCACGTCTTACCCCCTTGTCTGCCCGCCCCGGCCGCAACTGCCACCCGGCAGCCTCATCGAAGGTAATGGCAGAGTCACCTCCTCCTTGCTATACTCTCCGTCAATGGAGAGAGCACCTGGCGCCATAGCTGCGACGCGTGGACGAGACGTTGACGAGCGACAGGAGACGAGAGAGTTGTTGTTGAGCGTTGGCAAGGTCAGAAACAGGCGCCACGCAGGCGCCGAAATGTCGAAACGTGGTGTGTAAGAGGGAGACTGGCCCTGGCCTTGAGAGTCGTCGTCGTGGCCTTTGACGGCCATGTTGTCCTCGTCCTCGTCGTCGACGCCGTCTTCGTAGGCGACGGTGCTATCTTCGTTGTCGTCTGCATCACCTAGGTCGTCGCTGATGTCGTCGTCGACCTGGTCAACAGAGTCCATGTCGTGGTCGTCAGATTGTGTTGTGTCGCCTTGAGCGGGCGCCGCCGGGTTGATTACAATTCTGTCGACGATGGCCAAAGTTGCCTGGGCGATATTTGCGGCGAGGGCGGCAGGCGAACCATTGTCGAGCCGCTCCCAAGCCATCCCAGGCGCATTCGAAGCCACGGACGCACCCACGAGCCCAGTCCCCGCCACCGACACACGACACGCAGCTCCAACCGCGGCAGACGACGAAAACGCGGACGACGACAACATCATTCACCGTCAGCTGGCTTCTTTCATAATGCCGTGTTTTCGAGTGTACCTTCTCGACGGCCTCCCGGGTATTTGGGAGACAGGACACTGTGACATTAACGACGAATGGTTGACCGGGTTGATGCAAATGTTAAGGAATTTGACAAAGCACTGCAAGATGCCGAGCAACTCTGACATGGCCGACTCGCCCAGCAGGATATTCAAGAAACTCCAACTTCGAATGTGACAAATGGATTCGGTGCGATACCATGTCCCTTTTACCACAATGATCCTGGGGACACCGTTGAAGATACGCAAGACCTGGGAGGTGGATTTCTTCGTCGTGGCGATGAGAGGTCACGTAGTAATACCGACTGGCAAAGTTGGCGAACAAGTCTGCAGTTGTCGTTTGCATGTCTATGAAGCCGAAGAGGCTCTCATAGTGCCCATTTGGAGAATCTGTTCATAGTAGCACTGCCGCGTGTGTGTTTCTTTCTTCTCGGATACAGAAACGACGTGCAGAATGGACGTCGGCGCCGATTTATGAGCAGCGAGGCCGTTTGTTGATTGTCGAAGAGACATATGCACTTTGGAGTATGTTGCAATTCCTGCGGCATCCATTCTTCTCTCTAATTATCTGGTTTGCAGTGCACATGCGTTTCACAGTGTTTGTCTGTCACCACCTCAAAACGGCTGATTAGATGGAGACGGTGAACCAGGGTGGTGAGCGGTTCCAACGTCAAGCGTCGCTGTCCTCTTCAATGATATTATGTTGCGAACTTGCCGGTGAGAAAGGTAGACTTTGCACATATTTTTCGTCAACATCGTGACGGTTGTTTGCTGATTTGGTGGGCCTCTAAAATGTTGCCACGACAAGACATCCAGAGCTCTTGCTGGACCTTTGCTCCACAATTCTGACACATTCGCGAATTTGAATACCACTGGGCTCGATGTGCAGTAGTCGTTGCTATCGAGCTACACCAGTACTGCCGGCGAGTCTGTTGAACGCCCAGATGCATGGGTCAAATCAACGTGAGAAGGCCGGCCATAATGCGTGTCCGTTCAGGGAGCCGCCACATGATTTCCACCGGGCAAACGTGTTTTTGTCACGCTATTTGTTCGTGTTGGCCATCTTCACCAACTGCTGCGACACCACACCGCATCAACGATCGATGCGGCGTGCACCTTTGGTCTCCGCGCCATGTTTTGTTCATTCATCGCCAAGCAGAGCGCGTCGTTTACCACTAAAGGAGGACGGAGGAGAGAATAATGGGCTGTTTCTTCGACAGACATAACCCTTTGAGAGTCTTGACTTGGAGCGGACAGATCACCGGATGCCTTTATCCTCTTGGGCAACATCCCTCTCTCGGTGGCCATTTCGTCCATGCCTGGGTTCGGTCTTTGCAGAAAGAACGGTGTCATGCTCTATTTCATCCACATGATCTGGTATAAGCAGACATGATGCTTTGGTTTGGACGTAGCCTATATGGCCCGCCGTATAGCGCACTGGACATTTGTTGTCGATTTGTATAGAATTGGCCCACGTTAGACAGCCCAGATGATCCGTATCCGAGGCAGTATAAGGCGAGACGAGGCCACAGTTCTACCACGACGTCGACTCTTTGGATAACTCAAGCGGTATCATGTGTCAGTACTACTGGCCTTCTTATGTTCGTATGGTAGATCCAACGTCAGTTAGGACTTGCTGGGAATAATTGCACATATGTTCACCGCACATGTCAGTATCGTTATTTCCCTCTATTTTCAAGAGCAGGACTTGTAATAGTAGGTGGTCCTTTCTGGTCGCACGTAACAGTTGTAGTGTACCATTCAGCCGTACCTCGCAAGAAACATGTACATCTCTGCCACAATGGTGATCGATACAGAATAGCACAGAAAGAGGGCCGCCTGAGATGATTCTATGGCGACAGAGACTCGGGTGGACATCCAGTTGCACGCTCTATTTGACTGTTCCTGTCGGAGCACGGAAAGCGTCTACAATCCTTTCCGCTTGCTTGTTCACGAGCACTTATAGGCTCATAGAGGGTGGTGGAACGTCGATGGCCCGCTGGGGGTCGGACACATCAGTCTTGTTCGTGTATTCCCGAGCCATGGCGAGAGAGCAGAGTCCACAGCTGTGATACGCTCTGGGGCGACGGACCATTATCGTGGTTGATTCCGCCTTCGAGATGTAGCCGCTTACAACCAGACTTGCATGAACTTGGTCCCATAGTGTTCTCACCGACGCACTTTCTGTGTTATTGTCATGTTGGCCATTGTATTGTCGCGACTATCCATCTCGTCATGTTCGGCTCGTGGTCTTGCAGCCTTTGCCGCGGCGGTCGTCTGCTCACTCGGAAGGCCAGAACTTACATCAGAGTGCTGGTCGTATTCACTCAACACAAAGCACCTGATATTTGCTTTGGTTATGCTTGTCGTGGCTTGTGTACGGCGTGCGTCTCCTTTTGCTTTCGAAGCGGCCGAGGAATCGGGCGGGTCTTCATACAGCTGGCGATTCCACAACGTTCTCCGTTTCTGTATCTTCGACGCCACGGTGCATTTCCCGGTAAAGTCGAGATGTGCACATAAACGTACTGTGGTATGCGTTACATCCGATAGTAGTCTGTTCCGCGGTTTCATTCTCGTCAACAACCGGGTCGTAGGTACGTCTCCGGTCAGTCCATAAGCGGATCTGTTCCGATCAATAAGACAATTGATGTGCTCGGATGAAAGGTCATTATTGTAGGAACTTTGCTGAGTGACCTAGACGCCTCAGATATAATATACTTCTGCTCGTTGAATTTTCGTTTGCAAAGCTGGATGGCTCCGCGACTCATTGTCGAGTTTGACAGCCACATGTCCTGGCTGGTTCTACAGGCCTCGAGATGTCATTCGTCCGTGCATAATTTTCGTAGCCGTCTGTTGGTCACGATGGATCGAGAAGGGGCTCGGGGCCGTAATCGAGAGCTTGTTCATCCTCGGTGTGCGCAAAGTGACATATGCTCATAACCCTCTTGATGTGTTACCAAAAGGCCAATGGACCGATGGGACCGAGGGGTCAGCGCGGCCTTGGAACGCTGGCAGTTCGAAAAGCTTATGACTTTCATGTAGCCTCGATGGTCACCAAGCCACGGCTAGAAAAAGAGCACGGCTTTTACAATGGCCATCAGTAGACTCAGTGGACCTATTCTCAGTCCCCATGTGCATTTGCATCAGCCATACCGTGTTGACGTGGCCTCGTAATTCATTGGAGCTCCGTATCAGGGGCTCTGTAGAATCTTGTACGGTCTCGTGATGACAGGCTCGTCCTCTCCCACCACGGATTTCCCATCATGGGGGCCAGTTGTCTGTAACATGACATGATTGGTCGATGTTACAGCGCCGTTGGGTTGCCTTTTTTATTATTATTGAAGAATAACAACATGGTGCAGCGTCGAGAATGAGTTGTTGTTTTTTAAACACCGACATAACTCTTTTTCATAGCACTGTCAACCACGGTCCTTTGTTACCTCAAAGTCGATCTTATTCGTGCCCAAGAATCGTCTCAAAATCCCCATGCATTGAATTTGCTTTTTGTTGTTTCGGCTTCCACAGCCATATCATCTGCAAAAGTCTTCGAGACCGGGTCGAGACAATGCATTCAATAATGGAAACGTCTCTGTGGGCACCTCATAATACGGCGCCAGGTTGCTCGAAAATGGCGCGCAGGCAATTCACTGGTAGCCGTATTTGATCCCTTGATCTATTCGCGGTTCTGGAGTTCGATACAAGATAAACACCCCATATGTCTGCCCGAAAATGGTAGACTAGCTGTTCAAAGTTCAAAGAAAATTTCACATGCGGAAGTTGGGCAGTCGTACCCACTGTCGTATATCAACCGGGAGGAAATAATTTCCGAATCACTGAGTAGACGTGTGACCAATTCTTAGGAATATTCGTCGCCGGCTATATTGTATTTATATACTCCTTTCATGGATTATGCATATACCATACTATCGTCGATATAGAAGTTGTCACGACGACTATTGGCTGCTCTTCGACAACAGGCTATTATACCTTTTTCGTATCCGTGTAACATAATATAAGTGATGCAATTCCATCACGGATTGTGAACGATTCCTAGGTTTGAATGACAGTGAAGTGGGATGCTTCTCTAGAACCGATCTTGTCCCGTTTCCTAAAGACTTGTTAGTTTATTGTAAGCAAGTACATCAGCTTCAAGCAATTGGTTTAGTTACTCTTGCCTCCTCGTCGTATAATGTGGGACGGGAATACAGACGCCGTATAGAAAATGCAATGCCTTGATCCTCGGTTAAAGCAGTTGTCGTTATCTTTGTAATTCATGAGTAGAGCTTCCTGTTTCTCGTTGTCTCTACCATGACTGATGCCAGCAACCAGACTTTATCTTATTGTCGACGGTGTCTCAAAAGCATTATACTTTGTTCTCCACGACCCAAATTTGTCTTTGGGGCTGGATATAATGAGCCCTTAGGCTAGACCGTAGCGATTATTGCTGGCCATTTGCTTTGGAAATACCTCTCTCTCAGTTGTTGTTGGGTGATAGAAATTGGCTCTTCGCCACAAGAACATGACTCGAGGATGACGTCGACAAATAACGTGGTGTAGACCGATATTGACCAATTTTTCATGTTCGGGCGTTGTGTGAGATCCATATGGGTGTAAATGCAGTTTGCAGGTCAAAAGGTACTTGAAGTTAAGTAATTGGCTCTGACATTCGACAAAGAACGAGTTCCGAGAAAAAAGAGTTACGAACAGGATAGATAATGGGGTCAGCCAACCGTCATGCCTGGCCACCGGTAATCTAGTTGAGCCTGTCCTCGGCCATTACCTCCCCTTCCCTGCACGAACGGCTGCCAGTGGTCGCTCATCCGATCGACCGCTACTTTTTCCATGACATGCCTTGGTTTGTTATTGTTTTGTTGGCATCTTCTCCGGTGTGTCTGTACTGTATGAGGCGTGGAATTTTTGGCACTGCACGGCATTATGACGCCATGTCCATC